GAAAACATGTCTTGTATATTCTACAACATAAAATATTATCTCTCATTAGATAACATGGCTAATTGAATATTTTTAGACCAAATTAATTTATAAGGATGTTTATATCCCATAAATATCCCGAGTTTTATAATCAGTTCTCAGAATACTTAAGGTACAGGAACATACATCATCATTAGAAATAAAAAGTAACATTATTATGACTCCAAATCTAAAACAAATTTAGAAGAAAAAATCCAATAAAGAATTATCTAGTTTTAGAAATTTTAGAAAAGAGTATTTGTTGCATTTGCTTCTAAAAGTATCTTGCTCTAAATTCTTATTCCTTGATTTTAACAACCTAAGCAAAGATGTAGTAGTTGTTCACAGAATGAAACAGTGTTTCAGCAGGATGGCAAACTGGTGCATTCTCTGTGAGAACAACTCGAGACATCCAGGTCGGGAGAGGAGAAAACTGGCATTTAAAGAGAAGGGAAATAACAAATGTTTAGGGAGAAAAATTCCAGCAAACAAATAGTACTAATTTCAAACTAGTAACTACAAATCTGACACAGTACAATGAGAAAATCTACCATACCATGATCTGATATCCTGTGTAGTCCAAGCTGAGAAAGACATGTACTATCTCCTAAGGTATAGTAAATGTATAAAGTGGGAGAGAGGGTTGGGACAGAGTAATGAAGGCCTGGCTAGCTAGCTCAGACATTGTGGCTACCATGGATGAGAGGTCTGTCTCCGTCCTAGACATCATGGAGCATATAACGGCTTCCGAGTCCCTCTTCAACAAACGAGATGCCCCTACACATTGATTACAACACCATGCTACATTGTAAATTGTTTAGGAATGTCATGCCATGCGAAAATAAATGTTGGCTGCAAAATAGTCTGCATTTATATCCAGGTTAATGAAATTCATGTCTGACTGAATTCTCTAAGATAAGATGATAGGGGGGGGAGAACAATTTAGTAGAGCCACATTGCTTTGCTGGATAAGATCTCAGGGCATGTGGAGGAAGGGAGACAACCACGAAGCAATAAGGTTATCTTTGACATGGATTTAAACAAGGTCTGTTTTTCTAAAGATCAAATCTAGATAATGTTAAAAAACTGTTTATCGATTCTAAGTAAGGAAATCAATTATTTTCTATTTCCATATTATTAATTATGTATATAAGTTTAACTTTGTAGGAACTATTATGACTTTGACAAACCTAAACATGAAATGGAAAATAGCATAACAATATGAGTAAATACCTACTATTAAAATATAATATAAATAAATATAATAATGTTAAAAAACAAATAATATTTATTATATAACTATATTTATTGAATCATGTCGTCTGCTTATTTTCAGAAGTTAACATACTATTTTCATTATATTTTTATCAACTCAAATATCCATGTAATGTTAGTAGATCTAGTTTTTAAATTATTTTTGAGCAGTAAAAATGACAAAAATTGTACCAGTGTTTTAGCAGTGTAAATAGTGTGCTAATATATTTAAAACATATATTAATTAAAATGCATAAGAAAATGCTGAGCACAGTTTAATAATAAATTGTGTTCTATTTGCCAATCATGTTTGTCATCTTGATACATGAACACAGATATCTGAGAACAAGGGAAAGACAAACATGCAAGCATGCAACTGTCTTGCATAATATATCATGCTCTAAATCATGATAAAGTGTATGTTGTGCAGAAGAGCTGTCCAAAATCAACTATTTCGGTGGCTCCTGTCATTTATGCTGAACTATGCATGACTTCAAACTCAAAATTAATTTTGGCATTTCTTTCAATCTTTTAGACATTTGCTTTCAGTCAAGGTGACTTTGTTTCCTTAATGACAATGGAATAATATATGTTCCGGGTTTTACCTCGACTCACAGACATGGGGGTCCAGGGACCCCTAATCATCAGTTTAAGGGTGCTTGCAGGCAATATGAGGGTCAAGTGAAGTAACGGTGGAGAGAACTGTATGTTTTTATAGTTTCTTTAGAGCCTGGAATGAATCATTGATCATGTGGACTGATGGGTGGAATGATGCAAGTAACTGCTCTGAAAGAAACAACCAAACACTTTGTAAAGTCACAGACGTTTTGTGGGTACAAATAATATTGTGTGCCCCTGTGGACGCAGTGAATTCACTACATTTGTGCGTACTGAACACAGATTTGTGCGTTGCGTAAAACCCTGTATTTTACAATCACTCTGAAAATTGTGGTTCAACTGAATCTTGATCTGGGGATACAGTAAATCTAACTAGATCAATGCAATCATGGTGCAAAATTTATCATGAAATAAATGCAAGTAGCCTTGTCTTTAAAATATAAAAACTGATATTCCATACGATTTCAGGCAACAGCATGAGATGATAGTAGTCGAATAATACCCTACCCTCTTCACATGTTACTTAACATTTGCCTTCAAATTTTCAGCTGTTAAAGATAATTTGAATTATTTAACATTTAAAACTTCCAGCTAATGCTATGGGTTTTAAATAAATTTCTCTGTAATTAAATGCTCAATCACCTGATACAAATGAAACATGTCACATAATATCTTGATATAGTGTTTAATTAGTTTTGTCTTATATGACCTGATGATGGCAATGAAAGTTGAACAACATCATGAAAGCTTTTAGACTTAGTTGACCTATTGAAAATTGAAAAAGTAAACAAAATAATTCACACCACAATGTTAATTCTTTACTTTTAACTTTCTATTTCTAATGAGATTGATGTAAAGTTTATTTATGAGAACACACATTGTTTTTCTCTCATTAAATTTTGAGCAACATGTCGAATATTGGCATGGCCAGTCCACTTGCTAATATGTGTGTTTGTTTGATTGAATTCAAGTGACCTGAGTCCAGCAAGGTTACGATATTTCTGGTAAACAGGGTAATCTACATTCCAACTGAGATAACCAGCAAAAATCAAGGACAAATTAGGCCAGTACCCCCAAAAAACATTAAATGCAAACAAATAAAAATTGCTACCGGTGGATAGAGAACCCCAACAGCAATGTGTATGCAATGAAACAAAACTTTGAGAGTTTAACAAGTGTTTCATAGCTTGACAAAGCAGTCAAAGTGCCTTTTCTATCAACAACAACAAAGTTCAAAGTAATCCATTTACCATTAAAACAGATTTCATCAAACATCATCTAATTGCATTACTGCTTCTATTGTATCTATATAAAGTGAGTGAGTGAGTGTGTTTTACACTGCTTTTAGCTGTGTTTGGCAGGGGAATCAGAACCTGGGCTTCACGGGTGATGTGGGGAATCGAACCTGGTTCTAACCACCACTAGGCTACCCCACCATCCGTTGAGTTCTTAAAAAACCCATTGTTTCTCTGGTAACTCAAATTCAAGGATGTAGATCAGTCTATGTTAAAGTTAACACATAGACAAACTGACAATATCTCTGTTGCATCCATGTTCTACACCTAAGGCCCCAAACAAAATATGTCCGTTTCCGTAACCCGACCTATCCTACTATCCTACTACTCTCTCTCTCACACCAAATTTTTTTAACCAAGTCAAATTCTGGAGTGCATTTCAACTCATCCTTTTCATCCAAATCGAGTATGCTATTTTCATGTTTTACAGTGTACGTAGGGCAAAAATGGATTGCAGTGAATTGACATAATGGGCTCTCACTGACAAAACCTGCAAATAAATAACATAAATAATGATTTGATATAGAAATCTTTCAATGTTTCATCACAAGGCATTGTAACAGCATGATATGGTATCCTTGAAGACATTCTCAGGTGCCCACCTGGTGCTACTACAACAAAAAAAGTAAAAAAAAGAAGATAAAACCGACCCACCTACCCTATTTTTAAAAGCATGTAATAGGAAACGGACATATAGTTTTTAGGGGGCCTAACCTAGACACATGCCATGGTACACTGTCCCTTTGTTTGTTTGTTTGTTTGTTTGTTCAAACCCCACTCACAATATTCCACCCCGATATGATACTAACTATTTGTAACTGAAATCAGTCTTGCAGTTTCATTATTGAATGTATGTATACTCAGAAACTAAAGTAAGTTAGTGAATGCTTATTTATGCAGTAACAGTTATATTGCAACAGAATCCATGGAATTTGATTGGATAATCAAGCTATTCCTTTTCGCATAAATCTTTCCATAAATCAAATGAAAATTAGACCAAACCCACTAAACACTACTGATGCCTGACTGTCATGTAACAGATGGGAAGGGCTTGTTTTGTATTTTTATGTTGAATGATGTCACTGATTTCATATTTTTATGGTCTGTTTTTTTTTCTTTTATCATAAAATATATTTTGTTGGCACCATTGGCATTTACACAGTTTGCACATCTTTCTCTTCTTTACACTGCCATAAATTCCCAAAATGGAATTGCCCAGATAAACAAGTGGTTAATAGTGTGAGCATGGAAACTGATAATGGATCTGCTTGTACTGACAGACAATAGGATAAATGTGCCAGAACATTACACAGACAATAGTTAGTGTGTGAATTTAGTTTTTACTCCGCTTTTGGCAATATTCCAGCAATATCACGTCAGGGAACACCAGAAATGGGCTTCACACATTGTGCCCTTGTCGGGAATTGAACACGGGTCTTCAGCGTGACAAGCCTACGCCTTAACCACTAGGATACATCACCGCCCCTCACAGACAAGAGGACAAATGTGCCAGAACACTACAGACCAACAACACCATAAATGTGCCAGAACACTACAGACCAACAGCACCACAAATGTGCCAGAACACTACAGACCAACAGCACCACAAATGTGCCAGAACACTACAGACCAACAGCACCACAAATGTGCCAGAGCACTACAGACCAATAGCGCCACAAATGTGCCAGAACACTACAGACCAACAGCACCACAAATGTGCCAGAGCACTACAGACCAATAGCGCCACAAATGTGCCAGAACACTACAGACCAACAGCACCACAAATGTGCCAGAACAGTACTCCAACATACTTACACATCGCTGGCTGTTGAGAAGGTCAGATCAAAGATGGCCTCCACAGACATCCACTTGACAGGGAGTTTTCCACCATGACGGTTGACGTAGATTTTGTCATCATAGATGAAGCGTGTCAGGCCAAAGTCACCAATCTTCAAGACCTTGTTGTCATCAACTAATATGTTCCGCGCTGCCAGGTCTCGGTGAACAAATGATTTCCCTGACAAGAACTCCTAAAACATGAAAAAAGAGGGAAGTCATTGCTGTATCTACAAATATTCAAGAATAATCTTCTTTCTTTGAATGGGGGTCACAGGAAACCCAGTGCTCTATGGCATCTCAGTTTGTCATATGGAGTTGCATCCCTTGGAAACACCAGAAACCTATCTTTGTGAGTTTGAATCCCAATTTACCCTCACACAACTCATGTTTCTGGGTTTATAGGCACCATGTCTTGCTTTCTCCAAAATGGTAAATGTCGGAGACCGGCATCACTTCAGGCTTGCCTCCAGATCATTCTGGCACACCTGGATATACCTGTGGTACCGTTTAAAGTGGGTTACATCCAAATCTCAACCTGTGAAGATCCGGGTTAGAATATTGATCTTCAGTAACCCATGCTTGTCGTAAGAGGCGACTAACAGGATCAGGTGGTCAGGCTTGCTGGCTTGGTTGACACACGCCATCATATCCCAATTGTGTAGACTGATGCTCATGCTGTTGATCACTGGATTGTCTGGTCCAGTTTCGATTATTTACAGACCGCCGCCATGAAGCTGGAATATTGCTGAGTGCGGTGTTAAACAACAAACCAACCAAATACATCCTCTCTTAAACTTAACAACCATGATAGATACCAGGGTTTGATCAAACTAGTCAAAAATTATTTTAGAAAGGTTTTGTTTGGATCACAGAAGAAACAGAAAAGTGCTATCAGATACAAATGCTCGCTAATCTGGAACTGCTAGAGGATTAGTCGTCATGTCAGATCATGTCAACCTGCAACTGTTTGGTATAAGCACTTGAAAAATTTGGAATGGAAATATTTTCAGATCATTGTATACAAATCCAGATTAAACAGTACAAATGATTAAACAAAATATTATTAAGTTGATCCAAGAGATTAAGGCTGAGATAGTATGCCAGTGAGAGACAGCATACTGATGGAAGTATTTGAGAGCCTCTTATGAGGATTAAAGGATAGAGCTGATTCTATCAATGCTTGTTGTAAGAGGTGACTATAATGGATTTTACTGGTCAGGCTTGATGATTAGGCTGCATGTAGTTTAATAAGATTGTGCTCATTACATCCTGACTGGTTTGGTGTCCAAACCTGATTTCCGTAAGCCTCTAAAGTGGCTAAAGTATAGCCGAACATATCTTAAAACCATCAGTTGGATATATCAAAGAGCATGTACAATATCACTGGGGCATTATAAGAATGGGTGTTACACTCAGGCAGGAATCAAACTCAGGTCTTCTAAATACTAAACACTCTAATGGTCTTCAACCATACTAAACATTGACCAATGGATGATAAGAATAACACGAATTTGAAACAAGTTATGATTGCAATGGGCCATTTAAAAAACACAACCAAGTGCAAAACCCATGATTCAGTACAGCACTTGTCAATCTGGTGACCAAGCTCCTCACAGTGATACCTCACTCCTTGACGTCTATGGTGGGATAACAAAGTGGCATGCACTGTAATGGAGCTTGGGTCATTATTAACACAGTTATTAACACTAATATATCTTAAGGGTCTGGTTCAAATCTTGATATCGTACGATACAACCATGTTCTTGTCCCTTGCTGGTAATTTGAAATTCATTAAGAGCATAAACCTCCAAAGAAACTTTTTTAAAAAGGAATACGTTCTATGTAGTATGTACGCACCATTCCTCGTGCAATCTGCCTGGCGAATGACAGCAGGTCCAGAGGGGTGATGTGTTCCACCTCTCTGTTCTCATAGTGGCCCGTCTCTTCTTCTTGCTGAACAAAAACACGCAAACAGTCTTGACAAGTTGACAATTATTGCAACAAAGGCACTGTGTTGTGGAATCTAATTTTCCATACTGAGGTTTAAATGCTGCTGAGTGGGGCGTTAAACAACAAACAAACCATACAGAGGTACACCTGAATGATATAGTTTTCTCACAAAAAATAATACACCTGGTATATATTGTTCCCCACTGCTGTCCGTTCTGTCAGATGTATCTACCCGTGAAGATCCGGGCTAGAATTTGTCTTCTATTCAGCAACTCATGCTTGTCGTAAGAGGCAACTAACGTGATCGGGTGGTCAGGCTGCTCACTTGGTTTACACTTGGTTTTTCATCTTATCACAAATGCGTAGATCGGTGCTCATGTTGTTGATCACTGGATTGTGTGGTCTAAACTTGATTACTTACAGACCGCCGCAATATAGCTGGAAAATTGCTGAGTGCGGCATTTAATAACAGTCAAACATATCAGGAAACAAACGCGGCTGTAAAATCCCCGTATAAGGCAATATATGCTGACAAGAGTTGTGGTCCCTTTGATAATTTTAGCAAACGTTTCCTAATCGCAAGGATCTTGGTACGATGTTTCATTGAGCACAAATCAGTAGAGGACTAACATTTTATTTTTGAAACAACTGTGTAGTTGTGCATAGTGCGCCCCGACTTTGTCCTGAAAGTTTATTAAATAACGATTGTCACTCGTGAAAACGGATGAAAATGAACTGTGCACACACCCCACCCTCACCCGCACCCCCCATCCCTTTCTCAAAAAGCTGTATCTGTTGTGTATATGCCTACATGTCAACGTGTCTTCAATTTTCAGTACGGTAAGTTTTAAAACTTTCAGACAGAGAAGATAGTCCCATGGTGACTACAACCTTCATACATGATATCAATGAGTGATATCCTTAGTATCCTGCGTCCTGTCCTGCCTGCAGGAAGAGGACCTCCAGCTGTACCAGTCTGTGCTGATCGAGGGGCTCTACAGCCTCTGCCACTCTAATGACTCTTAAATCACGCGGACCCGTGAAGGTCCGGGTTAGAATGAACCTTCAGTAACCCATGCTTGTCGTAAGAGGCGACTAACGGGATCGGTTGGTCAGGCTCGCTGGCTTGGTTGACAGATGTCATCGGTTCCCAATTGCGCAGGTCGATGCTCATGCTGTTGATCACTGGATTGTCTGGTCCAGACTCGATTATTTACAGACCGCTGCCATATAGCTTAAATATTGCTGAGTGTGGCGTAAAACTAAACTCACTCACTCACACTCACTCACTTAAATCACGCGAGTAACAACCTATCCATGATCTAATTTAATCGTATTTTCCTGATGTTCTTGTAATCTCATATGGAGGAATACAAGAGTATACATATGTATATTATGTTTCAAAACGAGCACCTCAACTTGTGAACATAGCTGAACATCCTTCCACGCAAGCGTAGAGTCTCCGCCTAAGAATATTGTTCTCAGAAACGTATGCTGGTCGGAAGAGGCGACCAAATGGATCAGATTGGTAGGCGGTTAGACAGCCTAATGGTTAAAGCGTTCGCTCATCACGCCGAAGACCAGGGTTCCATTCCCCACATGGTTACTATGTGCGAAGACCAATTCTGGTTTCCTCCTCCTGATATTGTACGAATATTGCTAAAACCGCAAACCACACTCACGCACTCACTCACTCACTCACTCACTCAAACCCAACCACTCTACACTCACCCACCCACTCACTCACTCACTCACTCACTTGGTTGATTGTCATTTCTTCCTGACGGTGTCGATTGTTGCTCATGATATCGATCACTAGATTGTATGTTCCAGCCTTGAATAAGAACAAACCTCCGTCTTATAGCTGGAATAATGCTGACTGCGATGTTAGACAACAAACAAACACGGACACCTACCACCCGAAGGCTGTGTCGGATCTTCTTCAGGTAGTGAAGGAGGTCGCCATTCGCCATATGTTCCACCACGAGGCAGATGGGCTGACGGAGCGTGCAGCAACCCAGCATACTGACGACGTTGGCGTGGTAGCCGATCCTCTTCATCAGGTTGATTTCCTTGATGAAGTCTCGGTAGTACCGACCGCCCACGTCCTCTGGAATCAGACACCAACAGTACAGGGGCAGACGACAGGGAAGGGACAGATTCACCGTTGACATAATTCAGTGAACAACACGTTCTTCTCAACAATACCGCTATTGGGCACGGTGTACTGTACTTTGAGTGAGTGAGCGAGCATGGCTTTACGCCGCTTTTAGCAATATTCCAGCAATATCACGGCGGGGGGCACCAGAAATGGGCTTCACACATTGTACCCAAGTGGGGAATCGAACCCGGGTCTTCGGCGTGACGAGCGAACGCTTTAACCACAAGGCTACCCCATCGTCCCACTGTACTTTGAACACATGCAGTTGATTCTGTAACTGTTCTGTACTGTACTGTCATTTCGTAACAGGTAACACCTGACATCCACCTCCTTCGATAATTTTACAATGACAGTTACATTTACGACACTTACCATCTTTTCCTTACCGGGATATGACGAAAGTTTTGAAATGAACTCGCTCATGCGTTGGCACCATAGATTCACCATAATAAAGCTTTATACAGGAGAACAAAACTCGCGTGTATATCAAGAAGAAAGTACATACCAAAAACTTTAAAACGTTATCAAAGCGTTACTCGGCCGAAAAGAGTTGCCACAACTCTACAAACTTAAAGTCTGTAACACATCTTGACATCCGTATCAAATACATCACCAGTAGCCATTCCTTGTTTGTTTCATGCGTAGTCTTTGCCCGAAAGTATATATATATTTTACACATATCTTGATTGCAGGGTGGTGGGGTAGCCTTGTGGTTAAAGTGTTCGCTCGTCACGCCGAAGACCCGGGTTCGATTCCTCACGTGGGTAAAATGTGTGAAGCCCATTTCTGGTGTCCCCAGTCGTGATATTACTGGAATATTGCTAAAAGCGGCGTAAAACCAAACTCACTCACTTGATTGCAATTCATAGATCACTGATTCAAGCTAGGTCGTTCACGTGTGTCAGAGAGTGAATTTGGATTAAACACACGAAGGTGACATCCCCGCTTTGTGACTCCTCGTGATACTGAGTTTACAAAACAATAATGATAATCGAAGCGAAATTGGATCGAACCCACGGCCCAGCATGCCTGAATAACGAAACTCGATACTTGGATTACGGCGAGTAAATGATGGCATTGATCAGAAAGGCACAGTTCCATAATTGTTCCTTCAACGAGAAACGGGTGCAGCCAATGACCCACGAAGTGATCACTGCATGTTTGGAACTGCCAGAGAAACCATCGTAAGTAATCTATACATCTATGTATATAAGCATCTTATGGACACAATATACGTCCAATATTCAGAGCGTGCAAAGCTATGGAATCCTAGAAGGGACATTGTCGCGTTGTCTCCCTCACAAAAACAAGCTAAAAGTGTAAAAATTAACCAAAGCGCGACAATGCGACAAATGGCCAAATTGCTGCGCTTTGGCTAATTTTGACACTTTTGGCTTGTTTTTTTAGGGCGACAACGCGACAATGTCCCTTCTAGGATTCCATACAGCAGTGTTGCAGACACATATCAGTGGGCTTCGCGAAGAACGTGTTTCTCAATTTTTTCCAAGAACGATGGGGTTCGATTCTGAATATTTAGCAGTTTGTTTTCTACGCCACCGACCAAAACACAATGCTTCGGATTCGTGTTATACAACATGTGACAGAATACAATCGCCAACCTTGTAACATCTTGACAGCCACTGTTACATGTATCCTATCCTGGCCCTCAGTCCGCGGTAACTGTGCTCCCCTGTGATGCAGCATAGCGTAGGTTACTTTGCCCTTCAGGACCAGACCAAATGCCCCACTCCCCAACACCTGCCCCAGCTTGAGACAGCTGTGGGGTAGCTCCCAACGGTCTGCTACCACCGGGGGACTTGCCAGGCTGCTGATCTCGGCCCTGAAACAGTACAGTGAGTTGTTACTGCAGGGATATCATGCCACCCTGTTGATACTTTCGTCAGAGAGAACCAGTGGTTGACGGCATGATCTCAGACCTGGATACGTTGGCAGACATTGTACTACTACATCGCCAACTACTGCTAAGACTGCGACACCAGTTCCATGACAGTTGGTTTCTGCTTGATAATCTCGATTAAGAAAACCTGTGGTTGGCATAATGAGCTCAGATGCAGACGAAGTGTGACCACCCGATACCATTAGCAACTTGTTACTAAAATAGTATCGGTTGAAACTGACAAAGAATCAGCCATCTCATACATTGTAACTCGGATCTTACGGCAAATATTTAATGCATCTCTTTTGCTAATGCAAAGGTTAATCAAACACCCAATATCTATCGTAGTCCGTGTCCGACCCGTGCAGATCTTCAGCAACCCATGCTTGTCATAAGAGGCGACTCATGGATCGGGTAGTCAGTGCAATGACTTGATTGATGCATGCCATCGTATCCCAAGTGTGTAGACTGATTATGTTCATGATGTCAATCACTGGGTTGCCTGTCTCGATTTACAGATGCACGTCATATAGTCCAAACATTGCTGTGTGCGGCGTTAAACAAAAAACAAAAACAAGCCATACCGTGTCCGTCCACCGAGGTCGTAGTAGAAGCTGTAGGCGTCGCTGTCATGTCCATGTCTCTGTTGTAGGTGGGGCAGTTTCTTCCTCCTCTTCTTGTAAACGATCCGGCCAACTACAGCTAGCACCACGACGATCGCCGCTACCACCAATACCGTCACCGACACGGCCACCAGGACATTTTTGTTTCCACCGTGGGGGTCTACAAAGTTAATGCATACAATAATCATACGCTTCACGTGAAGGTCCGGGTTAGAATATTGATCTTCAGTAACCTTCAGTAAGAGGCGACAAACGGGATCGGGTGGTCAGGCTCGCTGACCTGGTTGACACATGTCATCGGTTCCCATTTTCGCAGATCGATGCTCATGCTGTTGATCACTGGATTGTCTGGTATAGACTCCATTATTTACAGACCGCCACTATATTGCTGGAATATTGCTGAGTGTAGCGTAAAACTCACTCACTCACTTTTAGAAGAGCCCGAATGACTTGTAGACCGTCTACTTTCTGCAGTGCTTGAGTGACTTGTAGACCGTTTACTTTCTACAGTGTTTGAGTGACTTGTAGACCGTCTACTTTCTGCAGTGCTTGAGTGGCTTGTAGACTGTGCACTGTCAGAAGAGCCTGACTGACTAGTGAACTGTGTACTTTCTGAAGAGCCTGAACGACTTCAGATACGTGTTAAGCCTTTGCATGTATTGACACCATATGATACAGCGGTTTTAACATGTTTTCTTTATCATTAGTATCACACTGCATAGTATATATACTAAGCAGCAAAAGAAACGTCAGTTTGGAATTTTCCTTCGCAGAAACGGGTAACTGTAAACTCATTTAATGTTTTGATTGTATATTTTTGACATCTCCAACTCATGCTGCACATGCTGTTCACAAGGACCAGCCCTATAAAATGCACCCCCAAACCTGGTTGAAACATTCACATTACAACGTCAGCAGGATGCCGCGACTCACGACAGCTCAGGGGAACCAGGCGCTAGGAAGACTTGAAGCTGGCCACACTGCACAAGCCGTTGCGAATCACTTCCAGGTCAACGTTCGGACCATCTACAGACTGCAGCAACGTTTCCGGGCTACCAACACCACAAATGATCGCCCCCGTACTGGCAGACCAAGGGTGACCACAAGACGACAAGACCGCCATGTTGTGCGACAACATGTACAGAATCCCTTCATGCGGGCATCCGAAACAACACGCCAGACAGTGGGAACACACGGAAGACCAATCAGTACTGATACAGTACACCGACGTCATAACAGCGGGAACCTCCATTGCCGTAGACCTTACCGTGGACCTATCCTCACCCCTCGTCATCGGCGTGAACGTCTACAGATTGCCCTACAACACCAAAACTGGCGATACAGGCAATGGAGAACTGTTCTGTTCACAGATGAGAGTCGGTACTGCGTATCAACTGCAGATGGCAGAACAAGAATATTGCCAGTGTTACTCAGACCAATGTGTTATGGAAAGAGACTCATGGGGAAGTGCAAGCATCATGGTATGGGGTGGAACAGGCCTGAACCAGAGAATGGGGTCTGTGGTGTTCCAGAACCTTGGTCCAAGGAGAGGAGGCGGCATCACAGCGGTGCGTTACATCGACCAATCTCTCAGACCCCATGGCATACCACATTTCGCACGTCACCGGAACAACAGCATGGTAACGCCCGGACCCATACTGCCAGAGCTACACGGGACTTCCTACAGCAGAACGGTGTCAACTGATTTAAACCCAATTGAACATCTTTGGGATGAAATTCAGAGGAGACTGAATAATGTCACACCAAGGCCGAACACAGCAGATTTATTGCGCCAGGCCTTTCTCAGAGTATGGTTCCAGGTGCCAATGGCCTTCATCAATCGATTGGTACACTCCATGCATAGGCGCTGTGCTGCAGTTATTACCGCTCGTGGTGGCCACACTAGATACTGAAGTCAAGAGTCTGAATGGACTACAACGTTCACGTAATGTCTTGAAATTGTGCTGAGTTATTCATTGATGTGTTAAGATTGTACACAAAAATGTTTTTGATCCGCTTATTATGTCCATTTGTTTAATGATTTGATTACAGTGCCTATCTAATTTTGAATTCGTACTGACGTTTTTTTGTGCTGCTGAGTATATGTACAAATGTTCTTCCAAATGTATGACATTTTCGACACACGAATACCTTCGGCTGAAATTCTCTATATCATTCAAAGTGATAGGATATTGATTAATGATAACCATAGACTACCTTCCTTTCTTCCATCCGCAGACGCAGCAACTGTAAACAAAACGGCAACGTGATCATCAACGCTCCTTCAACACCCAATCAATGCTGGCTTCCAGCAGGAGAAATTGGCCTTATTGAAATCGTAAATATATACTGAGTCAAAAAAGAAACTTCACAAAAAAAATAATGAATAATTTTTCTCTGATGATACATCTATGTATCCGAAATGGGATCCCTATCTTTCTACTCTAGAAAAACGTTAGCAAAACCCACTCAAACCCATCCATTCGTCGTGCAAATGACGTTAGTGCCAAATCAGGTTTTGCACGTGCAGTCGATCACGTGATCTTCGCATCGAAGTTTTCTTCATATGCACGTGTTTGCATTGGCCTCAAGAATTGAAAAAACACTTTTAAACCACAGTTCTAACGGTACTTGAAATGCCACGATTGTCAAATGTGCAACGTGAACGTGCCGTTGGCATGTTGCAAGTGGGAAGATCTGTTATTGACGTCGCAAGAGCAATGGGATGCAGCTGTCGTACTGTGTATGACTTGCGAGGTCGTCTACAACAAACTGGCACCACTTCTGATCGCCCAAGGTCGGGTCGTCCACGTGTGACGTCACGAGCAGAAGACCGACATCGTCCTACGTCACCTACGTGACAGAGATGTTTAGAGGTCGACTGTCCTCACAGACCATTCGAAATCGGTTGCGGCCTGCCAATCTGCATTCTCGACGTCCATATCGTGGGCCAATATTGACGCCGTTTCATCAACGTCAACGTCTGCTGTGGGCCCAACGTCACCTCCGATGGACCCAGAGAGACTGGAATCGAGTCGTCTTTAGCGATGAATCCAGGTTTACCCTCAGATTCGCGGACGGCAGGCATAGAGTCTGGAGACGACGTCGTGAACGGTATGCCCAATGTTGTGTACAGGAAGTCGACAGATTCGGGGGCGGAAGTTGCATGGTGTGGGGTGCTTTCTGTGGGAACAACCGTTCCCGACTTCTGGTCATCCGTGGAAACCTCACAGCTGCTACTTACCGCGACCAGGTGCTCACCCCGGAACTCGTTCCTTTCATGGCGGCTCATGGCCCAGGTCTACAGTTCCAGCATGATAATGCTCGGCCGCATACCGCGATGTTGACACGAAATTTCCTTCAAAACGCTGGAATCAACGTCATGGACTGGCCATCGAGGTCCCCTGACCTTAATCCAATAGAGCACGTCTGGGATGCACTTGGGAGAAGGCTTCGTGGTCTTAGGAACCAACCTCAGAATTTGCAGGAACTTGGCGCTGCCTTGCAAGAGCAATGGCGCAGAATCCCCAACCACGTGTTCACAAGCATCAGGCAGTCGATGAGGAGATGGTGTTTGGCAGTGGTGAAAGCGCGGGGCGGCCATACACGATATTGAACTGAGAAATTTCCCATTTTTATTTTTGTGACTTGACATTCTGTATACCCATGTTTTGGAACGTCGGTGTAGCCTAATGGAACTGATTATGGCACTGTCAGTGTATCGAGTACATCACACAGATCTCAGCAATGAAATAATAACAATTTAACCATCTTACAATCTCTTGTTCTTTTATAGTGCCCTGAAGAAAGAATGTGAAGTTTCTTTTTTGACTCAGTATATTATATTTTGAGGAAACGTGATCTCATCACATCTTAGGAGAAAGTTTCAACAACATCAACGTGTCATTAAAACTATTAATCTGGACAAGGCATAATCCATAAGATTTAAAAGGATTCTGTTTCTCTTTTCTATATATTTGGCTTGCACGGTCGCCACTGGATCTTTTCAACTAGGACACTATTCAAAAACGCATTCATTTTCTCTTATGATGATGTACAGGATAATTTGCCTGTTGGCATTGACCACTGTCTAGATCTCCTGCTTTGTCGATCGTCCCGATTAAGAGAGCCTCGCATTGTAACACGCGTAAACTTCAACAGTTTGAATGATATTCGTGTTGCTGGGATATAAATTATGAAGATAGTTACAAACAACAACCAGTAACAAGTCTCATGGCTTGTTGAAAGGTTTCCAATCTGTTTCTTTAGAGCGATACACTGAATGCACTTGTCATAAATACATGCAGCATGACAAGTAGGTTGAGAGTTATCCGCCCTTGGGCGTTCTATTCGTCATCTGCTTATTTCCGTGCTCTATCGACACGGGTCTTTCACGATTGAAATTTGGGCCAAGCGAAACGAGAAGCAAAGCCCCTTAATCGACATAACCTTATTACCTGGATCTTGTATCAAGGGCATGGTGAAGAAATGGACATCTAGTTCTGGTTCTTCCTCTGGTTCCAGGTCTATGTTGCTATTGTTACCAAGACCGTAATCCTTTGACGTCTTGTAAAGTGGAATTACCTTAATGTATAGGAATAATAAATGTTCATCAAATCTTGGCAAAAAAAATCAAGTTTATGAACAGGTCGATGATAAGTGAGTGCCACCGTGCTGTGAAGTACCTGTTTCCGTGTGTTTCACATGCTACTAGAACACAACCCTGACATGTGAATCTCGTGGTACTGTGACATTATGAAATACGTGTTACCGAGAACATGGTACTGATGTGTGAACCCCAGATCACTGTGACATAGTGAAACACGTGTGACCGAGAACAGCAAGGTGACCGATATGTGAATCACGTGGTACTGTGACATTGTGAAATACGTGTGTCTGAGACAATGTCATTGATTACTGTGGCATAATGAAACACGTGTAACCAAGAACACGACAATGATATGTGAATCACGTGGTACTGTGACATTGCGGATCACGCGTAACGGAGAACACGACACTGATATGTGAATCACGTGGTACTGTGGCATAATGAAACACGTGTAACCGAGAACACGACACTGATATGTGAATCACGTGCTACTGTGGCATAGTGAAACTCGTGTGACCGGGAACACGACACTGATATGTGAATCACGTGGTACTGTGACATTGCGAAACACATGTACGGAGATCATGTCACTGATATGTGAACCCCAGATTACCGCGACATGCATAGACAAACAGGCGTTACAGACCACAAAACCGACATGTGAATCTCGTGGTACTGTGACAGTTAGATCGTTAGATAACATGTCATATAAAAATGATGAACCACGTGTCCCATTGCTAGAATATTAGAGTAAATAGCTATTGAAGAAACTGACCTGCACCCCGTAGCACCTGTTTGGAATGAGATGATCCAGCACCAATGACGTAGTGTTCTGTAAAAAGGGGCCCTTAGCAACAACATAAACTTGATACATACAGTGTTCTGTAAAAAAGGGGCCCTTAGCAACAACATAAACTTGATACATACAGTGTTCTGATAAATGGGGACGTTTAGCAACGGAACATTCAATGACAAAGACACCGTAACTTGTGGAAATGGAATGGTTAGCGACACTACTGGCTGTTCTTTATTGATTGGCAGTATTACACATGCTTGACACAGACACGGCCATCTGACTAGAGGGACAATTATCAACATTAAATACACTTCGCATTGGGAAAGATCAGCACATTTCAGTTCTGAATAGGCTCTATCACGCCCTCTGTCACCATGGCGTTATCAAGTCTGTGTGACAATGGTGCTATCACGTCTGTGTGACCATGGTGCTATCACGTCTGTGTGACCATGGTGCTATCACGTCTGTGTGACAATGGAGCTATCACGTCTTTGTCACCATGGTGCTATCACGTCTGTGTGACAATGGTGCTATCACGTCTGTGTGACCATGGTGCTATCATGTCTGTGTGACCATGGCGCTATCACGTCTGTGTGACCATGGTGCTATCATGTCTGTGTGACCACGATGATATCTGGCACCATCACGTCTGTGTGACCATGGCGCTCTCACGTCTGTCTGACCATGGTGCTATCACGTGTACGTGGCCATGGAGCTATCACGCCTGTGTGACTATGGTGCTCTCACGTCTGTGTGACCATGGCGCTATCATGCCTGAGTGACCATGGCGCTATATCGTCTGTGTGACCATGGTGCTATATCGTCTGTGTGACCATGGTGCTATATCGTCTGTGTGACCATGGTGCTATATCGTCTGTGTGACCATGGTGCTATATCGTCTGTGTGACCATGGTGCTATATCACGTCTGTTGTGACCATGACGCATGGTGCTATATCACGTCGCTTGTGACCATCACGCTATATCGTCTGTGTGACCATGGTGCTATCACGTCTGTGTGACCATGGCGCTATATCGTCTGTGTGACCATGGCGCTATATCGTCTGTGTGACCATGGTGCTATATCACGTCTGTGTGACCATGGCGCTATATCGTCTGTGTGACCATGGCGCTATATCGTCTGTGTGACTATGACGCTATATCGTCTGTGTGACTATGACGCTATATCGTCTGTGTGACTATGACGCTATATCGTCTGTGTGACCATGGTGCTATATAACGTCTGTGTGACCATGGCGCTATATCGTCTGTGTGACCATGGCGCTATATCGTCTATGTGACCATGACGCTATATCGTCTGTGTGACTATGACGCTATTACGTCTCTGTGACCATGGCGCTATTTGTTCTGTGTGACTATGGCACTATCACGACTGTGTGACCACGGTGCTATCACATGTTTGTGGCCATGGAACTATCAAACCTGTGTGGTTATGGCGCTCTCATGTCTGTTTGACCATGGCACTATCACGTCTGTGTGACTATGGCGCTATCAAGTCTGTGTGACCATGGCACTATCACGTCTGTGTGACCATGGCACTATCACGTCTGTGTTACAATGGTGCTATCACGTCTGTGTGACTATGGCGCTATCAAGTCTGTGTGACTGTATGGCGCTATTACATCTGTGTGACCATGGCACTATTACATCTGTGTGACCATGGCACTATCACGTCTGTGTGACCATGGCACTATCACGTCTGTGTTACAATGGTGCTATCACGTCTGTGTGACTATGGCGCTATCAAGTCTGTGTGACTGTATGGCGCTATTACATCTGTGTGACCATGGCACTATCACGTCTGTGTGACCATGGCACTATCACGTCTGTGTGACCTTGGCGCTATCAAGTCTGTGTGATCATGAGGCTATCACGTCTGTGTGAGCATGGCGCTGTATCGTCTGTGTGAGCATGGCGCTATCACGTGTATGTGGCCATGACGTTATCACGTTTATGTGGTCATTCCGGAACCGAAAGGTGTAAAAGGGACGTCATTTAGGCTCTATGTAATATCTGCAATGAGACCCTTGTGTACACGTGAACATACGACCTTCGACGTTGTGTCAACCACGAATGAAAGAAAATAGGGCGTTACACTTTGAATCTGAACATGCTGGTGCTGTCTTATTGTTCAAATAACGTCCGGACTATATATTGTGTAACGTTGATATAACGTAAACTTTAACACAAGTGATGAAGGCACTTTGTGACGCGCGATGAGATGTCGGATATTGAAGCTTGGTGCAGAGCCATGACATTTCGAAATAGCCTTATCGTTTTCTTTTTGTAGGAATATAATATAAAATTAGGTTTACTTCATTACCTCCTTGAAATACCATTTTTGGCAACATTTATGCGTTGCATCCATTCAACAGAACATCGCAATCGCTAAGAGTTTACAAAATGCTTTACGTTTCTATATAAAATTCCAGTGACAGAGAATGTGAAACAGGTCATCTGACAAGAAAAGTTAAAAGGCTTTAAACGAATGTCACGAAAGGAGACACGGTCATTCTTGAACACACAACAAGGGTCTTCGGCGTGACGTGCAAACCACAAGGCTACCCCCACCGCCCCCTGAAAAACCTCAAAACAATTAAGGTACAATGAGAGCTGGACCGGCGTGGTGTCTTTTCCTCTGAGAGAAATGGCGATATTTCCGTTTGGCGATAACTATAGTATTTCATAACTAAATATATCATTTTAGTCTTTATCCAGTGTACCACATCATACTCACACAAGGCAACGTCAGTCTAACCGGCCAAAATACACTTCGATATGTATTAGTAATAGCGTCTGGGTCGATATGTACAGCATGCTGTATCTGGATACAAACCTTATCGATCACAAGTTCCCGAGATCAAGGAACAACACAGTTGTAAGATACACGACAAGCACAAGGGAGACTTCCTGTACCGATTTATTACAAATGATATATATTACAGAGAAGAGACGGGAGGTAGATTGAATGCAAATGAATTGGGCATTTCGCGGTCACGACAAATGCATGCCTGGTATATATGATGTGACACACTGAATCTTCCAAGGGATCTAATTTGTCGAGATTTTTCCAGAATATTTGTCTTTCTGAAACGAAGAAAGTATTATGATTAGGTTCGTGTGTTGTGTCCATGAGATTTTTACATTAAAATTTTTCGGGACAAGTTGCACCCATTCATCACTACTCGCCCCGAGCCGTTGTCCCCAAATCATTCAGGGGTGTAGCTACCATTATGAAAAAAAGCCCGAGCTTACACATGAATTTTGCTAAAACAAACTTTCATTTTTCGAATTCTTGCCAAAAATACCTCAAATACTATCTAAATATAAAACTTTGCAACCTATCGGGCTTACACGAAACAAATTAGCTTGCTACGCGCCTGCCATTTGCATTGTCTTGGATTACCTCGAGTCCCACGAATGACGCTAAACTGTCTTCATTCGTCACCACTCGCCGCGATCAGTTACCTACAAACTATTTAGATTGTCCCGGGTTGCCATGAGCGCTCACGAATGACGCTAAACTGTCTTCAGTCGTTACCACTCGCCCCGATCCGTGACCTACAAACCATTTGGATTGTCCTAGATTGCCACAAATCCCACCAATGACGCTAAATTGTCTTAATTCATTACCAATCGCCCCAAACCGTAACGTGCAAACTGTTTGGATTTTCCCGGATTTTCACTGGATTATCGAAGCCTGAAAACTTACCTGGATCTGAGGTGTGACATAGCAAAGCTACAACCACTAGGCTTCTACACTATCCCTCATAAGTAATGCTGAAGTCATATATACTCCTGGTCAAAAGAAAGTATACACCCATGATTGATGCTGGCTAAAATGTGACAAACAAGAAAATTGATTTTTAATTAATGGATATTCGATAGTGATGTTTTTGATACGGACAGCATAGTTGTGTTTTCGATCTGAATAACGTTTGTTGAAAACGTATATATAGTGTTTGGTAAAATCCTGTTTTCAAATTTTGTACATTATTTTATCTGGCAGTTTAAACGAATCGATATCTTGAGTCTATTTGGGACTCGAGATAAGAAGGTTCGAGTCAGGTTTCATTGTATATGTGTATAATAATAATAATAATGGCCATTTATAAAGCGTCTGTTTCCACAAACTTGCGCATGCTCAAAGCACTCACACATTATTACCCCGGGTAACCCAAGCTGCCTGTTAGGTGCTAGAAGGTTATAGTTGCATGACGTATCCCATCGGGTACCCATTTTCTGCTGGGTGAACAGAGGCAATTTTGAACAAACTCACTTGCCTATGGTGAGACCACATGTATCACTTGTGCTTCGTTGTGGGGCTGGACTGAAGTCCAAGAAACTCTCAGTGCCCAACGTTGCTTAACGTAAACTGATTTGTGACCTCACCTCCATGCACAGGGCCACATGCCACCACTATATCGACCTTCTGTGTTCTACACCGTAAGAAGAAACCACAGATGTTTGTCTTACCCTTGTAATAAATGTGGTGTTTTTATTCACGAAGGCTGGTTTGTCTGTGCTGTTGTGGACAAGCCCCCATTGAAGACTGAAGCCTTTCAGGTTGGTCCGTGACCGCTCCTCGGGCATGGCGACATACACCTTGGCCCCCCTGGCCTTGGGTACCAGCACAATGACCACACCATCGTCGTCCTTCAGCACGGTGGCTGTAGCAAAACAGCATGGACATCAACAACACAGGCACGTCTAACGGTAAATTGTACGTTTTTGGTCATGCCGTTTTCTTGTTTGCTTGCTTTAACAGATTATTCTGTGACGTCACTTTAAAATAAAATATAATAAGGTTACATCACAGTATAATCATTCTGTAAATGTAATATCTCCCTGAAGATAAAATTTGTGTTATGTCATTTTGTGGATTTCTCTGTAAATGCACTACTGAACACTGCTGAACTTTACCCCTAATGCATATTTATATATGTGCATGTGTGTGCGTGTATGTCATTGTGTGTGCGTGCATGTAGAAAATAATGGTCCAATAACCTTAAATTCACTACCCACTGGTTGACCACCCATTCCATATAGCCGCCTCTTATTACACGTACATATTTCTTTAAGAACCTGTTGGGGACGGACTATCCCCAAGGGAACATGTACCAGTGACGGTACATGTTCCCTTATGGATAGTCCGTCCTTAAAGAAATATGAAATATATAGGTTCTTAAAGAAATATGCACGTGTAACAAGAGGCGGCTTTATGGACAGGGTGCTCAACCTCGGTGACTTGGTTGATTCCGCGTCAGCGTTGAGGCGTTGATCGTTGCTCACATTATCAATCACCAGATTGTCTGGTCCACTTTCAACTATGTTGATGTAGACTGAATATTGCTGACAGCAACAAGTAACAAACAGACAATGACATGTGACGGTGACCTGAAGGCTTACCGTATTCTGGAAGTTCGATTTTGGTTGTAATTGCTGGCGGGGCATCGTCGTCTCCAATCGGCCAGGGGGACATGGAGGTGACGGGCGACAACCATGACCCAACCAGACTGTGCCCGGGGGGTGTCGCGATTATCTGAAGAAGACACGAACGGCTATACCAAGTGAGATATAATCATACAAACAAGATACATCTACATAAGCATAGAGTGAGTGAGTGAGTTTAGTTTTACGCCACACTCAGCAATATTCCAGCTATATGGCGGCGGTCTGTAAATAATCGAGTCTGGACCAGACAATCCAGTGATCAACAGCATGAGCATCGATCTGCGTAATCGGGAACCTATGACATGTGTCAACCAAGTCAGCGAGCCTGACCACCCGATCCAGTTAGTCGCCTCTTACGACAAGCATAGTCGCCTTTTGTGGCAAGCATGGGTTGCTGAAGACCTATTCTACCCGGATCTTCACGGGTCCCATAAGCATAGACGACAATGCGGTATTTCTATGTTGTATTTTCTTGCGATTTATTTTAATGTACGGAACCAACCGTTTAATAGCACTAAGGTTAGTTTTACGCGGCTTTTAACACGGTGGGGGACACCAGAAATGGCTTCATACGTTGTAGCCACCTGGATCTTCGGCGTGACGAGCGAACGCCTTAAACAATAAGCTACCCCACCGCCCCCACAATAGTACCAAGGCAGGAGATAATTTCCAATTTGTAGGCATGTATGTACATGTATACTACACGTTTCGGAGGAACAGGTTTGTATATACTCTCTTCAAATAAAACTCATTCTGACTCTGTACTTACAATGTTTACTAATGCAAACTTGTTCTCGTCACTATATGGCTGGAATGATGCCGATGTGACGTAAAGCTCAACTCAACTCAACTCAACTGAACTCAACACTTCAAACAGGAGAAAGGATAGGAGATAATGAATGATGAAGCAGTCACTAAAAACGTCAGTTTTTATCGAGTTAGTTACCTTTGTTAATTACATGTTCATGAACAGGTGCAGTGTACAACCGTTTTATACAGCAGTTTCTATAAGACTGTCTGAAAATGTCATGGACAGGGAAAATAGAGCAGAAAGCTCGTCATTTCAATTTATCTTTGGATCATACTTCTTAGGATATAACGAGGCAGGTTTGTATCACACAGGCACTGCAAATACACGGATGTTGGCTTGTGTTGGAGATGAAGTTGTCTTCAAAATGTTAGTAACATGTTTTGCAATTGTTCATGTGATAATCGAGACAACAAAGGATGTTTTAAGCGTCGGAAAACTCCTGACACCACTGTGACCAGATACACCAGGGCGCCATATCTGTGACACCGGTATATCCACCTCAGTTCAACCAAAGACCGTCCGAGAAGTGGTAAACCAGGAGTCGTCACCATGCACAAAGTCCTTACATCCGGGTCTTTCATCTACGTCTTCGACATGCTACTTCCGCCGAAGATGGCGAATATTGGTCTGGTTTGAGGAGGCTGTCGGACTAAACAATCAGGCATCGTCTGCGTGAGGCTGGATTATGACCAAGAAGACAGATATGTGTCTCTGTATTCAAACGTTTGCACTGACAACATGTGCGGCGCCGTACACGCATGGACTCTGAGGACCAGGCTACAAGTCTGAATCACAATTTCTTCTCCAACGTCGAGATGGAAGAACCTCAACAGGTGAACAGATTCGGTTGTGGAAGTGTGATGGGGTCATTCTCACTTACCCACCACCCTAAAGTTATGATAAGGGATTAAAGAGGATTAGTGTACACGGCGGGTTAGTGATTACACTGCACACCGTGAAATTCGGTCCTGGTGGGTGACACTAATTAGTCTCATCCAGGTGAACGGTGTTCACCGTTCATGAACTGAGGTTATTGATTTGTTGTTGTTGCTGATTTTTTAAATAAATTTAGTGAACACTCTCTACCGGGTCATTCTCACTTAACCACCACCCTAAAGTTATGGGGACCTTATTTCACGGGGAGCAAAATTTAAGAGACATCTATTGTCCAGCGGATTATTCCGCTTCAGTGATTTGTCCACCTAGAACAATAGGTGGTTGGTAAACGAGAAGACCCCGTGTGATGGTGTGTGGAGCCATATCCTACGCACATCTAACTTTTTGTTCTTATTGGTGGTAGTTCTGGGGAATCTGACAGCAAATCCGTACATAGACTAAATTCTTCAATGCCACCTTTTCGATTAACGACTGAGGGAGCTGTTCCAACATGACAATGCTACAGCACACAGGTTTGTACATACCTGTACGCCATAAGTGTCCGAGGTATTTTGAGTTGAGTTCGCGAACTGAATTTCCGCCCATGTATTATTCTGAAATAGAAAACGCATGTATACAAAACCCGCACTACAAATATCGCTACAATAATCATTAATAAATAGTAGCCGTTAATGCTAAAAGCTAAAACAAACACCAAATTACTGGGTTTCCAAATGGTTCGGTACTTCTTGTATGACAATTAAAGTCTACTAACTGTGCTTCATTTGAAGATCAGTAGAAATAAATGAGAGTATTGATGACTGTTCTGTTTAGTTCAGCTGACAATGCAAGATTACCCCAGGTACAGTCTTGGTGCTGGTGTTGTACAGGGTTCCAAGGCCAATCAGTGGGTCGTACGTAGATAAGTTCAGTTTGCCCCATCTGAGGTGGTACTGGTCAATCTGACCTATGGACCCCTTGTCCGTGGGAGGCCTCCACCCCATCAACACCCGGTATCCACGCTGAATGGGCACCACCATCATTGTAATGTTCACCACATTGCCAGGGGGGTTGTCTGGGATTAAACGGGACAGGATATGTATCCATTTTACACTGTCTTGTGACCTTGTGAAAAAGTATTATTAGCTGCAAGCGCCCGTAATATATTCAGTGTCACTTGACATATGATTTTTTATTGTTTGCCGTCGAAATATAAGATCATCTATCTAACGTCTGTCCGATAATATACGAGTCTAGAACAGACAATGAGCATCGATAAACGCAATTTGTCTACAAGTCGGTACACTGCGCAGTCTATTGAAGTGCAAGACCCGACACTACAGATGTTGAAAATTCAAGAACATGGGCATTTTTCTGAAGATAACCTAGATGGCTTCTTTGATTTGTTTTGTTATATATACTCACAAATAGGCGTCTTCGGACATGAAAACCCGATCACATTATTGCAGTCTGAAATGAGAGAAAATAACAGTAAAATACCCTTCAGCATTCTCTTTTTCCATCTTTAAAGCCGAGATCAGAGCTGCTATAATACAGAAATACTTCCATCCCTGCTATAATACAGAAATACTTCCATCCCTGCTATAATACAGAAATACTTCCATCCCTGCTATAATACAGAAATACTTCCATCCCTGCTATAATACAGAAATACTTCCATCCCTGCTATAATACAGAAATACTTCCATCCCTGCTATAATACAGAAATACTTCCATCCCTGCTATAATACAGAAATACTTCCATCCCTGAAATATGCAAATACTTCCATCCCTGCCATACTTCCATCCCTGCTGCTATAATACAGAAATACTTCCATCCCTGCCATAATACAGAAATACTTCCATCCCTGCTATAATACAGAAATACTTCCATCCCTGCTATAATACAGAAATACTTCCATCCCTGCTATAATACAGAAATACTTCCATCCCTGCTATAATACAGAAATACTTCCATCCCTGCTATAATACAGAAATACTTCCACCCCTGCTATAATACAGAAATACTTCCATCCCTGCTATATTGCAACTTAATTCTGCTTTGTCATCGTGTAAATTGCTACTTAACACTGTTTTGATACCGTTTACATTGAAACTTAACCCTGTTTTGTTATGATATATATTGTAATTTAACCATGTTTTGTTATGCTATATATTGTAACTTAACCCTGTTTTGTTATGCTATATATTGTAACTTAACCCTGTTTTGATATGCTATATATTGTAACTTAACCCTATTTTTGTTATGCTATATATTGTAACTTAACCCTATTTTTGTTATGCTATATATTGTAACTTAACCCTGTTTTGATATGCTATATATTGTAAATTAACCCTGTTTTGATATGCTATATATTGTAACTTAACCCTGTATTGTTAGGCTATATATTGTACCTTAACCCTAATTGGAATTAACTGAGTTTTGTTCCATCACTATACATGTAGGTATGGTACGACATGCACGTGTTGTTGCATACCAATGTTGATGTTAATGCAACTGTATGGTCCAACTGCATTCGGGGTGCATCTTGAAAATGCCCGCACCTGAAAACCAAATGTAGCGGCCATCAATTCCACACATCCAAGAAAGAGAACACATCCACGATCTATAGGCAAAAAACGAGCGTCTGTCTGCGCGATAGGAATACCAAAAGCCGTATAAATGTGCTACATGTTGTCACCCTGCCTGCGGATAAAACAACGGCTGGTTTGCTTGGTGTCAGTGCACTGTGAAAGAGTGGAGTAACCACGTTTAACTTCGGTATGGGTTACAGACCCGTGAAGATCCGGGTCAGAATTGGTCTCCAGTAACCCATGCTTGTCGTCAACGTATCCCAATTGCGTAGATCGAAGCTCATGCTGTTGATCACTGGATTTTCTGGTCCAGACTTGATTATTTACAGACCGCCGCCATGAAGCTGGAATATTGCTGAGTGCGGCGTTAAACAACAAACCAACCAACCAATGGACAAGGACCAGGACAAGCGCACACGCAAGTACGCACGCACGCACGCAAGTGCAATCTTCTTAGGGGCTACGTTTGACCTCATTCACCTAACCTAATTCACAAACTGTTTTGAATAGGTTTAAAATGTGATCAGGGTTACGATTGGTCTTCAGTAACCCATGCTTGGCGTCTTACGGGATCCAGTGGGCAGGATCGGTGACAAATACCATTATATCCCAGATCGATGCTCATGTTGTTGATCACTGGATTGTTTGATCCAGACTCGATTATTTACAGACCGCCGCCATAATAGCTGGAATATTGCTGAGTGTGGCATCAGACAACAAACAAACATTACAATAACGCTGCCGAACCATGTTAACCCACAAGAGTGAGTGAGTGAGTGAGGTTTTACCCCGCTTTTAGCAATATTTCAGCAATATCACGGCGGGGGACACCAGAAATGAACTTCACACATTGTACTCATGTGGGGAATCGAACCTAGGTCTTCGGCATGAGAAGCCAACGCTTTAACCACTAGGCTACCCCACAGTCCCCTAACCCACAAGAACTATCATTGCAGACAAATATCATTAATTACTCACCTGGAACTTGAACTTACAACCCATGCCTCCCTTTGGCATTCGGACATTCAAACTATTCGAATGATGGGTCTGAAATGAAGTTTATAAGACATAATGGAGGTCCGTGAATGTTGAAATTTGTACACATTTATTCAAATGCATTTGAAAATGTTGCACCATGTTTTCTTTTTTGGTTTTGAATCTTGTTTTTGTATAAACCGACGTAACCGTGATGTGTATATATTTCTTTCAATGCAAATTCAGGAAGGTCAACATGTTTGACAAGGCCGTTATGTTGCTGTAATAATAAGTATTAATGTGTCCATTTATATAGCTCCAAACTCCGCACCAGGTACTCTCATAGCGCTAACAATGAATAGCACAACCCATTATTACCCAGGTAACCCAAGCAGCCTGTTAGGCACTATAAGGTTATAGTCACATGACCTATCCAACCCGGTACCCATTTTCTGCTGGGTGAACAGAGGCATAATGAACAAACTCCCTTGCTTAAGGTGAGACCACATGTATCACACGTGCTTCGTTGTGGGGCAGGACTGAAGTCCCAGAAACTCTTCGGAGTCAAGATGCCAAACACGGTCACCCAGTTTTAGTAAACATGGGCTCAGGTTATTTGTTACACCGTGTAACGACTGATTTGTGACCTGATCCTGACTATGACTGAGTGAGTTTGGTTTTACGCCGCTTTTTAGCAATATTTCAGCAATATCACGGCGGGGACACCAGAAATGAACTTCACACATTGTACCCATGTGGGGAATCGAACCCTAGGTCTTCGGCATGAGAAGCCAACGCTTTAACCACTAGGCTACCCCACAGTCCCCTAACCCACAAGAACTATCATTGCAGACAAATATCATTAATTACTCACCTGAAACTTGAACTTACAACCCATGCCTCCCTTTGGCATTCGGACATTCAAACTATTCGAATGATGGGTCTGAAATGAAGTTTTTAAGACATAATGGAGGTCCGTGAATGTTGAAATTTGTACACATTTATTCAAATGCATTTGAAAATGTTGCACCATGTTGGCTTTTTTGGTTTTTGAATCTTGTTTTTGTATAAACCGACGTAACCGTGATGTGTATATATTTCTTTCAATGCAAACTCAGGAAGGTCAACATGTTTGGCAAGGCCGTTATGTCGCTGTAATAATAAGTAATAATGTGTCCATTTATATAGCTCCAAACTCCGCACCAGGTACTCTCATAGCGCTAACAATGAATAGCGCAACCCATTATTACCCAGGTAACCCAAGCGGCCTGTTAGGCGCTAGAAGGTTATAGTCACATGACCTATCCAACCCGGTACCCATTTTTTTGCTTGGTGAACAGAGGCAAAATGAACAAACTCCCTTGCTTAAGGTGAGACCACATGTATCACACGTGCTTCGATGTGGGGCAGGACTTAAGTCCCAAAAATACTCCGGAGTCAAGATGCCAAACACGGTCTTCCAGTTTTAGTAAACATAGGCTCAGGTTATTTGTTACACCGTGTAACGAACAATACTGAGCCTAAGTTTACTTAGACTGATGGTCACCCATCCAAGTACTCTTCGCGCCCAACGTTGCTTAATTTGAACTGATTTGTGACCTGATCCATGAGCTCTATGCACTGGAGTGAGTGAGTTTGGTTTTACGCCGCTTTTAGCAATATTCCAGCAATATCACGGCGGGGGACACCAGAAATGGGCTTAACATATTGTACCCATGTGGGGAATCGAACCCGGGACTTCGGCGTGACGAGCGAACACCTTAACCACTAGGCTACCCCACCGCCCTCTATGCACTGGACCACACGCCACCACTGTGTTACCATATAACCTGACGTACAGAGAAATATACCTACCTGGTCTTAGGGGATTATTTTCTATCGCTTATTTCGGCAAAACCTACACAATGTTTGATAATAATCCCAAAACACGAGGTGGACACTTTCTTTTGTACGTCAGGTTATAGATACTAACTACCGATCATTTTCGACAAAACATACTACTTGGTTATTTTTACAATGCCTCCCAGGTATAACAATATTATAGTTTTAATAGATTGGACCATTCTCGACTATTCCGTGTGTTATATTATCATTATTTAAAAAAAATATAACAGGATTGGATAATCGGGCCATCGTATCGCAACTGATCGATGCTGATAATGTTACTCACTGGATTGTCTGGTACAGACTGGGTTATTTACAGACCGACATCATACTGCTGACAAACAAACAAATATCACGACAAAATGGAAAGAAACAACGCCCACCGAGGTCTGAGAGTCGAAGAAGACAGGTACACTTTGACCACTGTTTGAGCAGGGCTGGTCAAGGTTTTTCGTCCAGCTGTACATGATGATCTCGCTGTTATTCCAGCCTGAAAGAGGTCGGTGGTATCAGGTTAACTTATTATAACTGCTTATATGAAAGTTTTAACAAAATGCAACATCAACATCTGTCATTTAAATATCACGGCGGGAAAAATGGGCTTTGTACATTGTATCTATACAAAGTGTGAGTGAATATGGTTTTACGCCGCTTTTAGCAATATTCCAGCAATGTCACTGGGGGGGGGGGGGGCACCAGAAATGGGCTTCACACATTGTACCCATGTGGGGAATCGAACCCGGAGCTTCGGCGTGAAGAGCCAACGCTTTAACCACTAGGCTCCCCCACTGCCCCTATCTACACGAGGAGATAAACCTGGGCCTTCGGCGCTCTGCTTTAACCTTAACCACAAGGCCATCCATGCGTCAATTAAGAGTGATTATCTTTGACTCTTTGCCCCTTTCTTAGTCAGTGGGAAGAGGTGGTCAGGTGACAAGGGGTTTAGCATTAAGTCATTTGAATAGTGTGCGTGCGTACGTGCACGTCTGCTTGTATTTGTCCGGACTATTTCCTACTTTGCCGCTGTATCACTCCGCATACGTCTCCAAGGCGACTAGTCCTTGTTTTACCCTTTAATGCTGAGCACCAGGCGGGGCAACAACAAGTACTATCTAGATTGTCTGGTCCACCCTCGGCTATTCACAAAGCAGGAATATTGTCGAGTGTGGCGTAAAACCACGACAGAATCGACTTCTTAAATCAACAGATTGTCGTAATTTCTCCATTTCTGAGTCTGTTAATTGTAACGTGATGTCACGTCTGTGTAAAGAAAAATGTCAGTCCTGGAAAGCGTGACAGAAGCAGTCACGTGCAACATATGCTTATTACCCAACATTCTTCACAGTAGGTCATGTCTCACCTTCCGGTTCCTGCCAATACAGCACGAACTTGATCTCCTCAGTCTTGGCATCGTAGACAAATGGACTATGGGTGATGTTCCTCACCTCCACTGGAGCGATCGCTGTGGAATATATACGTGATATACACGTGTGGCTGGCATCCACGATATTTGTACACACTGCAATATTCAGTCATGCATGATCAACATCAGTGAACTTATCCCATCCCCACACGGACTCTGAGAAACAGACCATCATGGATATTGGAGATACCCATATGTCGTGGAACAATCTCCCCAACAATTTCCAGGACATTTACAAACTCGACCAGTTCAGGCGAATGCTAAAAATGCAGGTTTTTGACAGAGCCTTTGCCTGAGCGCCTCTGGTCAATTTGTTGGAAAAGGTGCCTTAAAAATATTAATTTTATTTTTAAAAATTCCAACTGCAATTAATTAAGACGTTTTATAGAGGGTACGGGGGAGACATCAATAATAAATTTAACAAAAAGGAATGCCGTTCTATTTCAAATTCAGCTAGAATGATTAAATTGAATGTACATTTGGCGTTAGGCTGTCTCGCAGTACCTGAATCATGTTACTATCCCTTAAACCAAGCCCATAATATGATGCTGAGGCCCTGAATGCAGCAAATCTGGGTTTCCTCATGTCCACAATCTCCCCTCACCCCACCTCTATCCTTTCCAATGGGCTCCTTTTCAGTTCAAATGAAATTATTTGTTTCAAAATCTTTTCTAAAGTAAGCGGGAGGGTAGACACCTGGTGTTTTGATGGGATCAGTGAACCATCGTGATCCGAACCTGGACACCGCAGCGACTCTGAACATCGGCCGTACACAGACATCTGTTTCCTCATTCACTAGGTAGGTGTCGCTGATAGTCTGAAACAGAGCACGTTCTGGAATTACAACATTCAAGGGTTCCACGAGGCGACGGAAACATGGTTAATCTATCACTGAGGACACCTTGAAGAGTTACGTCCCCTAGGCATGCGAAATTCTTGATGAGTTATTGATGTATATAAAGGATATTATATCAAAATCAGAGATACTAGACGTATGTCAATGTTTAAGTTTAAACACCATTTGGTTTCTTTCGTCAATGCGGAAAATTCCCCTCCTGGACATATTGACATCAGTGCTCCAGGCAAATTTCCAACCATATGAGTGAGTGAGTTTAGTTTTTAGCAATATTCCAGCAATATCACGGCGGGGGACACCAGAAATGGGCTTCACACATTGTACCCATGTGTGGAATCGAACCCGGGTCTCCGGCGTGACAAGCGAACGCTGTAACCACTATGCTACCCCTCCAACCATATAAGTACCGTCCAGCACAGACATGACGAGTACCAACCATACTTTTTCAGACCAATAAATGCCATACTGCTCGCTTGTAGAATTGACAAGTATTGATATTATCAAGACCTTCTTTCCAAGACCTTGTGATTTACATTGTGTTTCCACGTGTACGTAAACTAAACCAAGATGAGAGAATTTGAGCGCACTATTAGCCAATGGCAACTCAAGATACGGAAGAAATTTATTTGCTGCTGACACGAAACAAGCTGAAGGTAATGCCTGGCAGGCACCTAGAACTATCTTCTGAAGAACGTTTATGAAGATAAATAGACAGGATATGGTAACAATTAATCATGAGAGTGTACATCATTGTTTGCCTGCGAATTTGATAACGTTGTAGTTTGCAATTCGTCCGCATTATAAGGGCTTCCATCAATACGACGATATGGCATCTGTCTGGAGTTTGCGTTTACAGAAACAAGAATGCAACTCTGTCACAGAATGAACATAAGCAAGTGTTTCAAACGACCGAAAACATCGACCCGTGAAGATCCGGGATATAATTGGTCTCGAGGAACCCATGCTTGTCGTAAAAGGCGACTAACGGCATCGGGTGGTGTCATCGATCCCAGTTGCGTAATGGATGCTCATGCTGATGATCACTGGATTGTCAGGTCCAGATTCATTTACAGACCGACGCCATATAGCTGGAATATTGCTGATTGCGGCGTTAAACAAGCAAGCAACCAAAATATGGACCAATGTCACTCACCCATCCCTGCGTATACCACGATATGCTCTTGAGTTCCCGGGGGCTCTGACTAGGGAGGGGTGGTACATTGAAGAGCGTCTCCGGGTGCAAGGCCAGGTCCCACTGGACGATGTAGATGATCTTGTGTTGGGTCGTGGTGTCCAGGGTCCAATGGAGCATTATGTTACGGGTCACTGGGTCCCTCAGGATCTTCACGTCCGGCTTTGGAGGAAGGTAGCCTGAAATAGGAGGTGTAGCTTGTCCCACAACTGTTTGAGTTAGTGAGTTTATTTTTACGCCGCTTTTAGCAATATTCAAGCAATATCTCGGCGGGGGAAGCCTGAAGTGAGCTTCACACATTGTACCCATGTGGGGAATCGAACCGGGTCTTCGGCGTGACGAGCAAACGCTTTAACCACTAGGCTACCCCACCACCCCTCACAACTGTTTTGGTCCTTAGTCAATTATCATCGTATTTGTTTGGTCTCAAGGAGTCAATGATCACTGTATGCGTTGGTCCCAAGTAATAAAATGTTATTGTATCTGTCAATGACCATTGTGTGATGGATTTGATTTTTTTATCAATTGATTTGCCAACATATCTGCTTAAATTCGGAACAAATTATCAACATAGGTAACAATTTCTGGTAACAAGGTCAATATATGAAGTTAGAGTGTATGAGTATGGTTTAATACCCCGTAGAATATTGGCCTTCAGTAACCCATGCTTGTCGTAAGAGGCGACTAACGGGATCGGGGATTCTGGCTAGCTGACTTGGTTGACAAATGTCATCGGTTCCCAATTGCGCAGATGGATGCTCATGTTGTTAATCACAGGATTGTCTGGTCCAGATTCGATTATTTACAGACTGCCGACATATAACTGGAATATTGCTGAGTGCGGCGTAAAACTAAACTCACTCACTACTACCCCGTTTGGCTATATTTCATCATTATCACCGCGGAGGACGACTGAAATTGGTACTCGCTGCTCCCGTGTGAGGAATCCTCGATGTAAACAATGAACGCTTTAATAAGCAGGTTACCCACTAGGCTACAGCACCCCCATCACCACCCCAACCACCCACCGAAGCGGTGGGGTAGCCTAGTGGTTAAAGCGTTCGCTCGTCGATTCCCTACATGGGAACAATGTGTGATATTGCTGCCATGTTGCTAAAAGCGGCGTAAAACTAAACTCACTCACTCACCCAATCACCCACCACACACGACACCTTACATTTTCACTTCCAAAACTAACTGTTTTTTAATTTAAGCGGGGGAGTTAGATAAGGAATAGCGACCTAATAGTTTTGGAAAAGGAACACTGGTAACCATAGCGATAAAAAATCCTTATCTCAGATATCTGTCTCTGAACATTTTCTCACGTGACCATTTCGAAAGGCGCAATACGGTGCTGAGAGGCATAAATACTAGTCCACAACTCAATCTCATTGGCTGCCTGATTCGACAGTCCACGTCTTAAAGTGCAAGGCCTTAGTCAATGATGCAATGGAATCTAAACAGGCCATCAAACTAAACGTGTTGTCCAACAGCCGAAGGCATGTGAGGGGGGCCAAACAAAATATCATTGAGTTACTTTAAAGCAAGATTCAATGTAACCTACGCAAAATGATTTCGAGGTTGGTTGAGTTTTTAATTTTTAATGTTGTCAAGTCACATTCATGACTTTTGCGCTCATACAACAGCGTGCAAGATGGTACCTGTTCTTAACCCACCTTCGTTCAGGATTAGGGAATTAAACAAGGACTGATCGGCTCGGAATCTTTATAATGAATTGGAGTGGGAATATTCACTTCGGCGTGGCATTTTATTGAGCCAGAACTATAAGAGTCGGGATTAGTACAAGCGGCAACACACATGTACATGCATAGCTCTTGATCTTTGGACACGTGAAGGTCCGGGTTAGAATGAACCTTCAGTAACCCATGCTTGTCGTAAGAGGCGACTAACGGGATCGGGTTGGTCAAGCTCGCTGGCTTGGTGGACACATGTCATCTGTTCCCAATGACGCAGATCGATGCTCATGCTGTTGATCACTGGATTGTCTGGTCCATACAGATTATACAGACCGCCGCCATATAGCTGGAATATTGCTGAGTGCGGCCTAAAACTCAACTCACTCACTCACTCACTTGATCTTTGTTGGTGCATGCCAAGCAATCCCATTCGCGTAGATCAATGGTCATGGTGACATTCAGCAGATTGTTTACAGACCGACCTCATATGCACATAAACCTATGAAGATCCGGATTAGAATTGGTCATCAGCAACCCATGCTTGTCGTAAGAGGCGTGTGTTCAGGCTCGCTGATTTGGTTGATACATGTCATTGTATCCCAATTGCGTGGATCGATGCTCATGATGTTGATCACTGGATTGTCTGGTCCAGGCTTGATTATTTACAGACCACCGCCATATAGCTGGAATATTGCTGAGTGCGGCGTTAAACAACAAACAAACAACAAGCATATGCCCTTAACATTACTGAGGGGCGCTGAACAACAAGCAAAGGAAACAACCAAAAAGAAAACAAGACAAATACCGCTGTAATACCTACCTCCTTGACTGATGTTCTTGAGGACCGAACAGTACCCAGCCCCTCTGCAGTCGCCGCCATCCTGGAATCAACAGAGAGGAAGGTGGGCCAGTTTCTTTTGGACACAACGTCCAGACGCCAAACAACGATTTCTGTGCACATTTCCAGATGGAATAAAGAATAAATACTTATGTGAACTCACTGTGCAGTTGATTATCCACTGTCTCCGTGTACTTGGTCTGCAAAGGTCTTCGCATTTGTCCTGGATAACATATGACACTATGTGTTCAGATGGAACATTTCCTTTAGTTCTCTACATTTACGTAATAGTATATTCTGTCGAGTGAAAACTTTTGTTTAAGCACGTTAACTCGAAGTCCACTAATCCGTCAGCTTTGATGTCAGTGTGACATTTTAGTTACGATTGAATTCGTTTTTGCTTTATGATACAATTTCGAGACTTCGGTTGTGTCGAACAACAGAACTCGATACATTTACGATGATCCTGAGGACTTCGAGTTAACGAGATTTCAATGTACATGCAAAACCACAATAAAGTATTCATGGGTTCATCCTCGGCCACGACAGACATCGCATAACAAGGTCATAGCAAAGGTGATAATAAGGTCATTACAAGGTCATTACAAGGTCATTAGGGGCCTTTCATGAACCTGCAAGGCCGTGATACTTATCATTCTGTTACATGCATACCGCAGGGTCTGGTTGCTCTTGACATAGGGCCTCGCATTGGGCATCACAGACTCCTTTAACGGAAGACAGCTCCCGATGCCATAGAAACACACTGGTGACGTCACACAGGATCATCCATAACGTCAAAAACGTTAAAATAACGTGAACCGCGTTCTTCATGGCGTAGACAGTACGGAGAAGTGTACATGTGTCTTAGTCGAATATGTCAACGTGATTATCTCTCCTTCCACTGCCCACTCAGAACAAAAAGCCAGATGACACGCACATTGGAACATTCTTATCAAGGGAGTCCATCTCTAATGTTGTCTAGGAAACTCCTAGCGTCACATCTCGGGCGCACAGGAAAACGCTATTAACATGGCACTTCTCTGAATTGTCTGTCTTGAATACGAAGCGATGTATCCGGTAACAAAATGTTTAATGGCAACAATTGAAACACCAAATGTTTCGAAAAGATAATCCGCCAGATGGGTGTTCCCATATCGCCATACAGCTGTTGGCTGACACTGATAACACCATTACCTTGATCTGCAAGTGTAAATATTGGTTTGGTGAAGTTCAGTAGATAAGATTAACGTCAACGCCGGGTTAAATGGTTCGTGTCTCATTCGTGTTTATACAATCATGTAATGATGCAATGCAATGGCTTTTGCAAAAATGTTCAAGAGTCATTTAGAATTTGGTTTGGATGCATCGTCAATGGGGATAAGGTTGGCTCGTGGATTTTAAGCTCTTTAAACATTAAAGGAGACATTTCGGGAACATGTTAGTAATAAAGCAAAGTGGTAACAAACGAGATGTGTTTATCACTTGCATCCAGAGCTGCTGTTTGTTCTTTGTATCTCGAATGCAAACATGAACGTTCAGCGTTGAATGGAAATAATACAGACAGCGCTATTATATTGATGTAGATTTTTTACACCCAGTCGCTTCTATCATTAATGACATCTAAAATCAAATACGATTACTGTGTTTGTGTGTTTTCCGTATAGAGGTGATCAATAAAGAAATGAATCCGATTCTTTGTAGAAAGCTGATTGGCTAAAGAATCAGTATTTCTCATTTACATTGGGCGGTGGTCGCAGAAAGTCAGGATTCGAACACCTGAAGCGTCTTATCAATCATTTTCTTGGAAGATATAAATTTTGCTGATTCGTAATGGATTTTCCAGGGGGAAAACCCCAAAATAATTAAATTTTAAAACAAATTCAAATTGTTAATTGAAAGGTCAGTGTATTTCAGTTGCTTTTCTGAGATGCACATCAGTTTCAGATAAGTAAATTTGAGCTGTGATATAGCGTATTTAGTCCAGATTTTCACAATGATTTAGTCCAAATGAGAGTTTACTTTTCACTGAAATTAATGCTCCCCTGTCGTTGTGCTGCAATGATATCTCCCGGCTGCTGAGAGCACTTCCGGGATTGATACGATGGCTGATTTGAACGCCAAGTATCAGAAATTGGCAGCCGAATACTCCAAGGTTTGTAGATCACCTGCTTTCAGTAATTACCAGACCAGACGAGGAGGAGTTGTTCTCTGTAATGAATGCCAATTGATAAATGTTAATCGTTAGATTGTTGAAATACGGTAAGTGAAAGTGGGTCGGCGAGAGGCACACGCCCCCGATCATCTGATGTGATTGTTTACAACTGGCAGGATTTTGTTGAAGTAGTAAGCTACTGTTTCTTTAATTGATTTATTCCTAACTATGTCTCAATATAAACATAATATAACAGAAAGAACAGCATGATTATGCCATTGTAATGATAGGCAGTAATGTCACAGTTTTTCAGAAAATCGAAGGACATTATTTTAGACCTAGAAGCAAAGATATTTTAAAGAGATGCTTGAATTTCACGGTGACTGACCCAAGTCTAGTGTAGGCCTGAACTTTTCAATTGATGCCCTGTATGAAACTGAAAGGTGTCCCTGATTTGCAATTTAATTTATGAGATGAGTAAAGTAAGTAAATGGTTAATTGGCCAGTCTTCAGAATATAATGTTTATGTATCGTACTCTAAAATCACATGGTATGCTGTATTCATACTGACACTGGTGCTCTTTTCTAGGACTGATCATCAGGCAGTCAGATAACAAACCTAAACTGTTGTTGTGTATCTATATTATGATGCCAGTGTCATATATGCTTTACATTAACTGTGACCATTGAGTCATTGCTTTTGCAGCTCAAATCCCAGTATCCTGTTCTGAAGAAAGCATACATTGATGAACAAGCTGAAAGTGAAAAACTAACGGTATGTATATAGTAGGGCTGGGTATTGCAGATAATTTTCATATTGCGATATATTGTGATGCGAAATCATATATTGCAATATGTATTGCAATATATTGCATGAAGTCTCTTTTAACAAAAAATGACTCATAATCGCGTAAATGCTTTATTATGAAGCAAAAACACAACAAATTCACAATGCTTGATTAAGCTTTAATAACAACTTTTAATCATGACAAAATAAAAACCGTGAACTTTTTCAACCCAAATGCTGCCATGCTTAAACCTTTGTCCTAGTATTTGTTCGTTGTTGGGTATCACCATTTTACAACAATCGCATGACTTCCGGTGTGAAAAACGGATATATCCGAAGATTTCTGTGTGTTACAAAGTTTTCCTAACGCATGTCAAAATACCGGTTTTCAATCAGCGTATCGCAATACGTATCGTTTTGATGACTGAACTGGTAAATACCGGTAAACCGGTTATGTTGCACAGCCTTAGTATATAGATATAGTCATTGTCCATCAGTTGATGTTTTTGTGATAGACAACCTGTTCATAGGTGAGAGAAGCTTATGTGGTCTGTTTCGTTGTTGAGTTGTATACCTTAGCCATGATTGTTTTGTCATGTCGGTTGTGGGTTTGAATCCCAGGTTTTGGCCTCTGATTTGTCTGCACCATGCCAGTGCTCATGGTTTTGACCAATTTGATAGATATGATAATGAATGATAAAGAATATTTCTTATTGTACTTACACAGTGTGAGGACACAATGTGATAGATGTGCACATTGTATGTCACTTTGGGCTTTCTTTCAACGTTATAGCTGAAGAGATGTTGTTTGAATGAAATACTGTTCATGGCAGCATGGAACACAGCTGATTATAATCATAAAGTCCTAATAGTATGGTGACACTGACAGTTGATATCAGATCCTAAGTTGTTACATAGATCCATTAATCTGTGGAAAACAGTAACATTAATGCAGAGCTCATGTAGATAAAGCTTAAAGTGACCTGAGTTTTGAAATTGTGAGCTTTATTAGCAGTAAAGTTTTGATTGTTTTCGATGGCATCTTGTTATTTAGTGTATAATGTCCTTATTCTATTATGATAAATTCAGTGGACGATCCTACAAAGGTGCATTTTGGAAATAATGTCACTGTCTTCACATCTCTTTTCACAACTGTGCACAGAATGTGCACACTGATTTGTAAATCAGAGCAATAGTTTTGGCAATCTTTGAATACGTCCCAGTATGGTGTTGAAATATTGCCCAATGTGAATGTGTTTCTTATTACTGTTATTGTAATGGATGTTGGTGGTTGTTGATAAGTGAAGCAGTTTATGAGATGTACAGTGAATCCAAAGTTCTTGATGGCCATTTTGGTTGGGACAGATGTAAAAGTAGGAATCCTTATGCTAAAGTATCTTGATGTAACCGAATTTAGTGATATGGACAATAGTGTTGGGACTTGATGATTGGTTCATGTGATCAATCATCAAAAAAAAGTAAGGAATGCACATAAAAATAAGGAAAAACATATGTTCTTTTGGGGGTTTTGGCATAATTTCACATCTTTAAAATATGGATTGTATCTGAGTCTTTAAGATAAATCAATCATGAGTTGCAAGAAATGTAACAGACAAAACCAATTAAAAATATTGTTTATGATATGGACAATTGACCAATCTTCGATTATTTCAATTAATCGGACCACCACTAATGGACAATTGCCTTAATGTGAAAGAAACTTTCAAATGACATTATTTTAACATTGTTGTCCTTCAGGGCTGTTACAGTTCACTTGCGTATTTGGTGAATCAAACTACATGTATATCCTAAGGAAGGATAACAAACTATGGATGAACAACTTCTTTATTACAGTGAGATCGACGTTTCGGTATAGATTCTAACACTGTTTTCAAGCAAGTGATGAACAGAATAAGGATTGAGAGGCATATATTCAAGTGTGAGGAAGTGTTTGTACAATACAATACAATGGGGATTAGGACTGAAATAACATGGGGTAGCCAGTATACAACACAAAGCTTAAGATAGAGAGAAGCGTTAACACGTGTGCCAAACGTTGTTCATCCACAGATTGTTATCCTTCCTTACTGCTCTAACTTCATAACACCTCTCAAAGAACACTTCTAATATTCGTATTCTGTGCTAAATAATCAGTATGTATGTGTATGTATGATGTGTATGATATTCGCCTCCTAGTGGATTTGTTGCTACCCTAGTTTCCTTCATACTTGACGAGGGAGGTTGGGTAGTCTTGTGGTTAAAGCATCCACTCGTTACACTGAAGACCCGGGTTCAATACCCCATATGGGTTTTCTGGTGTCCCCCACCATGATATTGCTTGAATATTGCTAAAACCATACTCACTCACTCATTCACTCACTCCATACTTGACTCATTAAGCTGTTGTCGCCACTGGTTCCAATGTATGCTACACAACATTTGCTGAGGACCAGACCTTTGACTACATACAGATGGCTGTTTTGGTCCTTATCAAATGTTGAGTAGCATATTTCTCATGACATGGAGACATGCTACCAATCACAAATCATTTATCTTTAATTGCAGCTCACTGTAAAAGAGAAGGACCAATCCATTCGTAAACTAGAGCAAGAGGTTGACAGTCTTGTGTTTCGTAACCAGCAACTGTCAAAACGGGTGTTATTTCTTCAAGAAGACTTGGAACAGATTGAGTCATCCAAAAAGAAAAAAGTGACTACCTGCATTTACGTTGTTATAATTTTTCACAATGAATAAGATAATGAGGGAATATGGTATGGGCTGTGAGTGTTCAAATAAGTAAAGGCTTTCATGTAGTTATTTATGGTGTTCTTTAAGTATTTTCATTTCAGTACGTTGTCATTACGTGCTACCGTAGATGTAGATGACGCCTACTACAAATTATGACATGAATTTATTTATGATGTTACACCTGTATTAAAAAATTATTAATTATTGAACGTGACCCATTTGTACATGGAAAATGTCTAAAACATGATAAATGAAATATATGATTGATTTGAATATTGAACCTGAAACACATAAAAGTTCATGAGTACTTGATGACAAATATATGATTATAAAGTTATAATTAAGAATTGAGAATTCAACTTATATTTTGAAAACATATGGTTCAGTACTCAGCAAACTTGACAAGATACACATCATAGGTAGTTTGGTTATAACATTACTATGATTACTGCTAGAGTCTAGCATTGTGTTTAGGGTGGTCAAATACATTGTATGTATGAAGCAATGTGGAAAGCAAGCAAATCGTACTTGAATTTATATGAAGATAATTGAGCATTCGTGTAAGAATACTTAGTGGTACACCAAGGTGAAGGTTGTTCGTAGATCGAAATCCTTGGTTGGTACCTTTCTTAGACGATTGCCTTTCAGTCATGCCTCATGATCCGTACCTTCAATTTGAACGAAGTACTCTGTTTCATGTTATCAATTCTTACTGAATCACCAATTTTGAGAATGGGGGCAGCCATGTTAGTTTACAAACAATGTAAACTCGCGACGACGTCATCAATAAAATGTTAACGTTTTAGGATTCGCATGGCATGTGTGTGGAGTTTGGTGAAAGTAGTTCGTGGATTGGCGTAATTTGCATAGTTATCAGATTTGGATACCAAGTTTATCAGATTGCTTTATTGCACCAATAATACCCTCCATTAGATGATAAATTGTATATATGAAGCAATGTGAAACCCCTGTTGGCTTCATTGATGAATACAAACTGCAATGATTACTGCTCATATGTGCTATACGGATACTGATATCACAGAAACATTAAATATGCAAATCGTAAAGGTAATCTGATGTATATGCATGAAGTTGTGTGTATCTCTGATTTCCTCCCAAGGGAAAGAGTAACGATGTTGCAAGCACATCGGATGCGGGGAGAGGAACCAGCGTGTTGAGCGAGGAGTTACAGAGCAAGATAGAGGAGAATGCTCGGCTTCATAAACAGGTTAGTTTATCTCTTCGTAGTTTATCTTCTCGCAGTGATTTATCTAAATCTGCTCAGAGGCTGATATTCTTCATGTCTAAGCAAACGTCAGTACAAATTGTGATACATGCCACAATATATTGCATGCACTAGATTGCATTGTCTGTGAATGATGTGTCTGTATGTGTGTCATTATATTTGTGTTTCCTCTGACATTTTTCTCAGCAGAATCACCATATTTGCACAATGCAGTGTTATACTTGAATTTCTGATCCTGTTTCATTTAAAAAAAAAATTAAATCCATAATGGACCCGTTCAGCGTATTCAAATGATCAGATATGCTCATCCACCATTTTGTTTGAAGTTGATATTGTCTCAACATATGCATAATACACACATCATATGCATGAAGCTGGTCACAAAGACTTCTACTAAATGTTTTTGATTATATGAATTAGTTGCTGAAGTTCTGTCAGAAATAGAAAAAAACTGTTTTCAGGCCTTTTCTCTGTATCCCTAAAATTTACACAACTGCAAGTAGCATATGTTGAAATAACCCACATCGGCCTAACTGGACATTTAATGGGATGCTTAATAGGATATCCAGTAAAGCATGTTTACTTGTAAAATCAGGCAAAACTTAGACAAAATATGAATAGCTGCTGAAAACAATAGATCAGACTATTGATGGCAGTTAGGTCGCTCAGCCAGGTATATGACGACGGACCGTCGACTCACCTGGCATGAAATGCATGTGCTGCCTACAGGCACAAGAGATCATCTCAAAGATATTTTATCTTACATGTCTTTCTTCCATAAAGTTTATGTTGAGATATGTAAAAGGGTATGATACATGTGATACCTATAGAAAAGCTTAAATCAGCCATCATATTAAATGTCTCAAAATATATAGGTGGCATGACCACCCGAAGATCGAAAAGACAGGATATTATTTGTCAATTGTTATGACATGCCATTTACTTCCCCAGTTTAATTCCCCTAAAGGATTATCTTATCTTAGCTGCGCGACCCCAACCACCGTCTGCGACACCCGTCCTGGTTTTGCTTTTGAGACGAACCCTCCTACCTGTTTGTTTTTATAGTGATAGTGAGACTCCATGGTAGCTGCATCCTTCATAGTTTCAGTATTAAAGTTATTATTTTTTACGTCAGCCATCGTTTATAATGAAGCTAAGTCTAATTTCAAAATGGGCATTTAAAAAGTGTCCTTTGTAATACAATATTATCGCTTATGAATTTGCATAAGGCCATGGTCTGTTCCAAATAAGTCACTTTGGACTTAGAAAAAAAACACATTGCCATTTTTGCACTAATCTCTCCTCAGAAAAGTCCTTTTGTCACGTTTTCTATCTCCCTACCACTGAGACTGTAGTTAGGCTGAACTTAGTTTAACAGATATTTCACACTTTCATATATCAACTACATAAATTGTAGACATAAATGTGAAAAATAAATATTTCAAACCTTGGTAACTGTTTTTACCACGAACCTCTAGTTTTGAAGTAGAAACTGAAGGCAATAGACAGTATGCACTTGCAAACTGGATTTGATAAAAGATTTACAAACATTATGGAAACAGTCATAGGTGGTAAACAGTCCTTGAAAGATTGCAAACAGGATAGGAAACACAAGTATTTAAAAATCCCACTGATTGAATGATTCAGTTTCCTGACAAGTGAATTTGTTCTGTTCTCCTGTGAACATATTTGGGGCGGTGGGGTAGCCTAGTGGTTAAAGCGTTCGCTCGTCACGCCGAAAACCCGGGTTCGATTCCCCACATGGGTACAATGTGTGAAGCCCATTTCTGGTGTTCCCCCTGATATTGCTGGAATACTGCTAAAAGCGGCGTAAAACTAAACTCACTCCTGTGAACATATTCACAATTTTGTTGTTCCAAAATCCCAGATAAGTATTTGGGACATGGGTTGCACAATACATAGCCAAATGATATTATTTGTGATTATATGCAGTGAACTCATTATCTTCGAGTGCCAGGGTGTAAAGAAACATGTTTACAGTACTGGGTTGACAGGGAGTGGTCTCAGAAGTTGGTTAATGTGTAAGTGTGACATGTTGTTAGAGATAAGGACTTTGAGATAATCTCTCATTTGTGACATTACTTACATCCATGGTCATGTGGAATGGCTATGATTTATGAATTTTCATATCATGTTCTAGATGGTTGGTTGTGGCATGTGTGGATGTGGTTCTGTGCAAGGTTTGCATAGATTTGAAAAGTGCTTGAATTTGATATTTCTCACTAAGAGGGCTTGATTACTGCTGGAATTGTATAGATCATCCTTGAAAAGTGCTGGAATTGGGATGATTTATTGACATATAACTGTACAAAATTATGTAGATAAATTAGATCTAAAATATATTTCATTATCGGCACAATTTTATCATGTTGTTTACTTCCTGTCTACTGTGATCGATATAATGATTATTCAACTGTCATCTGAAAACTTGACATAATATCTTTGGTACAATTTGAAAAGAGTGGTGTTTGAAAACAAATCATATATCCATGAAAAGTCCTTGAAAAGCCCTTGAATCTCATGGCTCTTATTGAACCCTGTCTGTGTGTTCTGGTGTGTGCCTGTGCATTCTAGTGTGTGTCTGCCTGTACCTGTGTGTGCCTGCCTGCATGTGTCTGTCTGTCTGTCTGTCTGTCTGTCTGTCTGTCTGTCTCTCTCTCTCTCTCTCTCTCTCTCTCTCTCTCTCTCTCTCTCTCTCTCTCTCTCTCTCTCTCTCTCTCTCTCGGTGTGTCGGTATGTGTGTCTGCCTGTACCTGTGTGTGTGTGTGTGTGCCCTGCCTGTCATGTCTGTCTGTCTGTCTGTCTGTCTCTCTCTCTCTCTCTCTCTCTCTCTCTCTCTCTCTCTCTCTCTCTCTCTCTCTCTCTCTCTCTCTCTCTCTCTCTCTCTCTCTCTCTCTCTCTTCTCTTCTCTCTCTCTCTCTCCGGTGTGTCGGTATGTGTGCCTGACTGTTCTGGTGCGCCTACATGTTCCTCTGTATCAGTACATGTTCCTGTGTGTGTGTCGGTATGTGTCTTGCCAATTCTGGTGTGTGCCTACATGTGTGTGTGCATGCAGATGCGAACACTACACACAGCAATATTCCAGCCACATAACATCAGTCTGTAATCAAGGATTTGGTTGGCCGCTCAACGCCGTGACTCAACAATCTTCCAGCTATATGCTTCTACGGGTCTGTTGATAATCAGGTCTGGACCAAACAATCCAGTGATCAACAGTATGGATACTGATATCAGAAACATTAAATATGCAAATTAGATCTGATGTATATGCATGAAGTTGTGTGTATCTCTGATTTCCTCCCAAGGGAAAGAGTAACGATGTTGCAAGCACATCGGATGCGGGGAGAGGAACCAGCGTGTTGAGCGAGGAGTTACAGAGCAAGATAGAGGAGAATGCTCGGCTTCATAAACAGGTTAGTTTATCTCTCTTAGTAGTTGATCTCTTCAGTGATTTATCTAGATCTGCTCAGAGGCTGACATTCTTCATGTCTAAGCAAGCGTCAGTACAAATTGTGATACATGCCACAATATATTGCATGCACTAGATTGCATTGTCTGTGAATGATGTGTCTGTATGTGTGTCATTTTATTTGTGTTTCCTCTGACACTTTTTCTCAGCAGAATCACCATATTTGCACAATGCAGTGTTATACTTGAATTTCTGATCCTGTTTTATTTAAAAAAAATAAATCCATAATGGACCCATTCAGTATTCAAATGATCAGATATGCTCATCCACCATTTTGTTTGAAGTTGATATTGTCTCAACATATGCATAAGACACACATCATATGCATGAAGCTGGTCACAAAGACTTCTACTAAATGTTTTGGATTATATGAATCAGCTGCTGAAGTTCTGTCAGAAATAGAAAAAACTGTTTTCAGGCCTTTTCTCTGTATCCCTAAAATTTACACACAACTGCAAGTAGCATATGTTGAAATAACCCACATTGGCCTAACTGGACGCTTTAATGGGATGCTTAATAGGATATCCAGTAAAGCATGTTTACTTGTAAAATCAGGCAAAACTTAGACAAAATATGAATAGCTGCTGAAAACAATAGATCAGACTATTGATGGCAGTTAGATTCGCTCAGCCAGGTATGCGAAGACGGACCGTCGACTCACCTGGCATGAAATGCATGTGCTGCCTACAGGCACAAGGGATCATCTCAAAGATATTTTATGCTTACATGTGTGTTGAATATGTCTCATCTATTAAAGTAACATCTGTTGAGTCTTTCTTCCATAAAGTTTATGTTGAGATATGTAAAAGAGTGATACCTATAGAAAGCTTAAATCAGCCATCATATTAAATGCCTCAAAATATATAGGTGGCATGACCACCAAGATCGAAAGGACTGGATATTATTTGTCAATTGTTATGACATGCCATTTACTTCCCAGTTTAATTCCCCTAAAGGATTATCTTATCTTAGCTGCGCGACCCCAACCACCGTCTGCGACACCCGTCCTGGTTTTGCTTTTGAGACGAACCCTCCTACCTGTTTGTTTTTATAGTGATAGTGAGACTCCATGGTAGCTGCATCCTTCATAGTTTCAGTATTAAAGTTATTATTTTTACGTCAGCCATTGTTTATAATGAAGCTAAGTCTAATTTCAAAATGGGCATTTAAAAGTGTCCTTTGTAATACAATATTATCGCTTATGAATTTGCATAAGGCCATGGTCTGTTCCAAATAAGTCACTTTGGACTTAGAAAAAAAACACATTGCCATTTTTGCACTAATCTCTCCTCAGAAAAGTCCTTTTGTCACGTTTCCTATCTCCCTACCACGGAGACTGTAGTTAGGCTGAACTTAGTTTAACAGATATTTCACACTTTCATATATCAACTACATAAATTGTAGACATAAATGTGAAAATAAATATTTCAAACCTTGGTAACTGTTTTTTACCACGAACCTCTAGTTTTGAGGTAGAAACTGAACAGCAATAGACAGTATGCACTTGCAAACTGGATTTGATAAAAGATTTACAAACATTATGGAAACAGTCATAGGTGGTAAACAGTCCTTGAAAGATTGCAAACAGGATAGGAAACACAAGTATTTAAAAATCCCACTGATTGAATGATTCAGTTTCCTGACAAGTGAATTTGTTCTGTTCTCCTGTGAACATATTTGGGTGATGGGGGTAGCCTAGTGGTTAAAGCGTTCGCTCGTCACGCCGAAAACCCGGGTTCGATTCCCCACATGGGTACAATGTGTGAAGCCCATTTCTGGTGTTCCCCCCCTGATATTGCTGGAATACTGCTAAAAGCGGCGTAAAACTAAACTCACTCACTCACTCACTCCTGTGAACATATTCACAATTTTGTTGTTCCAAAATCCCAGATAAGTATTTGGGACATGGGTTTCACAATACATAGCCAAATGATATTATTTGTGATTATATGCAGTGAACTCATTATCTTCGAGTGCCAGGGTGTAAAGAAACATGTTTACAGTACTGGGTTGACAGGGAGTGGTCTCAGAAGTTGGTTAATGTGTAAGTGTGACATGTTGTTAGAGATAAGGACTTTGAGATAATCTCTCATTTGTGACATTACTTACATCCATGGTCATGTGGAATGGCTATGATTTTATGAATTTTCATATCATGTTCTAGATGGTTGGTTGTGGCATGTGTGGATGTGGTTCTGTGCAAGGTTTGCATAGATTTGAAAAGTGCTTGAATTTGATATTTTTCTCCTAAGAGGGCTTGATTACTGCTGGAATTGTATAGATCATCCTTGAAAAGTGCTGGAATTGGGATGATTTATTGACATATAACTGTACAAAATTATGTAGATAAATTAGATCTAAAATATATTTCATTATCGGCACAATTTTATCATGTTGTTTACTTCCTGTCTACTGTGATCGATATAATGATTATTCAACTGTCATCTGAAAACTTGACATAATATCTTTGGTAAAATTTGAAAAGAGTGGTGTTTGAAAACAAATCATATATCCATGAAAAGTCCTTGAAAAGCCCTTGAATCTCATGGCAGTATGAACCCTGTCTGTGTGTTCTGGTGTGTGCCTGTGCATTCTAGTGTGTGTCTGCCTGTACCTGTGTGTGCCTGCCTGCATGTGTCTGTCTGTCTGTCTGTCTGTCTGTCTGTCTGTCTGTCTGTCTGTCTGTCTGTCTCTCTCTCTCTCTCTCTCTCTCTCTCTCTCTCTCTCTCTCTCTCTCTCTCTCTGTCTCTCTCTCTCTCTCTCTCTGTCTCTCTCTCTCTCTCTCTCTCTCTCTCTCTCTCTCTCTCTCTCTCTCTCTCTCTCTCTCTCTCTCTCTCTCTCTCTCTCTCTCTCTCTCTCTCTCTCTCTCTCTCTCTCTCTCTCTCTCTCTCTCTCTCTCCGGTGTGTCGGTATGTGTGCCTGACTGTTCTGGTGCGTGCCTACATGTTCCTCTGTATCAGTACATGTTCCTGTGTGTGTGTCGGTATGTGTCTTGCCTGTTCTGGTGTGTGCCTACATGTGTGTGCATGCAGATGCGTAACACTACACACAGCAATATTCCAGCCACATAACATCAGTCTGTAATCAAGGATTTGGTTGGCCGTTCAACGCCGCACTCAACAATCTTCCAGCTATATGCCTACGGTCTGTTGATAATCAGGTCTGGACCAAACAATCCAGTGATCAACAGTATGAGAATCGATCCACGCAGTTGAGATACGATGACAGTGACAACCAAGTCAGCAAGCCTGACCATCCAATCCTGTTAGTCTTATGACAAGCATGGCTTACTGAAGACCAATTCTAACTTGGTGCCTATACATATTGCTTTATGTCGTCAATGAGTATATGATGATTATGGTTTAGAATACTGTGAACTCATATGGCAGAGTGGCCCAGTCGGCAAAGGGGGCTTTAATTCTCTGTAAAGAGTTGCTTCCCTAGGGGACACCAGGAAGCTGCAATCGTGGGCTCAGTTCACCCTGGTCATGTTTCTACCGTATATTACCATCTATAACTTGTATAAGCCGAATTTTGAGGATTAAAAAAGCAGTCTGCAGAAGGGGGTAGGCTTATCTATGAGTTATGCTTTCGTCAAAACTTTTTTCCAGGGGTAAGAAAACAACATCGTATCACTTCACGTGAACAAACAACAGAAGACAACTTTGTCAGTAAAGGCGTCACATTTGCAATTAAACATCACTAGACAAGATTATTTACCTTTTAAGTTCTAAGTTGTTTTTGCTGGGCATTGTATTATTTCCAGGGATTAAGATTACAGTGTGGACCAAAGTTATAATTATTGGTAACTGCCATGGCGGTTGTCTGTGGTCTGTGTTTGCCAGGATTAGGACCCCATCGCGGGGATCGGCTTATGTATGAAACATACCATTTTGACACTGAGTTTAAGGGTCAAGGTTGGGGGTCAGCTTATCTATGGGGTCGGCTTATAGACGGTAATATACGGTATATTGTCAGCCCCATACCCTAGTTTGCGGGTTTTACCAAAGTGGTAGTCATCGGACTCTCCGAGACCTGCTTTACTTCAGGCTTCACTCCCAGCATTAAACCAAACTCACCTACTCCAGTTAGCTTTTGTGTGCTTTTCAGAGATTCTGTTTCTACCTACACATATCATGTCTGTATTTTTCACACCATGTGTTGTACTTACCCAGCTTCATGAGGCGGACCACCAGTATCAGGGCACGATCCAGGAGCTGGAGGACCGGCTGAAACGACTGGAGCGGGAGAACAGTCAGCATGAGGAGGTCCTCAACGCTACCAGGCAGAAGAGCAAGACCCAGGTGGACAAACTCCAGGAGGAGAAGGCTATGCTGGAGGTGGGTAAGGGGCAGTAGGAGGATGGGATTTGGAATCTTGGAGGGAGGTGGGTCTTGAACTGGCAGGATAGGGATGTAGGATGATAGCTGTTGGAAGATGGGGGTCAGAATCTTGGAGGGAGGTTGGTCTTGAACTGGCAGGATAAGGATGTAGGATGAAAGCTGTTGGAAGATGGGGGTTAGAATCTTTGAGGGAGGTAGGTCATGAACTAATTTGTTTGAATGGCATTCTGGTAGTTGGTGGTATAGAGATGACAAGACTTTATGGATGATCAACTTCTTTATTTTGACAATGGCGATGTTTCGGTATATATCCTTATACCGTTTTCAATCACCCATTAAAACAGTATAAGAATCTATACCGATACGTTGCCATTGTCAAAATATAAAAGTTGATCATCCATAACGTTTTGTCATCTCTATAGGTCTTGAACTGGCAGGGTGGGGCCGTAGGATGATAGCTGTTGGAAGATGGGGTTTGGAATCTTGGGACAGGAGGGAGGTGGGTCTTGAACTGGCAGGGTGGGGCCGTAGGATGATAGCTGTTGGAAGATGGGGTTTGGAATCTTGGGACAGGAGGGAGGTGGGTCTTGAACTGGCAGGGTGGGGCAGTGTAGGATGATAGCTGTTGGAAGATGGGGTTTGGAATCTTGGGACAGGAGGGAGGTGGGTCTTGAACTGGCAGGGGTGGGGGGCCAGAGGGATGATAGCTGTTGGAAGATGGGGGTTTGGAATCTTGGGACAGCAGGGAGGTGGGTCTTGAACTGGCAGGAAAAGATGGGGGAATCTTAGGATGATAGCTGCTGGAAGATGGGGTTTGGAATCTTGGGACAGGAGGGAGGTGGGTCTTGAACTGGCAGGGTGGGGCCGTAGGATGATAGCTGTTGGAAGATGGGGTTTGGAATCTTGGGACAGGAGGGAGGTGGGTCTTGAACTGGCAGGGTGGAGCAGTAGGATGATAGCTGTTGGAAGATGGGGTTTGGAATCTTGGGACAGGAGGGAGGTGGGTCTTGAACTGGCAGATGGGGTGGGGACAGGAGGAGGAGGTGGGTCTTGAAGGGATGATAGCTGTTGGAAGATGGGGTTTGGAATCTTGGGACAGGAGGGAGGTGGGTCTTGAACTGGCAGGGTGGAGCAGTAGGATGATAGCTGTTGGAAGATGGGGTTTGGAATCTTGGGACAGGAGGGAGGTGGGTCTTGAACTGGCAGGGTGGAGCAGTAGGATGATAGCTGTTGGAAGATGGGGTTTGGAATCTTGGGACAGGAGGGAGGTGGGTCTTGAACTGGCAGGATTGTGGGTGTTGAAGTCTCAGGGAGGGGAAGGTGGCTGTTAAGCTGGCAGGATGTGACTGTAGGTTGGTGAAGTCCTAGGGAGGGGCAGGAAGGAGGTGGGAGGCATAGAATGGAAATAAATGGGGATGTAGAGTGGGACAGAAGGGAGGTGGATGGAATAGCTGAATATATGTACATGACATACTGCTTCATAATGTATAGGCACAAGAATTGATCGAGATATTATTATCCCCCCACAAAGTGAGGAGGCCGGATTTTGTTTGAGCTCCATCTGTCGTTCGTCCGTCCATCCGTACGACATGATGAGGACAGATTTTTTTCAAAAACCGTAAAAGATAGGGAAACCAAATTTGGTATGTGTTTTCAGGACATGAATGCCTTGATGGAGTTCGAAAACGGAAACCGTGTTACAATTTGTTGCAGAGGTATGGCCCTTGTCATGAGTTTCTTGACTTAAAGCACGGTATCCCCAATGGGAACAGATTTTCTCAGTAACCATTATAGATAGGGAAGCCAAATGTGGTATGTGTTTTCAGGACATGAATGTTGTGGTGGAATTACAAAACAGGATCCAAATAGGAACAGAACACTGTGGTGGGGGATATTGATGACCATGTCTTCTTGTTGGGATTGTACTCTGTCACAGATCAGTGATAGTTTCTGATTGGATTCCCTCAGGTGAAGCTTCAGACTCTGGAGACAGAAATCAAAGAGTTCCGAGGACGGGCTGAGTCAGCGTAAGTAACTGACACTAGACTAGTACTGCTGCAGGCTGCATTTAAAACTGAACATGCCCAAGACAACCATTGGCCTTTACATATCAACACAGTGCACTCTATACCACACACTTGCCCAAACAAACCAGTGGTCTGTGTAACACTACCAAGTACTCTCTGAACCAGGTACAATGGCTTGTTAACACTTGTTAATTGTACATAAGCTCAATTTAGTTGGGATAGGTGCACTGACAATATTTGTTCAGAATGGGCACTAATACCATGTGGAACGACTATTATTGACACCTTCTGTACATGTGTTTCAGGGAAGATAAGCTGGGAGCCCTTCATTATTGACACCTTCTGTACATGTGTTTCAGGGAAGATAAGCTGGGAGCCCTTCATTATTGACACCTTCTGTACATGTGTTTCAGGGAAGATAAGCTGGGAGCCCTTCATTATTGACACCTTCTGTACATGTGTTTCAGGGAAGATAAGCTGGGAGCCCTTCATTATTTGACACCTTCTGTACATGTGTTTCAGGGAAGATAAGCTGGGAGCCCTTCATTATTGACACCTTCTGTACATGTGTGTTCAGGGAAGATAAGCTGGGAGCCCTTCATTATTGACACCTTCTGTACATGTGTGTTTCAGGAAGATAAGCTGGGAGCCCTTCATTATTGACACCTTCTGTACATGTGTTTCAGGGAAGATAAGCTGGGAGCCCTTCATTATTGACACCTTCTGTACATGTGTTTCAGGGAAGATAAGCTGGGAGCCCTTCATTATTGACACCTTCTGTACATGTGTTTCAGGGAAGATAAGCTGGGAGCCCTTCATTATTGACACCTCTTCTGTACATGTGTTTCAGGGAAGATAAGCTGGGAGCCCTTCATTATTGACACCTTCTGTACATGTGTTTCAGGGAAGATAAGCTGGGAGCCCTTCATTATTGACACCTTCTGTACATGTGTTTCAGGGAAGATAAGCTGGGAGCCCTTCATTATTGACACCTTCTGTACATGTGTTTCAGGGAAGATAAGCTGGGAGCCCCCTTCATTATTGACACCTTCTGTACATGTGTTTCAGGGAAGATAAGCTGGGAGCCCTTCATTATTGACACCTTCTGTACATGTGTTTCAGGGAAGATAAGCTGGGAGCCCTTCATTATTGACACCTTCTGTACATGTGTTTCAGGGAAGATAAGCTGGAAGAGCCCTTCATTATTGACACCTTCTGTACATGTGTTTCAGGGAAGATAAGCTGGGAGCCCTTCATTATTGACACCTTCTGTACATGTGTTTCAGGAAGATAAGCTGGGAGCCCTTCATTATTGACACTTCCTTCTGTACATGTGTTTCAGGGAAGATAAGCTGGGAGCCCTTCATTATTGACACCTTCTGTACATGTGTTTCAGGGAAGATAAGCTGGGAGCCCTTCATTATTGACACCTTCTGTACATGTGTTTCAGGAAGATAAGCTTCTGTACATGAGCCCTTCATTGTTTGACACCTTCTGTACATGTGTTTCAGGAAGATAAGCTGGGAGCCCTTCATTATTGACACCTTCTGTACATGTGTTTCATGGGAAGATAAGCTGGGAGCCCTTCATTATTGACACCTTCTGTACATGTGTTTCAGGGAAGATAAGCTGGGAACCCTTCATTATTGACACCTTCTGTACATGTGTTTCAGGGAAGATAAGCTGGGAGCCCTTCATTATTGACACCTTCTGTACATGTGTTTCAGGGAAGATAAGCTGGGAGCCCTTCATTATTGACACCTTCTGTACATGTGTTTCAGGGAAGATAAGCTGGGAGCCTTCATTATTGACACCTTTTGTACATGTGTTTCAGGGAAGATAAGCTGGGAGCACTTCAGCAGCATCTTCAAGGCAAGCTGGATGTTGCTACCAGGATCATCACTGACAAACTGCCCTTCATTGACACCAGTATGTACTGTTGTCCCTCATCCTTCCCCTGCCATACCAGGGACTAAAATACCCAAGAAGGTCCGGGTTAGAATGAACCTTCAGTAACCCATGCTTGTCGTAAGAGGCAACTAACGGGATCAGGCTCGCTGGCTTGGTTGACACATGTCATCGGTTCCCAGTTATGCAGATCGATGCTCATGCTGTTGATCACTGGATTGTCTGGTCCAGATCCAATTATTTACAGACCACTGCCATACAGCTGGAATATTGCTGAGTGCGGCGTAAAACTAAACTCACTCACTCACTCAGGGACTAAAATCGAAAATTAGCTGTAGTGGTATGCAAAAGATATTGCATTTCATGATAACTGATAATGGTACAGCTGATCCATTAATGGAGATTATTAGCTGAGTGTGTCTGTCTCATATGTTTTATACATTAATAATAATGAATAATATGTCCATTTATATAGCGCCAAACTCCACACTAGGTATGCTCATAGGGGTAATAGTCAATAGGACAGCACATTATTACCCCGGATAACCCAAGCTGCCTGTTAGGCGCTAGAAGGTTATGGTCACATGACTTATTCCACCAGGTACCCATTTTCTGCTGGGTGAACAGAAGCAATTTAAACAAACTCGCTTGCCTAAGGTGAGACCACATGTGTCACATGTGCTTCAGTGTGGGTAGGACTAGGAATGATATAATTTGTCCTTTGGCAAAACTTATAGTTATTTTGTATTGTTAAGACATCCTATTTCTATGCAGAAACACATAAGGGTAATAGTTTCCTTATCATATGTCATTCTTAAATGATCAATGTTTAAGTCATAAAGTCACTCAATGAGGTTTCTTTGGAAACTGCACATGGGTACAGTGTTTGAGTGAAATGCCCTATTTATCAAAATGATTTGGAGCCATCTTTGCCTACAGAATCGGCTGCACATTGGAAAACCCATCTTAACTTATTGTGATCATTGGTCAGTAGATTGTGTAAGCAGACTTTGAATAGATGTATGGAGTTCAAAAAGTAGTTCCTACTGTGTGACTTCATTTGCATATATATTGGATTGTGGTACCTAGTTTATCACATTCTTTTATTGCATTTCTAACACTATTTGATATATGATAACTTGATGAATTACTCTTGTTTATGTTTATGAGAATTCTCTTGATGGTAATTTGAATATTATGATTTATGTTGCAGTTACATTTTGTAGGTTAATAGTCATAACACCAGAATTGTTGACTTCGTTTTTCCAACAGATACTTATTTTTTCTTCATCTGTAAAAACTTTTGAAAGGATCTGTTCATAATACTTAGGTAAACTGAAACCTATATTAAGAAGTGTTGTTTGAGTGGATACTTGTGTCTTCACAGAAAACCGAGACCTAAACAGCCTCAATCTCCCCACACATGATCGGAAGCATCAGCTACGAGCCCGGGAGCTGGTCGGCCAGGCCTCCAACCTTGTGGCAGAGCTGGTGCAGGGCTTGTCCAACTTCTACACTTACAGTGAACAGAGGTCTAAGATATACCCTGCTGATGGCGTCTCTGAACCTCTCAGTCAAATAAACTCTCAGGTACGTAGCGTGTGTCTAGGATCTTCCCTGCTAAGTCCCGGGTTCGATTCCCCACATTGTTACAATGTGTGAAACCCATTTCTGGTGTCCCCTGCCATGATATTGCTAAAGCGGCGTAAAACCTCTCTCTCACTCACTCACTCACTCACTCACTCACTCACTCACTCACTCACTCACTCACTCACTCACTCACTCACTCACTCACTCACTCACTCACTCACTCACTCACTCACTCACTCACTCACTCACTCACTCACTCACTACTCTTCCCTTTTGGGATTCCTGAGCAGTATGGTTGCCTAGTAACTGGACAACTAAAAGTATTATTTCATGGTTACAATATGGACTTAGTAAGGTCTTATGCTGCTTTTAGCAATATTCCATCAAAATCACGGCAGGTGACACCAAAAATTGGCTTCAGCTATTGTAATAAGTGACTGATTTAACCATGAGGCTACCAGATTGCCCCCGTACAATTTGGAACCTGGCAGAAGTCTTGACACTGTTGGGCATCATTAATACTTCTCTGTGAAGATCCTGGTTGGAATTCTCCAGCAACCCATGCTTGTTGTAAGAGGCTGCAAAAGGGATCAAATTAATAATCAAGATCAAATTAATAATCAAGATCAGAATCTCTGGTTGATGCATGCCATCACATCCTACAGCCTGTTCAGCTTGACCTGAGCTACTCTACATATGCATGACCTGGGAGGTCAAATGGCACAAACGGCTGGTCGAGTTAACTTCATTAGATAGGGGAGCAAAGAATGTTGCGTGCATACATGGATTCGTTACAGCCCAAATCAGAAACATTAAACTATCTGTAGCTTCTTTTTAAAGAAAGTTAGGACATTGCTGACGATCTTTCGACACAGAGATGTCAAATGGCAACCTTGTCTCGGTTGTTCGGACATGTTGACAATCAACTGACAAAGGTGCACCCCTTGACAATAATAGACCGAACCAGTTGTGACATGGTCACGCAATGCATTAGTATTCACTTGATCAGGTCAAGCTGAACAAGCTGTAACTGCATAGATCGATGCTCATGTTCGTCACTGAATTGTCTGATGTGATTATTTACAGACCTCTGTCATGTTACTGGAATATTGTTGCTTAATACCAGAAACAACCAAGCAAACAATGCTCATTCTATCAATCACTTGTTTGATTACCCATACACAGTTATGTACAACCTGTCATGATTTGTTTAACATGAATAGTGCAGACTGTGGCATTAAATAACATTGACTCACCTGTATTCCTAAGAACTGAGAATTAATGTATTAACCAGGATCACGTGTGAATGAAATCTGCAACTTTATGCATATTGTTTGTATTGACCACTTTGGCCAGGATTTGGGAAACATCTTAAAGTTTACATGCATGGAAACGTCAGTAACACAATCAGTGACAATGTGCTTTAAGTGTTTGATTGTTTCTGTTTTCAGTATTGTAAATACCTCCATGAAAACCTTGCCTATCTGCGCCCAGTGGAGCAGTCTCTGCAACATTTCTTTGAGTCACTCAAAGAAGATGCCCTTACAACACTAGTAGGTGTTCAGAATTATAATAATAATAATAATAATTGGCAACTTATGTAGGGCTGAACTCCATGCCTGCTGGGACATGCTGTCAACACATCCGACATGATGGACATTTGACACTGGATAACCTAAGCTGTGAGGTGCTAGAAGGTTAATAGTCATATGACTTATACCACCGGGTACCCATTTATCACCTAAATCAGAAGATGAATTGATTTTTTAATTATTGATGACAACCAAATGTTTTTGTCTGCTACTAAAGTAAAAGTAAAAAGTTGAAAAAGGGGAATAGATATTTTGGATGTATGTTGTACAATAATGCACCATGATAACTTCACATATTGTTTTAGACATATTTACAAGCCCCTTCCTAACAAGCGCCCCTATTAAAAATACATAGCGTGCAGAGCGCCACCGCAATCATACTGCCACGCTAATGTCTCGAAACAAACTATAGTTTATAGAAAATGGATATCTTGAGTTAACCATGAACAGTATTTAGCAATGTTGTATCTACAGTTAAACATGAACTGCATCTAGCCATGTTGTATCTACAGTTAAACATGAACTGCATCTAGCCATGTTGTATCTACAGTTAACCCATAAATGGTATCTAGCCATGTTGTATCTACAGTTAACCCATAAATGGTATCTAGCCATGTTGTATCTACAGTTAACCCACAGTTAACCAAATGGTATCTAGCCATGTTGTATCTACAGTTAACCCATAAATGGTATCTAGCCATGTTGTATCTACATGTTAACATGTTGTATCTACAGTTGAAATGGTATCTAGCCCTGTTGCAATGGTATCTAGCCATGTTGTATCTACAGTTAACCCATAAATGGTATCTAGCCATGTTGTATCTACAGTTAACCATGAACGGTATCTAGCCATGTTGTATCTACAGTTAACCCATAAATGGTATCTAGCCATGTTGTATCTACAGTTAACCCATAATGGTATCTAGCAATGTTGTATCTACAGTTAACCATAAATGGTATCTAGCCATGTTGTATCTACAGTTAACCCATAAATGGTATCTAGCCATGTTGTATCTACAGTTAACCCATAAATGGTTAGCATGAAATGGTATCTAGTATGTTCTATCTACAGTTAACCATGAATGGTATCTAGCCATGTTGTATCTACAGTTAACCTTGAACGGTATCTAGCCATGTTGTATCTACAGTTAACCTTGAATGGTATCTAGCCCTGTTGTATCTACAGTTAACCTTGAACGGTATCTAGCCCTGTTGTATCTACAGTTAACCTTGAACGGTATCTAGCCATGTTGTATCTACAGTTAACCTTGAAGGTATCTAGCCATGTTGTATCTACAGTTAACCTTGAATGGTATCTAGCCCTGTTGTAACTACAGTTAACCTTGAACGGTATCTAGCCCTGTTGTATCGACAGTTAACCTTGAACGGTATCTAGCCATGTTGTATCTACAGTTAACCTTGAAGGTATCTAGCCATGTTGTATCTACAGTTAACCTTGAATGGTATCTAGCCCTGTTGTAACTACAGTTAACCTTGAACGGTATCTAGCCCTGTTGTAACTACAGTTAACCTTGAACGGTATCTAGCCATGTTGTATCTACAGTTAACCCATAAACGGTATCTAGCCCTGTTGTATCGTCAGACAGTCATGAGCTGCATCTAGACATGTTGTATCCTCAGATGTGTTTTTAGACATGAAATGAAACTGACATGATGTATCTTTTTTCAGGAAACAGCCACAGACTTACAGGGATTTTCAAAAAGCTTTGTCACAATGGTGGCTTATATGAATAAACTGTTGCCTTATCAGCTGTCAAGGTAGGTACTGTAACATGTACGTGTTATTACCTCAAGCCATTACCCTGAGACAATCCATAGTTTCAGTTTTTCACAAATGTTCCTTCATGATGAGTTATTATGAATTCATATTCACCTGATTTGTGACCATGGCTCTATGCACAAGAATCATCCATCATTACATCTCAGGGGTAGAAATAACCCATTGCCCGATGTTCGAGTCCAGTGTTTTTTTCTGTTGGGCAAGCAAATTTGTATATCACACTGTACCAGTGTCCAGTTGACTTTCCAATGTTAATTATGTTGTTTATGTAAAAAATCAGCAGGAAAACGGTCGGTATAGTGGAAAAATTATCAGGGCAAGTGACATTACATGTGCCACTGTTCCACTGTTCGAGTACACTAGCAATTTTAAAGTTATTTCCACCCCTGCATCTGTGTTGGGGCGCCTTGTTTGTACAGCTCGGCCATGTCAACTTGAAACTAGAATTCCTCACATGGGGAAAATGGGGAAACCAGTTCTTGGAGGCCACCTGTCCTGATATTGCGTAAATATTGCTGGAATATAACCCTTCTCACTCACTAAAGTTATCATTTTGGCTGTAGAACTAATCACAAATACCCCTCCTTATCTTAAGGTCGAATAAAATGGATTTGGTTCTCAGACTAAGAGACTTGCATTGCATTTTCTCTTTATGTCAGCCATTACTTTGGCCACAATTGCCTTATATACAGGGGCGGTAGGGTAGCCTAGTGGTTAAAGCGTTCGCTCATCGTGCCAAAGACCTGGGTTTGATTCCCAACATGGGTACAATGTGTGAAGCCTTTTTCTAGTGTCCCTTTCCGTGATATTGCTGGAATATTGCTGAAAGCGGCATAATGTTATACTCTCTCACTCTATCACTCACCTTATATACAGACTGACCTATATTAGAACATGACTAATAAGCCAACAATACGTGTGAGTGTATTTATGTGTCCACAGTATAGAAGAGGAGTGTGCAGTGTCTTCCTGTACGTCAACACTTGCTGCCAAAAATATGGAGCTGTACAAGTCCTTAAAAAGGCTGAATGCCACCTTCAACAAGATAGAGTCGTACACCACCATCCTTGCCGCTCAAAGTAATAACCAATCTTCTTCTGTCAGAAATTATCATTGATATTTCAGCAAATAGTATGTGGGGTTTTGTTTCCAATAAAACCTGATTGTGATGATTGGGGAGGTGACCATCGGGAGATAATGTTTTAGTATGCCCTAATGACATGCTTTGTAGTTAAAGATGTCAACTGATATGCCTGGCCAATATTCAGACTTGCTGACTTTTTTATGCATGACAATCATCAGATTATCAGGTGCAGACATGAATATTTCCAGAATTGGGGGGCAGTGGTGTAGGCTTATGGTTAAAGTGTCCGCTTGTCACGCCGAAGACCCAGGTTTGATTCCCCACATGGGTACAATATGTGAAGCCCATTTCTGGTGTCCCCCACCATGATATTGCTGGAATATTGCTAAAAGCAGCATAAAACCATACTCACTCACTCACTCACTCATTTACAGAATGCCATCATATAGCTGGTATATTTCTGAGTTTGACATTTAACAACAAACCAACATATTGACTGGTATACACAAACAGTGTCAAAAATATATTTCACTCCCTGCATTGTTTTCATGGTCAGTGTATCTTGTATATATGTCCAATTATTCTGCTGTGTTCCAGGTGACAAGGGCCAGAACCCCCACCCCCAGTCTAACTATGGGTCTCTCTTCACGCGGCTGTGTAAAGCTCTCAATGACATGCATGAAGCAGTGAAGGGTAGGTTCTGCAGCTTCTGTGTTCTGTCCTGGAAATCAGGATGTTGCTGAGCTTAGTGTAAGACAAGGCACATACAAACTAAGTAGTATCAGTTCATAAAACCATAAGATATTAGGGGCCTGATCCACAAAGCATTTGTAGAACTACAATATTCGTAAGCCTATAATAAACGATATGGTTACAATAACTTGTAACAATATTATGAACACTTTTGGATATTTAAAAATAAACATGCATTAAGTCATTTACCTGATCAATGAGTGAGAAGGTGACAGCCGTGAATTTCCTCTTTGAAAAATACATGTTTTAACAATATAATCTTGTCCTTATATCATGTTTTGCCATCACTTCCACAGAGGTTTCGAAGCACTACAACTCCAAGGTCTCCCTGGAGCACCAACTTCCAACAGCCACACAGAAACTGAAGACAACCGATGAATGTGTCGTTGCATCTCTTGTCTCCCTCGTCACCAACACAGGGAAGGTGAGTAACCATGGTGATACTGGCTGATCTTACTCATAACAATTGCTGATCATAAGAGGCAACTAAAATATATCATTTCTTCAGGTTTTGCACAAATATTGTGGACCGTTTTCAGTAATTACTTTGTTTTGTGCTAACTGGATTATATTATTCACTGCAATGATATTCCGGTATATTGTTGACTCTGACATTGTTCAGTTTCCTACCATGACATTGAAGAATCCTTGACTTTGATTTGTACCTGTGTGTTGACGAAGCGATGTCCAAAACAAGAGATGATTCAAAGAGGCAGTTGATGTTTTTATTGTGGTCCATTGCATATGTATGGCTGTTGCTATGTGCTGCATCTGAGTCCCCGCTTCTGAACACACTCTCTGTGCCTGCCCGGATCTCATAATGTTAGCCTTACGACTACTCAACACTGTGGATACCTCTTTTATATTCAGCCTTTCCACACAATAATGCTTACATGCTCCAATTGATATTTCTCAACTCTCCATTTTGACTACATCAAATTTCAAAACACAAAAGGTTTATCTCTGAATTCCCTCAATTCCCTAAACATGCTGCACATCACAATGTTTTTACAATTCCTCTATGCTTTGATATCTCATGTTTATCGTCTGTTTACAGATAGCTACATTCATGTCAGGCAATCTACCATTCTTCACTGAGACTGCTGGGTATCGCACCCGTGGTAGTAGTATAGGAACAGACAGCGAGCAAGACGGACCTCGATCACATCCAGCTGTTGTCCATTTCCGTCAACGAGCTGCCAACTATATCTCCTGTATATCTAGGGTGAGACTTTACTTGGTTCTGTAAAGTGGAACCCCGCTAATCCAGACAGTAGTATTCCCCAAGAAAATGTCTGGTTTAACAAACGTCCAAATATAATATATGAATTATGGACTCAAAGTAATTTCTATACATGCTTATGTAATCATTCTAGGTTACCAGGGTCAAAACTAATAATTTTCACTGTATATCAAAATCTCCACTCTGATGCATTGTTAATATCTGTATGTTCTCTGTACAGACCTGTCCAGATACTGTACCTCACCGGGTAGCAGTACAGAACAGGAAGACGCTACTCAGCTCCAAGGAGAGTAAGGAAGGCTTAGCTAAACAGGTTAGTGTTTTCTGTCTTCTCAGGGTGGACACTTGGTGACTGTACAGAATTGTGTCCCTTGGCTGTCGAGATCCTTTGAATATGTTCCCAGAGCTGTGGTCTGTTGTCCCTGAAATAGGTGTCTTTATGTCATCCGTTCACTGTTGCAGGTGTCTATGTTGTATCTTTTGTCATTGTTACAGTGTCCATTAGATCTTTTGCTGGTGTTACAGGTGTCTGTTACATCTTGTTTCTTCCTTAGATCTGTAGTCTGTTCCAAGTGTCTGTTAGATCTTGTCTCTGTGTTGCAAGTGTTTGTTACATCTTGTTTCTTCCTTAGATCTGTAGTCTGTTCCAAGTGTCTGTTAGATCTTGTCTCTGTGTTGCAAGTGTCTGTTACATCTTGTTTCTTCCTTAGATCTGTAGTCTGTTCCAAGTGTCTGTTAGATCTTGTCTCTGTGTTGCAAGTGTCTGTTACATCTTGTTTCTTCCTTAGATCTGTAGTCTGTTCCAAGTGTCTGTTAGATCTTGTATCTGTGTTGCAAAGTGTGGGTTACATCTTGTTTCTTCCTTAGATCTTTAGTCTGTTCCAAGTGTCTTGAATCTTGTCTCTGTGTTGCAAGTGTCTGTTACATCTTGTTTCTTCCTTAGATCTGTAGTCTGTTCCAAGTGTCTGTTAGATCTTGTCTCTGTGTTGCAAGTGTCTGTTACATCTTGTTTCTTCCTTAGATCTGTAGTCTGTTCCAAGTGTCTGTTAGATCTTGTCTCTGTGTTGCAAGTGTCTGTTACATCTTGTTTCTTCCTTAGATCTGTAGTCTGTTCCAAGTGTCTGTTAGATCTTGTATCTGTGTTGCAAGTGTCTGTTACATCTTGTTTCTTCCTTAGATCTGTAGTCTGTTCCAAGTGTCTGTTAGATCTTGTCTCTGTGTTGCAAGTGTTTGTTACATCTTGTTTCTTCCTTAGATCTGTAGTCTGTTCCAAGTGTCTGTTAGATCTTGTTTCTGTGTTGCAAGTGTCTGTTACATCTTGTTTCTTCCTTAGATCAGTAGTCTGTTCCAAGTGTCTGTTAGATCTTGTCTCTGTGTTGCAAGTGTCTGTTACATCTTGTTTCTTCCTTAGATCTGTAGTCTGTTCCAAGTGTCTGTTAGATCTTGTATCTGTATTGCAGGTGTCTGTTACATCTTGTTTCTTCCTTAGATCAGTAGTCTGTTCCAAGTGTCTGTTAGATCTTGTATCTGTATTGCAGGTGTCTGTTATATCTTGTATCTGTGTTACAGGTGTCTGTTAGATCTTGTATCTGTGTTGCAGGTGTCTATTATATCATGTTTCTTCATTAGATCAGTAGTCTGTTACAGGTGTCCATTGTCAGTGTTACAGGTGTCTGTAGTACATCTATTACCTCTGTTCCAGGTGTCGGTGTTCCAGCAAAGGTGCGGCAAGCTGGAGCAGGAGAAGGAACACTGGATGCTGGAGCTTCAGCTGCTGAAGATCAAATATGAAAACGAGGTGCAGGTAGGTGCTGCCAGTCTCCTTATTACCATCAACACACAATGTCTGTGTCATGCATTTTAAGGCTATGACTGTAAATCGAATATGCTGCTGTACAAAATGTGTTAGCAAACAGTGACTGCCCCTGCTGAGATAGTTTCTATATTTTGCCAGCGTTGTTTGTCATGCTACTAACTTAGGCCCTTGAGGAACCCTATGATATTGTCTGGTAATGATGCGTATAACAGGTGTGGCTTAACAATTTTTTTTTCAGGCCAGAGAGCAGCATCGTGCTGGATTCTAGGCGCACAAATTAGCATTATTATTATTATTATTAAAATACCTAGATTAACTTCACTGTATAAGTCAATATTATTTGAATTGCAAATGACATTATTAGGCCAGACCAATGTTATTTCTTGTTTTACGGATATTTGTCCTCAGAAAACCTAAAGGCAGGAGGGGAAAAAAATAAAAATAAAATCATCAGTCAAAGTAATATTCCATCTAAATACTAAAAGTATGTTACTTTTGGCAATTCATGAAATGTATATGGGGCAAAAAACAATCTAAAAACAAAATTTCTTGTATGTTTACATTTTTGGTCAATAAAAACATTAGAATTTTATTTTTTGAGCGGGGAAAATTAATTAATTTTTTTTTCTTATTTTTCAAAATATACGACAGGCGGATCAAGAAATAAAATTGGTCTGGCCTTATAAACTTAAAAGAGTTTCAAACCTGTCTTTAGGACGGGTAATTCTATTACTCTTCCCCAAGAAGATCAGCAGTTTGCTTTTGAAGTGTTTGTTACCTGTTAGGAAATTCTAAGTTTTGACAAATTAGGGAATGATTGTCTGTTGATGTCTGTTGTGATGAAACCTTTCAATATTCCCAGAAATCCAAAACCCTTGAGAAGGACCTACTGTCTTTAAACAACAGTGATAAGGTTGGATCTATAGAAGACAACCTGGACACACAGACCCCAACTCCACGCAGTGCCAGTCTCAGCTCCAGTCCAGGAGTTCAGACTAACATGGTGAGAGAGGCAGCACTAAACACACTGTATGGAGACTGGGCCACATGGCTGACAGACATAGGGGAGTGTCCTTAGGACATTATCAAGTTTGACAGGAATTACATGTTTTGACAAATGATCACATTTTGATATATGCAATGATTCTGATTGGTTCATGTTTTAAGGGACATTGACTGATCATCATCCAAAATGTCCTGACTTACGCTAAAAAATTTAAATAGTAAAATTTAGACATGTAGCCTATCAAAAGTTGATAAAAACTAAGAAATGTTAAAATGTCTTGTCTTGCAAAATTACTGGACAAAGTCACAAACAATTGTAAAGAACCAGTAGACATGGAGGCTGTATGCTTATTTACATTCAAAAGATGATGCTATCTTGTGTATAAACTCTTCTGAATTGTTGCCGGTTGACCTGACATGTCCATTTTGAACATGCAGCACTTGGCATTACTTCCTACTGTTGATGATGTCAGATGTAATGGAGATTAGATCACATGTCCAATGGAGGAAATTATGACTCAGGGAAAGTAAATGGTATCTTCCATTCAGTCATTTCCATCAAGTTGTGTTGTCTTTATCTTTCAAAAGTAGGTAACTTGCATCAGTTTCAGGATTCATTTATGCATAGAGATCGGCAGTGTCTTTCATATGGTGATGCATTCATTTTACAATACTTCATACAGGGCTCTACCCATGGAGATCCCGGTTAGAATTGGTCTTAAGCAACGCATGCTTCTCATAACAGGCGACTAATGGTATCGGGTGGTCAGGATCGCTGACTTGGTTGACATATGTCATCGTATCCCAACTCATGCTCATGATGTTGATCACCGGATTGTCTGGTTCAGACACGAATATTGCCGAATGCTGCGTTAAACAACAAATCATACATTGCTCACTAGCCCTGACAATTGGGATCGGGTGGTCAGATTTGCTGATTGGGTTGATGCCTGTCATCATATCCCAATTGTGTAGATCGATGCTCATGATGTTAGTCACTGGATTGTCTGGTCCAGACTCGATTATTTACAGACTGCCATCATGTAGCTGGAAAATTTCATTGTGTAGTATAAAACAATGAACAAACACTAACCCTGTATATCTATGTCTCTGATCTATATCTCTTCTTCTCCTTCCAGCTTGGTAAACTGGAGAGGGACGCTGTTATCAACAATGATGTAGACAGTCGTGAGCAGCTCATCAAAGACCACTTCGGGAAGCGGATCAATGATATGACTCTACAGCTGCAGCAGGCTGACAGCAAGTGTGTCAACTTCCACTCGGAGGTCCGAGCACTGCACACGCAACTACTGCTGGCCGACAAAGCCAAGGCGTCATCAGTGGAAGAACTCACAGTGGCCAACCAAACACTGGCTCAGCTCAAGGTGAGGAGGAAGTAATATTCCAGCTATATCATGTCGGCGGGACACCAGAAAGTCTTCTCACTTTGTACCATGTTTTCAGTGTGACAACCAAATGCTTTAACCCCTAGGCTACCCACTGACTCACATGGTGAGGACAAACTGGTTTATGGGCTGGGGATACAGAAGTGTTAGTTAGGCTTTAGTTACATCTGTGAGACACAGAGTTAGATACGTTTGATCAGCAATATTTCAGCTATATTATAAAGTCCCGCTTTAGGGACCGTTCATAATTTATGGCTTGGGGGGTGATGATGATTTTAAGGGAGGGTGACCCATTTAGTTCTGGAAAAGTAGGGGGGGGAGGGTCATCAATTTTGTACACATGTACTGAAGGGATGGTTTCAGCAATTTTGTACATAAAAAATATTTTAAAAATTATGGAGAGGGGGGGTCATTGACATTGTACATGCTTCCCCATAAAACTCATCATTCTCCTAACCAACCAAACACCCCCCACCCCACCCCCACCCCCAAATTATGAACGGTCCCATAGTATCTGTAGTATTGATGATGGGAGATTTAAAAAATGGATTCAGTCGGTCAACTTAAGACACCTATTCATTGAAAGAATAACGAAACTAACGTTTCTAGTTTCCAGCTATTTGAGTAACCAAGAAATCTAACATGTAACTGTATCAAATAATAATGGAATGTTGCCGATGTTGCCCAAGTAGATGTTTCTGAGTTGTTGATGTTGTCAGGATGAGCTGCAGACAACATCCCGGAGTTACGAGGGTCAGCTCAGCATGATGAGTGACCATCTGGCTGGGATGAATGAAAAGTTGACTCACCAGAAGGACGAAATAGATGAACTTAAAATTCAGCTTCAGAACACATCATCAAAGGTAGCCTTATTTCAGCCATCTTGGTTTGTTGTTTAACACTACTTGCAGCAATATTCAGTTATATGATGGAGATCTGGCTGGCTATTCTCGAAACGTTCGTAGTCCTACGAACTTCTGACCGCCTCCGTTGTGTAGTGGTTAGAGCGTCCGCCCGGAGAGTGGAAGGTTGCGGGTTCGATCCCCGACCGCGTCATACCAAAAGACATTAAATATGGTACTTGTTGGTCCCTGCCTGGCGTTCGGCATTAATGGGTAGGTACAAGGACTGGTGGGCTCGGAGTCAGTATTATGTGTCTGAGTGGGGTATTCATGCTTCACTGCGGCATGGTATCTCAGTGGGTTAGCACTATAAAACCAGCTTCAGTCTGGGCTAGTACAAGCAGCCGCACACATACACATACACACGCATCCACGTCGTCATATGAGCGAAATATTCTCAAGCACGACGTTAAACCCAATTTCACCTCACCTCACCTACGAACTTCTTAAGCCCATTCTTAACATATTAGCTACGATCAAAGTTAAGAATTCTTAGGGCTACGAACTTTTCGAGAATAAGGGCCCTGGACCAAACGGTACAGTGATTGACGTCATGAGCATTTATCCACACAATAGTAAAACCATAATTTTGCACTTGAGAACAGTATTTACTTTGTCCCTTAGAGGTTTTTTTGTTTGTTGTTTAACAAGATCGCACTCAGCAATATTCCAGCTAAATGGCGGCAGTCTGAAACTAATCAAGTCTGGACCAGACAGTCCAGTGATCAACATCATGAGCATTGATCTATGCAATTACTATATGATGACATGTGTCAGCCAAGTCAGCGAGCCTGACCATCCAATCTCGTTACTTGCCTTTTATAACAAGCATGGGTTGCTGGGGACCAATTCAGACTCAGATTTTGAGGTATAGCAACAGCACGATTTTGCATAATGTATCTGTGATAGAGCAGGACCAGACCTGTCTGCTTAAAGTTATTAAACAGTACTGACAATTTTGAAAAAAGCTTTATCTTTTGTGTTTAAAAGAAGAAATTATGTACACAACATGACATGACGAATTATTGGGTTGTAATATCTGATAATCACATGAACTAGAGAAACTAGAAACTCCCTTCCTAATTTTGATTCCTCGCATCCGACATTACCTCGATTTTGAGTTCATCATGAGTGAATTTAAGAGTATCAAATTTCAGCTGAAGTTGTAGAATAAAAAGAAAAAGGTTTAATGCAAAGCTACAGTATAAGGCACAAGCACATGTTTTTGGGGTTTGTGAATATATTTATACTCTGAATATCTTGATGGTTGGATTCATCCTAAAATAATTCTTTCATCTTTTTCAGGGTCACAAGAAGGGAAAGAAGTAAGGCCAAATGACTGGACAATGAAACTAAACATAATAAGTATATATTCACGAAGATCTTGGGTTGACATGCAGAATGCTTCAACAGACAGTATCCATGCACTCAGCTTCAGCAGCAAGAGTGACCAATGGGATCAGAGGATGCTCAGCTGAAACTGGAGTTCCACATGAAAATGCCCATTCTTCCTGATTATGGTAGAAGGAGACTTACTGTGATAAGAACAGTCTGACTGAAAATGGTCAAATTGGTCAGAAATATGTTAAAGATAATCAGAAATCTGTACAGTAAATTATAAAATATGTGTTGTGGCGAACCACCCAGCATTGACATCTGTTGTTCTAACAAGTCATAATGTACCTGCCGCTTCGGATCAAGTAGTGCTAGAAATAATGCAGGTGTATGCAATTTGTGTTCTCTTCAGACGGTGGTGCAAGCTTAACTTCCTGGCGGTTATAGGGCCCTTAAGTTTTGCAAGGCGGTACTAAGATGGTTCTCAGTTCCCTTTGCGCGCATCAACATGCAATGTGCGAGACGGGCCCAGCTTACTTCCGTTACCAGACTTACGGTGACAAGCGTATATACAAGAACCAGTTCTGGTTCCAAATTGTGCGACTGCAGAATATGACTTTACTAGACTGGACCAAGTGTACAACCATGCTTCGCTGTCACAGCTGTTGACAGTCGTAATAGCTGGCTAACTTAGGGATGGTTAGATCGCGAAATTTGTTATTCCTGCAAGGATTATTGGTTCCTTACTGTCAACTGGCAACCATGAGACCATTCAAAAGGTATGAATCGTTGTTTGTCCCCGGAAGTACTAAGGTCTCGCAAAGTGCTGTTACCTACTTACCGGCCCTATTCCCACACCTATATATATATATATATATATATACGCACTGTTAACATCACTGCTGTTAGCGGTCTACTTATGTGCAATAGCATCTCCACACTGACAATAGTCTGCTGGTAGCTGTGTAGAAGTCACAGATAATGCCACAACCTAACTCTGGTTTAAGTATCAACATATAAATTTTCCATGATATTAAACTTTGATGTTCTTCATTACAATTATTGCTTTCTGTGGCACCTTATAAAACATTTTCAAACATTGTATTGATGGTTTCTGGACTAAAGGATGTAATATGCAGTATTGCCTTGTTAACTTAGACTCCTGAAGTCATTAAAATGTATATGGGACATGGATACAAATATAATACTGATATCAGTTTATGTGAGTGAGTTTAGTTTTATGCTGCACTGAGCCATATTCCAGCTATATGGCAGCAGCCTGTAAATATTTGAGTCTGGACCAGACAATCCAGTGATCAATATCATGAGCATCAATCTAGGCAATTGGGATACGATGCCATGTGTCAACCAAGTCAGCGAGCCTGAACACCCGTTCCCGTTCGATTCGCCTCTTATGACAAGTATGGGTTACTGAAGATCAATTCTAACCCAGATCTTCACGGGATCAGGTTAAGATCACCAAAACTTGATTGAAGCCTTTTGTTACAGATTGCCATTATTATCATGTTAGGGACTGGCCATTTCTTATAGGGAGGGGATTGGTGAGATAGGGGTGTCTTGAAAAATGGACAGTGAAAAGGGTTTGGGGTTTGAAATTTTTGTTTTGAGGGGCAGGGTGGTGATATGAAAGAATGACACAGTTCTATTTTTCCAATTTAAAGATACTTAATTAAACACTATTTAGGAATTGGTGGGGATGGACCATGAATATTTTGCACGTTTATCTTTTACGGGTAAGAGGGAAGTCCATTCATAACTGTTATATAAAATGGATCCAGGCTGTCAGTGGAATATGATCCAGAGCTAAGACCAATCCCAACCCATTCTGTAATGAATGACCAGTCATAACCTTACTTCAGTTTTCAAGGATACAGATAATCCACATGCCCATCTTGTCACTTTTGGCTGAGGGTTCTCAAGCAGCGTTTTTCGTCATCTGTATTTTACAGGGTTCATTATACCAATCTTCTTCAACCATTGCTACAAGGTCGAAGGCGACCACAGTTTCATCCAAGGATGACCTTTTCGAGTCAAGGCCATGACGCTGTTCAAATTACCTCCCCTTGATTTGACGTTTCCATGGTGACATTGTAGTTTCTGTTTAAAATGAATGGGCACCCACAACAGTTATCAATCTGTGAAATAATATCTTAAAGTGAGTCCCTTTCTGCGTCCCCCTTCTAATCCAAAATCGAATGTTGCTATGCCCAAGAGCCTATGACATTTTCCAGGTTCTGAATCTCCTATCTCAGTGGACTCCATTTAAATGTAAATAGTTACTTGTTTCTTTCAAAATAATAATTTTCTGTGACAAAGCGTAAGTCAAGCGAAGGAAAACTAAATGGCAAAGCCATGAAGTATTGTTGGTGTGATTTCCAGAAAGAGGTTTCACAAAATCAGTGCTTCAGGGGATTATGTACACTATGTTGATCTATTGACGGAGGAGTGAGCGAGTTGAGATGGGTTTTGAGGCGGGGACACTTGAAATTGGCTTCACTCAATGTACCCATGTGGGGAATCGAACTGGTCCTAGGCCTGACATGTGAACGCTTCAACCATTAGGCTATACCAGCGCCCCTTACAGGAGGAAGAAGGTGCATGCATTTTAATCTAGGATTTTAATTCAGGTACTGATGATGAAGATTTCATGGTATCCAGTTCATTGAAATAGATATAATTACAACAGACAGAGGCTGTGTGTTTACTCGGGGTCTGATTACATGATGATGTATGTGAATGATGTGATTATGGATAAATGTGAAACTGATCAGAAGGTGAAATGTGTTGAATCTGTTTTCTCATTTTCGTGTTCCACAAAAGTGTTAGTGATAGTAAATCCCATACATTTACATAGGTTTATGGTTGTGGAAGAAATGAGCCTGTGGATCCTCGGCCACGCTGCACAAAGCGATCGTATGGCAACGACTGTCTTAGGTGAGGTGAGGTGAAATTGGGTTTTACGTCGCGCTGGAGAATATTTCGCTCATATGACGACGTGCATGCGTGTGTATGTGTAGGTGCGGCTGCTTGTACTAGCCCAGACTGAAGCTGGTTTTATATTGCTAGCCCACTGAGATACCATGCCGCAGTGAAGCATGAATACCCCACTCAGACACATTATACTGACTCCGAGCCGACCAGTCCTTGTTGTACCCATTAATGCCGAGCGCCAGGCAGGGACCAACAAGTACCATATTTTAACGTCTTTTGGTATGACGCGGTCGGGGATCGAACCCGCGACCTTCAACGACTGTCTTAAGTTTTAGTATGGGGTATTAATACTTAACGCAATGATTGATTTGTTCAACGGGATACGGTAAGAGATTTTAGCCCAATAATTTCTGACAATCGTATTTCTATTAAATAAATAAATATAAGTTTGAGTATACGAGTCACTGTAATACTAATGTTAACGGGCTGTGGGATAGCCTAGTGGTTGAAGCGTTCGCGTCAAAGGCCCTGATTCGATTCCCCAAATGGGTGAGTGAGTGTGGTTTTACGCCGCTTTTCTGGGACACCAGAAATGGGCTTCAAACATTGTACCCTCGTGGGAAATCAAACCCGGGTCTTCAGCGTGACGAGCAAACACTTTACCCATTGGGCTACCCCACCGCCCCTCCCCACAAGGGTACAATGTGTAAAGCCCGTTATGGTGTCATCCGCCGTGACATTGCTGGAATATTGCTAAATGCGGCTTAAAACCCAATTCACGGACCCAAGAACACTTAGATCTTTGCATTGATCAAAGCACGCACTACCGTGAAGGCCCGGGTTAGGATATTGATCTTCAGTAACCCATGCTTGTCGTAAGAGGCGACTAACGGGATCGGGTGGTCAGGCTCGCTGACTTGGTTGACACATGTCATCGGTTCCCAATTGCGTAGATCGATGCTCATGCTGTTGATCACTGGATTGTCTGGTCCAGACTCGATTATTTACAGACCGCCGCCATATAGCTGGAATATTGCTGAGTGCGGCGTAAAACTAAACCCACTCACTCACTCAAAGCACGCACTGGATCCTCTAGTTTACTGGCTGAGTCGCAATACTGTATACGATATTTGGACCCAGGCGCCGGTCATTTTCGTGTTACACTGGGACAAAAGATGCACTAACACACTGAGTATGGGTAGGCAATACTCTGCTATATTACGCCCTGTAAATAATAGAATCTGGTCCAGGCAAACCCGTTGCTGACAGCAGAAACAAAGAGCCATGAGGTCCGCGCGATCACACACACTCAGCTAGGTCTCTGTGGAACTACTTCCTAATTTGTCACCTCTTACCACAGGCATATACTGTTTCTGTGGTCCAGTGGATAAGAGTGTATGCCTGTAGAGTGGAAGTGTGGCGGTTCGACACCCGGCAGCGTCATAAGACGTTAAACGATGGTACTATCAACTGTACCTAAATAGTTCAACAAGAATTTTAATTTCCAATTTAATGAAAATAAGAACCCCTAAAATTTACGTACACGGTAAGTGACCCCACCCCCACCCTGCATGTCATATACAAAATCAATTACCCCTTCTCATAATTTTTAAGCATAATATTTTTTAATAATTTTCATGTACAAAGCTGATGACCCCTCCTAGTGCATGTGTATAAAATTGATGACCCCCGCTACCTCCTCAGAACAAAATGGGTCTCTCCCCTTAAAATCATCATCACCCCTAAGCCATAAATTATGAACGGTAACTTAGTATGACGTTAAGGTATAAATGTTTGATATCTCGCAGTGGTCGCTGGTCCGTTATGCTATGAGCAAGCTCAAATGCTGCTCAATTCGCCATTAGTGCCTGGCATTTGGGGAGCACGCTTAAGTTCTCTCAAGGTAGATAAATGCCACTTAAAAGAGGTGTATTGTCAGTGTTGAGATAGTTCCTCACTGTGTCTCACATCATAAAATACACGCTGAGGAATAAAATGGATCGTCATTCTTAATCTCAATAACTTTTACTTCGATATGCGTGAGAGGTGCCGTATCGGAGATGATGATCTGAAAAAAAGACATTTTGCAGTTGGGTCGTCAGATCTCTGTTCATTGGTGAAAGCAGCTGCAGACTCCTCAAGGCTCATCTGGAGATTTCTGAACAATTGCCCTACCAACACATCAGGGCGTCCATGTATATACGAGCGGGCGTGGGTTTCATCATACTTCACTGGATTCACTGTTGGAATTACCAATTGCCTTTGGTATTTTTGTACAGATATTTGTCCAAAGATGCATGGTCATTTCGTTCTGAAAAAGTTCTTTACGCTTGCTTCTTCAAGACCCCGCGAATGATCTGCCCGGTTGGAGATCGTGGAATCTGGTCAACGAACTCAACCCCTCCTCGGAGATGTTTGTGCGCGTCCAAGTTGGCTGAAATAAGAACGCAGTTTATTACATTATCATTTACCTATGAACAAGGTATTTCATGTATATAATTCAGCAAAGATCTTTGAAAATTGTAGGTGACTGTCTTTCCAGGACAAAGTAAAGAGAGTGTATGAGTGTACATTTAATTTGTCCTCCATCCATTTATCCCAGTTAGCATGTTTGCCCTTAATCCTGAAAAGCTGCACACCCTAAGAACACAGAAACATAAAAGGTTGTGGGTCCTGATCAGAATGTGTAGGCCCTATACTTTAATATGGAAATAATACTGTTAGTTATTGGTGATGAAAAAGCTGTCGGCCAAAAGGACCTGCAGAAAACAAAGCTGTGGGTCCTAGTGGTTTTCGGACTAAAGACCGACGTTAATTTCGAACGCTGATTAGTATTATATCCATTCACTACATGCAATTATGATGTTGGGCGCAATTCATTTATGTATCTTAACAGCAATGAACGCCGATTTCTAATGATACATATGGCATTCACAAGAATGCTGCCTGTTCTGAAGGCTAGTCTACACCAAAAATGCAAACGCTTCAATACTATGTCGTGTTTTACAGAACTATCCTATTATTTAGTCCTGTCCTATGGCTTAAGATATGTATCTATTGAAACCACAAACAATCTTGATTAAGAAAACGTCTGTCTAGCCATCTCTGTTCCAGATGAAATAACGGTTCGATTTTTCAGGAGAGGTATATTCATATAGACTTCATAGACTATTTTTCTCAAAATCACAATATTCTTCCCCGGTATCTGACAATAGTCATTAGTATATGCAGTACATATAAAGACCCCTTCAACCTACCTGCAACAAACTCTTGTAGGTCGGTTTGGCTCACAGAACTCCCTCTGCTCTTGACAACGAACGCTTTAGGAACCTCCCCTGACTGCCTATCGGGGACGCCAATGACGGCACAGTCCTCTACATCAGAGTGAGTCTCTAGCAAGTCTTCCAGCTCAGCAGGAGAAACCTGCATTATAAACACGTCCAAGAGGTTCCACGTTAAGGATAACTATTCAATGTAGGTATGCAGAAGCGCTTGTTTAGAAATGTATCGGAAAAGAAAATCTTATTCAAGGAGAGAATTCAGCTTTATGGTACAGTCATGAGTCCTACGGCTATGACCTCAGCTTCGTCTCTTACTTTGTGGGGGATGGTAGTCTACTTATTGTTTTGATTATCAAGGTACGCAGTGTTGATGTATTTCTCAGTGATCCGATCGCCTATTTCGCCTGACTTGCAACAAGCTTTTGTTGATTCAATTTTCTCAATTTACCATTCCAACAGCGTTTCCGGTTTCAAGACCGTTCCGCATACATCCGTCTCTTCAGACTTGACGTGGGTGGCACATGAGACGTTTGATTTTGTTAATTACAGCATGGTCTCATCACCTATGATATTTAGACCCAGCGATTCGTTAACTGCTCATCAAGGTATCGTATTTCTCATTAAGAGGGGCTCTATAACTTCATTATACTTTCAGATCTGACGCATTTAGGGGCCTCTAAGAGTTCTATTGTATAGAAATACTAGTGAAGATGCGGACTAGAATTTGCCTTCAGCAAACCATGCGTGTCGTAAGAGGCGGTAAACAGGATCGGGTTGTCAGACTCGCTGACTTGGTTGATATATGTCATTGTGTGACGGTTCCAATTGCTTAAATGTATGGGGGCGGTTGGGTAGCCTAGTGGTTAAGGCGTTCGCTCGTCACGCCGAAGACCCGGGTTCGATTCCCCACATGGGCACATTGTGTGAAGCCCATTTCTGGTGTCCCCCGCTGTGATATTGCTGGAATATTGCTAAAAGCGGCGTTAAAGTAAACTCACTCACTCACTCACTTAAATGTATGCTCGTGATGTCCATCACTGATATGTCTTGTCCAGGCTAGATTATTTACAAACTTCTGACCCCTTCGGCTGGGATAATGCTGATAGCGGCGTGACACAACAAACAATTATTACCGAGAGACCTTGACTCATGATAACGTCCGCCAGTCTGCCTTCTACCGCAATCCGGCCATCCTCTGAGGCAAGAGCTAGGTCTCCTTGGTTTGTAGAAAACAAAAACCTAGTTTGAATGAGCCAATACTGTGTCTCCACCATCAGCAATATAGCAGGGGTTCAAAAAAAAATTAAAAAGCCACTTGCCACAGGGCAAGTGACTTTAAGAAAGTAACTTGTCGTGACTAATTTTCCACTTGCCCTGATTTTATGACATAATTATGATGATGTAATTATGAAAGAAGAAATCAACATGGTATTTGATGTTAATATTTACTGGACTATTTATTGAAAAGTGATAAATAGCGAAGAAAGATAACACTATTTTATTATCATTGCGAAATTTAATAGCTACATTTTGAGCAGATATGAAATCAAATCAAAGTTTATTTGCAGTTTGAAACCATAAGTGGAAATTATCTAGTAACCCATGGACAAGTTAGATACCATTTTTTGATTGCCCGAAATGAAAACTGACTTGTCCCGGGCGTCGGGCGATGGGATTTTTTAACCCCTGTATAGCTGGATATAGGTAACCGACTGCTTTAGGTGAAGGTTTTACATTTTAAAACAAAATTGCCTATTATCGACGCTACTATTTTCCTGTGCATATTTCATACACCCAGTGTCAATAACAACAGCGGATTATATGCTTTCTTGGATGTTTTTTCATTTATAATAATAGAAATTTGCGAGTGGAGGTGTTGGGAAAGTTGAAGCCAAATCGTCTTAGAAACCTGACATCTGATTGGATCACGGAGCTCTTTATAACGCAGAGGTATCATATCGGCGTAAACGATCTGATTTGTAAGAAATCGATCTAGATAGTACTAAATGAAACTTGTCAAAATGACGCATACACCTGTGTATGAATGTTCCAGCCAAACTATCATATACATAGTGATATTTGGTATATATCTGGATGAACTGCATCTGCATACCCCCGTCCGTAACACAAGGCATTAAGAGACGATAATCCCTTAATCTTGATGACTAAACAGTTAATTTCTTTTTCTGAAGCAAGAACCTGAAATCCTCAAGCTCTATATATAGAGCTGGTTTACAGGTTTTGAAAAGCTACTTGTTGAATTAGTAGATTCTTCGTGTTTCCATGGAAACTCTTTCAATACCTCTCTGCAGAACAGTAGTCCAAGCTTGAAACAGACAGCACGCCGTACATTACCTGTGTGAAACCATCCGTCTTGGTCAACAACATCAAATGTGGTGTTTCTGTTTCCATGGTAACCTTTCATCACTTGAGGTCCTTTAATGCACAGTTCTCCAAGATTCCCAGTGGGTACAGTGTCGCCGGTGTGTGGGTCAGTAATCTAAAAGTGTTTTCATATGATTAGTTTAATGTAATCGATTGTGTGAATTGAGTTCGAACTTCGGCCACAGTTAGACCCGTTTGTTGATATAATGATGTCTTCTGCGGGGCGAGGAACGTGAAGGATATTGGTACATCACTTTGAAGCACTTTATTGAAATGTTTTCTTGGCTGGTTGAGTGAGTAATGGGTTTATCATACGGTATTATCACCACAAGGAACTCCAAAGTGATGGAAACGTGACCCATCTCTATCGTACGTTATATTGACAACCAATACCCCTGTTCCTATTTGTTTGTAAAACAACGTAAGTCATATATATACTATGAATGATGAAATGGATCTACTTGTATTAGCATTCACACAGAATCTGAAACAAATATACAACCAGTGAAGATTAGAATTGGCATTCAGAAAACCATGCTTGACCTAAGAGGCGGCTAACGGGATCGGGTGGTAAGGCTCGCTGACTTGGTTGACACATGTCACCGTATCCCAATTGCGTAGATCGATACTCATGGTGTTGATCACTGGATTGTCTGGTCCATGCTCGATTATTTACAGACTAGAATTGGGGAAGACCACTCAATGCACTAGAATACATGAGGCATTAAAACAAGACCTCTGTGATTCGAAGCACTACACCCACCTTGCCCTGTGTGTTGGGAAGCAACACCCCAACTGTTACTGGGTCTCCGGTCTCTGTGTCGACATGTGTCAGTCCGGTTGTCTCTGTCATGCCGTACCCTGTGTTATAAAGCTAGTTATTTAACGGGGACTCAACGGAATGCTCGAATCTGATTAGTCATTCACAGTTTCAAATACCAAAAGCATGTCTGTCGTTGGAGAACTACATTATTATTTTCACTTGATGAATAGTTCCTTTTACGATATTGCAAATTCAACAATGCGAAATACTCAACAAATATCTAAAAATATTACAGCCCTTAAACAAACCTGGCTTACAATAAGCAAGTTCGATACAATAAAGTCTATCATGCAAACCCTGAAATAAATATGCCCAATACAGCCCAGGCAAGTCTAGAATATGTGGCAAGTCAAGATTGCCTCTGTTCAGGTCTGAAAATGAAGAAAGTCTCTTAACTTCCTTTATTATAGGGGCGGTGGGGTAGCCTAATGGTTAAAGCGTTGGCTCGTCACGCCGAAGACCCGGGTTCGAATCCCCACATGGGCACAATGTGTGAAGCCCATTTCTGGTGTCCCCCGCCGTGATGTTGCTGGAATATTGCTTAATGCGGCGTAAAACCAAACTCAGTCAGTCAGTCAGTCCTTTATTATATTTTATGAAGATAATTCAGGAAGTGTTTTCCTCTGCAAGATATGTTAATTTCAGAGACAAGATATTAGTCTAGATAAAATGCTATGTCCACAAATTGTACCTGGGGACCTTTAATGAAGACGATGGTATTTTTCACTGGTATGAATGGTACGTTTAGTCACCTGTATGAATATGAACAGTGTTGTACAGTGCAGTATTTTTACCTTGGTACACCCGTATTCCAAATCTCTCCGTGAACGCTGTTGCTACCGTCCTCTTGAGGGGGCTGCCCCACAATATACCGACTCCAAAGACGAGAGGTCGTAGCCAGGGTCGGCAGTTGTCAACTGTTTGAGTGTAGATGGAACTGTGTACAGCCGGGTGATCTGTTCAATGAGGATTGAATTAGGTTTGACTACAGCGTTATCCCTATTATATACACATAGAACTTAATTAAGCAACCCTGTATTTTTGCAATGATAGGTTTTCAACACGTCCATTAAACTTGTCGTTGTGACCACGATGGAAAAACCCGTATGATCCTTTGACTCATAAACAACGACAAAATGAATCCATGGAATCCATGTTGATTTTATGATGATAATTGCTCATTTTAAAACAACAACAATGATTTTCATACAAAACCAATTCTGTACAAGTATGGCCCTGGAATGTTGAATTTATTGGTGAATGTGAACATTCAAAATGTCATTTTGCGTGTCTTACACGATTCAAGGTCAGTACCGAGTGTAAACTCCATGTGACTGTATGAGAGCCAGCACTCTCCTCCTCATACCCCCTATCAGCCTCCTGATCCTCTGAAGGGGCAGTCTACGCCATTCCTTGAACCTCAGCTTCCAATTGGGCCAGGTTCTGTACAGGAGGATCCCTTTGTTGCACACGACGACCAATCATGTCCCAGATACTCCAAAGGGTTAAGATCGGGGCTCATTCAATCGTGAGATATGTCAGGGGGTGCTTAACTAAGTTCTTTGTGTATATTACAGCACCTGAACATGTTAATGTTAGTGGTTGGTATTCTAAACATGGCGTCGGAATTTATCATGGTAAACTGCTCAAAGACAGAAACCCATTATAGGTAGTATCTCAATCAATTAATGGCGAACTATTGACAAATCAGTTTTTATATTTTCTCTTCAGGCAGGATATTGCACTTGAGAGCAGTGTAGACAGTTTTGTTTGTTATTTCATGCGCGAGATAGAAAGACACAACGCCAACAAGAGTGATTGAATGACTGAGTTTAGTTTTACGCCGCACTCAGCAATGTTCCAGCTATATGACACCGGTCTGTAAATAATCGAATCTGGGCCAGACAATCCAGTGATCAACATCATGAGCATCGATCTACGCAATTGGGATACGATGACATGTTTCAACCAAGTCAGCGAGCCCGACCACCCGAACCGTAGGTCAGAAAACCAATTCTAACCGGATCTTCACTGGTATCCCTGACAATAATGATCTGACAATTAGAAGATAAAGCTGCCCTGTTTTCAATTTTGCGGTCCTTTATCGTTGATTTAAGACCGCTAGATGTAATTTAAAAACCGAACGCGTTGTAATTAGCGGTCTTAAACTGCCATTTAAGTACGGTTTTGATGAGCTCTCAGCCAATCAGAATCGCGTATCACACAATGTCGTGCTAGAATTATCATTGGTATTTCTGGACAAGAATAAATAAGCCAAATAAACCTGCTTGGGGATATTACATCACCTGGACCAGATGGTATTGCTGCTTTTTAGAAAGAAACAAATTACACCAATTTTAGCTATTATATTGAACAAAACTTTCGAGACCAGTAACTGTCCCTCTGTCTGGTGATGTGAATGATGTCAACAAGAAAGAAAGGTTTTGTTGGTGTCTGACGTTTTGTCTATTATAACATCAATGAATGATAAAAAGCGTGTCTGTATCAGAACAAAGGAGTGAGTGAGTGAGAATGGTTTTACGCCGCTTTAAACAATATTCCAGCAATATCACGGCGGGGAACACCAGAAATGGACTTCACACATTGTGCCCGTGTGGGGAATCGAACCCAGGTCTTCGGTGAGACAAGCGAACGCCTTAACCACTAGGCTACCCCACCGCCCCAGAACAAAGGAGTCACGCTCTTTGAAAAACTTGTTGATAGAGGACGGTATGACATGTAAACACCAATTCAGACTGGAGCTGCGGAAAGCTAGCTAAGCTAATGGAAAAAAGACCACATGTAATTATTTCAGTTGGAATCGAACAATGAAGATTTCTTATAATTAAGGAAATGGTCTTGTCGCTTGTACTTACCCCATATGTGTCAACAGCCTGTAGACAGTGGTGGGGGTTAGGATGTTGTAGACTGACAATCATCCCTCCATCCTGGAGAACGCCAAGATGAGCCATCACGAGGCTGTAGATGTGGTGAGAGGGCGTGACTGACAACACCTTCTCCAGGCCTGTCCGGACGTGAACGGGAACTCTGAAACCGAGGGCTCTGAACGTCCGTAACGTAATCACACAAAATTCAACTCATCCATTTGAGCGTTTTATCAATTGTAATTAAATCACATCAATTAGGAAAGAAAGAGAAAAGTCTTTTTTTCTATCAGTATCAAGATACAGGGGCTCTATCCGCCATCGAAGGCCACCCAGACGGTGCAATGGGATATGTAGAGCAAACAGTTTTCTGGTTGTGCATGGTGATAGAAATGTCCCTATATATTTCAGAAGGTGCTAGGTCCTGTAACGAACGTTAGGTCACAGCGTATCAGTTGCTTGTGCGTGAGTGAGTATGGTTTTACGCCGCTTTTAGCAATAGCCCAAGAATATAACGGCGGGGAACACCAGAACTGGGTTTCACACATTGTACCCAGGTGGTACGCTTTATTCACTAGGCTATCTCCGTTATTGTGATATGTGCCTTTAAATGTACCGTTAACATTTGAGAGGTTAATCAAAAACTGCGTCAGAGGTCTTTGCTCAAATCTCTAAACGTATTACGTCAACATAACCACGTCCACTATATGTGGAGTGTTCGGTTTCACGAGGCCCCACTGTATTTGAATGATGGTTGTAAAGTGATCCCTACTATAAACCCACCTTATCTGATGGAGAGCAGACACTATGTTACTGTGGGTGAGCATGACCGACTTAGGCGGCCCCGTGGTGCCGCCGGTGTAGAAGAGTCCCATCACGTCGTTGTCGGGGTTGATGACGATGTCATCACGGAACATCCGGCCGTCATCTTCCAGTAGGGTGGAGAATGATGTCACTCCCTCAGCATCACCCAACACAAACAGATCCTTGTGGAGACATATACAGATGACAACGTCCGCTATCTATATATACGTGTACTCGTTTTCATACAGGTGATCCAGGTGAACATTCAACAGGGGCCGTTCCTCTATCTTTCTACCCGTGAAGATCCGGGTCTTCAGTAACGCATGCTTGTCGTAAGAGGCGACTAACGGGATCGGGTGATCAGGCTCGCTGACTTACTTGACACATGTCATCGGTTCCCCAATTGCGCAGATCGATGCTCATGTTGTTGATCACTGAATTGTCTGGTCCAGACTCGATTATTTACAGACCGCCGCCATATAGCTGGAATATTGCTGAGTGCGGCGTAAAACTATACTCATCCAAGCCTCTATCATTCGACATTTAAAATAGTTGTTCTAACTGTGTACACAACTTGATGTTTGTGGTGAATAAAGCCATTCTCTACATGTCACGACGTCACCAAAATACGTGACAAGATAATAGTAAGGGCTCCGGTGCACAAATAGACTGCCGTAAGCCTATGTTTAGTACGGGAGCTACGATCGCTTTGTGGAACGGGCCCCTGATCTTTTATGTTATTTGTATATGTTAAGATTAGACACGTGTTTTATATGAAGTCGCATCACGTAAACTTTCTAATGAGTATCTCAGAGCAGATGATGCGATTTTTTCGTACATCGAATACGACCATAAGATCCGAATGGAAACAAAAAAGGTCGCGCCATAACACTTCAGATGTTATACACATTGTCGTTTCCAGGCATATTCGCATCCATACCCAAATCGAAGGAAAAACTGGTTTCTTTTTGTCAAAGCGAAATTTCCTAACTGAATGGTAAGCTGGTATTTACCTTGATGCCATGTGTTTGAGAAATGTTCTTGACGAGTGTAACGAGAGGCTGGCTGCAGACCACACACTTGGCGCCACAGTCATGGAGCTGACGGGAGATCTCCTCTGTCAAACACAATACAAAATGACATTACAACGGGGTCCAGTTCTAACCTGGAATCTCCACTGACAGCAGTCATCAGTATTCATTTGTTTATCCACAGAGAAGCGGCAGTTAAGAAAGATGAAGTCGTATGTGATATACAGGAGCAATAACTGATCTTCTTAACACTCTAGGGCCTGCAGACAGCCGTTAGAAACGATACCAAATGAACAACATAAGTTGTCGAACGTTAAGATAAGATTTTTCAATCAGATACGACATCTCTGTGAAAAGAATTGACACCCGATCCACTGGAGGTAGCGTCATATGTCCTTACTAGGGCTGCGCAATATAACCGGTTTACCGGTATTTACCGGTTCAGACATGAAAACGGTACGTATTGCGATACGCTGATCGAAAACCGGTATTTTGACATGCATTCGGAAAACGTCGTAACACTCGGAAATCTTCGGATATTTCCTTGTTTCATTTGAGCCAAATATTATTCACATTTTTATTTTATCATGATTAAAATTTGTTATTAAAGCTTAATCAAGCATTGTGATTTTGTTATAAATCAAGCAGTAACTCGATTAAAAGTAGTTTTTTGTTTAAAAATACTTCATGCAATATATTGCAATGCATATCGCAATACATGCTCTCGCATCGCAATATATCGCAATATGAATATTCTCTGCAATACCCACCCCTAGTCCTTACTAATTACCCAATGTAGATGCTTCTTTACGAGTTAGCAAAATATTAAAAACAGCAATATTTTCATTCTCCTGCTCGAAAGTGGACAGTTCGGAAAATGTAAATAATAAAAGCCACGCATCTCATCCCTGCAGATATAGGTGTGGATTTCATTTGTTGACATCGAAGTTTCGGAACCGAGATGGCAAATGAATGATGACTAAAGACACAACATATCTTTCTTTCAAAGTCTGAAACCACATTCTGTCTCAGAGGTGTACCGTGAGTAGTCTGATGACGTTACGTTTTGTACCTGGAGTTGACGTCGGGTCGATCATCGCCACTGTTGCTCCAATTGCTGATACGCCGAGCACTAATGATGTTATGTGGACGTTGTTTGGTGTGACGACAGCGATGACGTCGCCTTTAACGTATCCCCTTTTCGTGAGGCTGCTAGCAACTGCAACGACGGCATCGGACAGCTCTGAGAAGGTGAAGGCCTCTTTTGTGTCGTAGTCGACCTTGGAACACAGATTAACATGAGATATTCCATAAAGGGGGACAACTCAGGGAGCAGCGTTACAGAGGACAATAGTCCGCATTTTCGTGAGGATTGTACGAAGGTGTAAACAGGGCCGTGGTATACAGTCCGTTTGGCTCAAAAGCGGACCGATGAATTGCAATCTAACTCGAAAGCTAATAAACATAAAATACTCAATGAAACGCTGATCATAATCAAAACATCATACCCACTCTGTGAGGTTTTGGCAGAATTTTTGTCCTAAAAATAAAAAAAGTTGTTGAACAATCTATCATTAAAATATTGACACAGTTCACTATTTGTTACGAGGGAGGAGTGCAGAGAAAGGGACAGCCAGGTGTTCGAGAAGCACGTTCACAGACAAAGTTATCTATGCATTAAACTGTGCTGTGCCGTCTCCATCCGTTCTCGAACACGGAAGAAGATAGAGACAGATATGGGAGTTCTGAATTGCGAACATTAAATCCCCAAAACGGGAGAAGATAAAGAAAACAAGAATGGGGTCAAATTTCCTGCTCTGATAACACAACACTAAATTTGTGAGATGAGTGGAAGTTGACAAAGGGAGCGATCTATGATTAGATATGTCCTAGAGATTCTCTGGGGATATTGTGGACAATGCCATGCATCAACCAAGTCAGCGTGATTTACCACCTTATCCTGTTACAAAAAGCATGTCTTGCTGATGACCTATTCTAACCCAGATCTTCACGGGTTACATTGGCGCCTGAGTACGCGTATTGAGTTAATTGGCATTCATGCTGACATATATACACGGAGTAGGATTAAAGTTCAATTTTAAAAGATGTAGACTACTTAAACTCGATGCCCTGAAATCTGACGGAATTTTCACTAAAAACGGCGTCGGTTTCAAATGAATATCATGTGCACTGAATACACTAAACATACAATACCATTCGGAAAGCACGTAATCTTGATTTTTGAAGTCAGGTACCTCTGTATTTTACTGCTCTTGAACGATACCTCTTCCACAACAAATATCAATGTATCGAATCACTCAAGCGAAACGTATGTTAAGCTTAAAAACTTCTTGTTGAGGGTTCGTTGACATTATAAAAATTATGGCGTCCGCCTCACATGCAGATATAATCAACGACCAATCGACTACCCAAAATGCTCTACCTTATTGTCAATCCACCCTCTGAAGCCCTCAAGGGCTAAGACAAGTTGAATATTGGTACAATACGGTAAACAACGTTTATAAATAACATGTCTATAACGAACTGACGGGTGTAACGAACTGGGGGTTTCTCGAATTAACACTTGCGGCATATTATAGTCTAATTGCATACAACGAACTACGGTTAAACCGAACATAATACATGGTCCCTTCGAGTTCGTTTTAACCGTAGTATTTGAAATACCGTTTCGAGTAGTTTCAATCGTTGGGGTCACACTATTTACCGAGGCATGATGCATTCTGTTTTACATTTCACTTGTACGTACCAAGGCATCCAGATCTCCCAGGGAGTAGAAACGGTGAAGCAGGTGTTCGGCCAAAGGGTCCGTCGCGATGTCCTCGTCAGGAAAAGGGCTCCGTAGGATGCCTGACGAAGACGAAGAGAATGAACACTCTCCCGCATGATGGCTGACTTTAGCAGAATTCTGCAGCACAAGTCCTCTCGGTACACCACACCTTACTGGTGTGTTAAATGTCACTGGTTGTCCATGATATAAGCGGCTGAAGATCCTCGCTAGCACGACCCTCATTTCGCAGCCTCTGCTCTGTCGACAAAGACTCCAATGACGGGAGGGGATTAAGGGTGTATGAGGCACTTCTGTTCTTAAACAAACACAGTTGATAAGACGTGTCTCTTTGGAGATAACTTACACAGGAAACCATGGTGACGGGTCTGTATCTACTCCTCACCTCTGAGACCGAGTTAAAATTAGCGCTATCGCCACTGACTATCTCTAGGGGAAGCAGACGACTTTTATATAGACGGGTATTCCTCGTTTTAATGTTATCGGTGCCACAGGTCAGATATTAAGTGTCCGACCTGAAAACAGACTGGATAGTTCAGTTTCAGATACTATCCATAAATAGGCTTTTCAGGACAAGATGACCTCAGGAAATCTTAAATCGATAATACCACAACCGTAGCAGTGGCAGTCATGCTGTAGGTGTGATAGGACATGACGCAACCAACGTCAGCAGAGATTCACTGAAGTTACAATATATAACAACCAACTACAGACTGGGTATATGTTTCAGGTATCCTATACAACCAGGTATACGATATAGCATAACCGAAACAGAAGGGGTATGGTGCTATATGACATATAGGCTACTCTCCCATTGAAAGTAGGCTCCATTCGAAAGTAACAGATGATTACAGAAATACAATGTGTCATCGAGTAATTGTAATGATTTTTTAGTTGTTGTTGTTGTTGTTGTTGTTGTTGTTGTTGTTGTTGTATGCCGCGCTCAGCTATATGGCGGCGGTCTGTAAATAATCGGGGGTGTTTGGGGTAGCCAAATGGTTAAAACGTTCGCTCGTCACGCCGAAGACCTGGGTTCCCCCATCGGTACAATGTGTGAAGTCCATTTATGGTCTCCCCCGCCGTGATATTGCTGGAATATTGCTAAAAGCGACGCAAAACTAAACTCACTCACTCACTGTAAATAACTCTGGACCAGACAATCCGGTGATCAACTTCATGACCATCGATGTAAGCAATTGGGATACGATGCCATGTGTCAAACAAGGCAGCGAGCCTAACCACCCGATCCCCTTAGTCGCCTCTTACGACAAGCATGTGTTGCTGAAGATCAATTTTAAAAACCGGATCTTCACGGTAATGGTGATGACTGACTGACTGACTTTGGTTTTACGCCGCTTTTAGCAATATTCCAGCAACATCACGCCGGTGGACACCATAAATGGACTTCACACATTGTACCCATGTGGGGATTCGAACCCGGGTCTTCGGCGTGACGAGCCAACGCTTTAACCATTAGGCTACCCCACCGCCCCGGTAATGGTGATGAATGGATAGGATACGACATTCATCATAACAAGTTAGCGATAAACTGTAACACTGCAAACTCCCAAGAAAGACAACAGGGTGTGTAGTCAAAACTGTATGTTTGAGATGACTTGATCAATAATGGGTCCCATTCTTGGTATAAGTGACCTAACCAAAATGCCAGTATGTTAACTGAGGAAGAAATCTGCCAAAACGATTCATCAGAACTTTTGACGCGAAGACATGTCCATTCCTCTTTCGAACTGGATTCCAAAGTTCCATAAACATCCGTAAAAAGAGAGATATATTGCGGGGCCGAGCAAATGTACCATCAAATCACTGTCTCAAGGATTAACCATAATAGTTATCAGCACTATCTATATCTTCCCAGAAAACTTTTGAGATAGGTGATATTCGTACCATTGGATACTCCAAAACATAAAGAATCGGCTTGTCAGTATTTTCAGAATCGGATTAACTTCTGTTCTCAAAACATTTGATTTTCACATGCAAAACGTAAGGGATACCTTCATTGCTTGATCCAAGAAGCAAACGTGATGAGCATAGATAAAGTTGCATATCTATCTTCAAGGGTTCAGAACAATTTGTCACAATGAAAGCAAATGAAATGTGAAATGCTGGACTTCCTCAATAATAACATCTACAGAAGATTTGGCTTCGTGTGTTTCATATTTAGATCTATGCACAAAGATTCAGAGAGACAAAAGACCATCCACTATAAGGCTGGATGTCGAGCAATATTCCAACATATCCAGATTGGGTGTGTACATTTCACAACGTGCTCCTTTTATAAAGATTTCAAAGAGCATCACGTGACTCTTGCCAAGAAGTTACAACATTCAAAGTCTCAGTAAAGCTTCCAAAACGTTTCATGGTAGACATGTGGAGGGCATTTCCAAATTTATGGCATCAGTGAAAACTAATATGTCCGATGCATCTCTTTTTTCACTTGTGTCGTATGTTCCCATGTTTAATGCGGTGAACAACGGACTAGACTTTGTAATACAGGTGATACAGGTAGATACGCTCACCTTTTCGCGAACACCTGGTACCATCACTATTTGATAGTGATTCATAAACACATGCCATGATATAGTCGGGATTATATAATCGGCTTTATATTTGGCTATGGAAGTGGCAAGGATTTTGTTGCATTTATTAATCAGCCTCCCCGGGACAATGAGGGATAGTCTATTCCAATAATCTGTAATCCAGTAATACAAGCCCCTATGATTTCGGCTGAAGTAAAGCGTGGCATGTGACGTCGGCATACACATCTCCCGATCACAGACGTCCGAATCTATGGATGAAGATTCGGACTTATGTATTCGATGTCTAATTGCTGCACATCATCACTATGGTAACCTTATTTACACCAAAGTATAAAGCGCCAAAACCCGTGTTCTGAGTTGCATTCTGCTTCGCAAGATATGCAAACGTCATATATATTTATCTATATGTGCATGCCCATTTCTGGTGTTCCCCACAGTGTTAATTGCTATAGCATATTGCTAAAAGCGGCGTAAAATCCAACTCCCTCACTCACTCACTCCGTGTGTATCTGTGCACCTTCCAAGCGTATCCTAGCGCGCATCTAAATTGCCTTCTTCAACAACGCCACTCTAGTTGCGAGCTTCTTTTAATCAGACTAGCGCCAAATGAGACACACTGACATTTCGAAACAGTGTAAAGTTTAATATCTGACTTCATTCATGATTACATATTAACGATATATTGACATCTCTAAATCATAACATAAAACAACTTAAAACAATACCAGCAACTTGACAAAAATGGTAAAATTTGAAAATGTTCTTACAAACTATAAAAGTGGAATTATAATGTAAAATGATATCACATTAGTATAAACTGCCGGGCAAAAGAATGTATACACTTGAAAACTGAATATGACCAAAACATAACGCTACCAATACTTCACGAGGGTGAAAATAGTCGCCGGCAGGCTGCAAACCTGCGGTCCAAATAACGATACTCGTATCAAACAGGATCAAATAATCAATTCCAGTTTGTTTCATTTTTAGCCCCAAATTTAAAAAAAATTCATTTGCCCGGCAATTTAATATAGTGAGCATTTCCTTATGTGTTCTCGCTATATATTCCATACACATTCGACACAATCACTCAAGTATGCCCTAGCTAGACCCCTGAGATATGATACGTTGGTTAATCCAGCTTGCTGCCTCACATTGTTATGAAGCCCATACAAAACCAGCCTGGTTCCCTGGGTCTGTTGCGCCTGCGCTAACGCTCAGGTGCAACAGACCCAGGGAACCAGGCTGATACAAAACGCCTATATTTTCAAACTAGTGAGCTAACTACATGAAGCACCTGTAAAATATATGCTTATACTGGCTGGGTTTCGTTGGGTCGCAATGGTCAGCCTTCAATACTTGATAATACTGAAGTAGACCATTTTACGTTGAGTAAAGACATGTTACCCTTGCGTAAGTGTTTCCATATTAAAACAGTACTAAGTACCGAAAGGGTACCGTTATATACAACAAACATGAATGGTGTGACTGTGTATCAGCTAAGCTGAACAAACAAACTTCAGAGTTAAAAACAAAAGTCCCAAGACACATTTAGTATCTAACACAAGATCGCTCCACCGCCACATCTATGACATGCATATTTAACGTGGAGGTTACATATAAACACTGTCGTCGCCGATGATGTTTAAATCCTCCTCCACAAAGCCTCTGGTTACAGTGCACGACTCCATCCAACGTTAGACGTTGACGTTCCTAAGTCTAAGGTACAGGAAAGTTCGGAAATGTAAGGTTTCAATCTGTCAGTCTACTTCAAAACACTATCCTTCAGCACACGCCTGAGAATTTTCCCGGCAGGGGATTTCGGAATTTCCTCGATGAACACCACGCCTCCTCGTAAGCTCTTGTACGACGCCATATTGTCTGTCGGAAGATAAACAGTTAACATGAGCGTTTGAAGGGAGTCATCGCTATTTTAAACAAAATGTGTACTTGCATCAGCTACTAGTATTGTTTACCAAAAAAGTAATCAATTATTTAAGAAGAATGTCTAATACATGGGTAAGAAAATCAATTCAACGATTCAGTCTTGGAGGGATGGGTATTGGCATCGCTGCTGGGAAGGGGGTGGGTTGGGGTGGCTTGTCTATAGTCTGTTTGTAATGAAAACCTACCGATGAATTTCGGTTTAAACAAAAAGTAAATCAAATAAAGTGAAATTAAGATTGCAAATCCTAATAATTTTACCTTGCCAATTGAACATTTAAATCTCAGAATTTTATTCAACTTAGGATAAAAGTTAGTTAACAAACGATCATAAAAAGAAAATCGATATTACTGGTTTGTATTACAATGGGGTAAGCGCAGTAGTTGGAACAGTGAAACAAATGCACCCGGGTACGTGAAGAGCGTTAACTTAGAACAACCCTTGTCGTTCTCGGTGTTTCATTCGATGTGCATACCCCCTTGTAATACAAACCAATAATAGCGATGTGAAATTATGATCGTTTGTTAAACAACTTTTATCTTAAGTTGAATAAAATTCTGAGATTTAAATGTTCAATTGGCAAGGTAATATTATGAGAATTCGCAGTCTTAATTTCACTATATTTGTTTTACTTTTTGGTTTAAATTAAAATTCATCGGTACGTTTTCGTTACAAACAGACTATACAAAAATGCAGTCCAACACCGGTGTGTCGAACTTTCATGAGTTACGGCTGTCTCCAAGTAAAACCTGGTTCTGTGCTTATTACTTTGCTTTATAAGTTTGTGGTTGTATCGAACCTTGGGTATCACGACTGGGTCCCTCAAACTTCGGCTAAACGATGTTTGACACTAATTATTAACAGTGACATGTTCAAAATCATAAATTATTGCAAACCTTCAACAAATTTGGCGATTTCCTTTTCCGTAACGGTAGAGTCGGGCTTCTTGACGACGTATGCACGAGGGAGTTCCCCCAACCCCTCTTCTGGGAGGCCAATCACCCCAACATCCTGCACACCTGGGTGAGTCAGCAGAAAGGCTTCCAGTTCAGCTGGAGGCACCTGTGGAAATATTCCAGATAGATAAAGAAGGAAACTAAATACAAAGTATCGTTTTTCAGATCGAGTCTGTTAATGTGACACTTTGCTATACACCACACTCTCAGTGATGTTTGGTGTGGCGATTTGGACCAGAGATATTTTTGCAAAGGATGTCAAATGGTTTCAAACAATATGCAGTTATGTGTATGTATACAGTGTGCGAAATATCCAATGACCCGCTAGCCCGTGGCTAGTAAAAATCCAGTCGGGTCAGTAAATTTACACAGTAACTGGCCCGACTGGCTAGTGACTTTTCATGGGGTCATTTTGTAAATATATCACTCTCTCCGACTTGTTAAGTTATAATACACTTAAATCATGCAAGATTATGGCCTGATAAAAATGTTCAGCATATTAACAGCATAATGATGAAACCCGTGTCATGCCGACAATATCTTACTTTTTTAGCTATTTTTGTAATCTTTTTCTTAGTTTCTACATTCAAATTTCGGGCTAGTGAATTATTTTGTGGGCTAGTAACTTCCAGGCATAGCTAGCCCAAGTGGCTAGCAAAATTTGGAAACTATTTCTCACACTGCGTATGTTATACTGAAATCATGCAATTACTTCACTCCATGCTTGCTCATTATCCCATTTCCCTCTGAGCGCAAACGGGCATAGCTAAAAGACTTGCCAACTCACCTAACTACTTACAACATGGCTGTCTTTGCAACGCTGATCGTCTTGATCAAGGTAAAGTTTCGTGGATGTATATTTAAATAGCATACCGACTCAAGTTGATATACAGTATGACTGAACACAATGAACCGTGTCTTCGACAAAACGCATGTAAAGTCCAAAATTGCTTTGTCCGGAGTACTGAAGTTTGATTGTTTTGTCGTATTTTCGCACATAGCTACAACTTTAGGCGCGAGTCGTCTTGCATATTACGGAAAGAGGCGAGTGTTGACGGATGATTCTAGGACAATCGGAAATGGGCGCGTGGTGTCAATGCTGGCCACCTCACCTGGAAGCCCTTGTACTTGATCAGTTCCTTGAGCCTGTCCTCGATGACCACCCGGCCATCCTCCTGCAGGTACCCGAGATCTCCTGTGTGAAGCCACCCGTCCTCTTTCAACATGGCCGCAGTGGATTCAGGGTCGTTGAGGTAGCCTTTCATCATCTGTGGGCCTTTTGCACAGTACTCGCCCAGTTCGCCTATCCCTAGAGACTTGCCGGTTTCGGGACACTGAATCTTTGAGAAGAGGAAAGACATTAAGTCCACTTTCAATGGTCATGTGACAACTACACGAAAAATTTATAAATATTTCAAAATTAAGCCTGAGTAAGACATCTTTATAAGATTTTAATAATTTCGTTTTCAAATATTCCTGGATGATTCTTAGATCAATTTAATTCATTCTTGACCCGAAACATATTTAACATCACTTGAGTGCCTCTAACAATGTTCATTTATAACATTTATAGTAATACTGAGACACCGATGATCTATATACATATAAGACACCACTACTCGTTGTGCAGAGTTATGTCCCTTATGCGTGACAGAATCCTATTATCGTTGGTTCAAATCCATTTTTCACCCTTCTGTATCACCCCACACTTCTCTAAAAATAAATAATGCATTTCTCTCAATAACACTACCTATCAGCCCTCAATGAAGCTACCATATAATATTTTATTTTTTGAATTACGTATTTAGATCACAATATTTAATTACAAAGTTGGAATGAATTAATGCAACGTTGCATTGAAATCGACTCTCTTGCCCTCTACCAGCCTTGGAGCGCTCTTTACGAATATCCAACGCACAACTTGAAACCAGTTCGGCAAACATCGACAACACTGCGTCCGACAGTTTTCGATGTACGGTGCAATTGTTTACATTCAATATATGGCAAGTGTTCTCTGTTTGGAAGCTGTTCGCCTCGACGTTCAATTAATGATTTCAGGCAAGTCGTAAGGGATAATAAGTTTTTAATGCATAAATAAGAAGCTAAAGTGAGTGCATATGCCCCAATATATATAATATAGGCCAAATATTGTCGAAAATGTGTGATATCATGCATTACTTCGGCCTGTCCTCCCAAGCTGAGGTAACTGAGGTCATGTCCAAAGCAGATCATTCATTTCACAAATAATTCCATTCTTCACATTTCGAACAAATTCGAAAGGAATTCACATGCAGGTGATTGTTAGGTGATGTAGTTACCTTTACAACAGTGTTGGGAACCACGGGGCCAATTGACCCCGGTTGAGCTGGCAAAACATCAACGTTGATCACTGGGGATGCTTCCGTCAACCCGTACCCTATAACACAGTTATGACACAAATAATCGACGAGAGGAAGTATAAAGTGAACACGTTTATGAGACAAGTGAACGAGTGAGTGAGTATGATTTTACGCCGCTTTTAGCAATATTCCAGCAATATCACGGCGGGGGACACCAGAAATGGGCTTCACACATTGTGCCCATGTGGGGAATCGAACCCGGGTCTTCGGCGTGACGAGCGAACGCTTTAACCAGCAGGCTACTCCACCGCCCCTAATCGTTTGTGGCACAGATGACCGACACATTTGAGGGGAAATATACGCTGTGAGGAAATTTTACTAAAAACGGCTCGACTTCAGGCCATCTCCATTTCTATGCGTTTCTCATCTCCAATCTCAACAAGCAAGAGAACGGACAGGCGAAAAATATACACCAAAATTGATTGTTGTTTGCTTATTTCGTGTAACCACTTGGTAAAAGTCTTAAAATTTATTTTTGATGCAGATCGAGTCTCTTTGCTTGCAAAGCATTTTTTAATAAATAACTACATACACTAAGAGGGGCGAAAACTAGGAAGAGAAAAGTATGTATCACTTCACGTCAGAATGACAATTCAGGACGGACAGGGGATGGAAACCAGAAAATTACGAACAGCCTTATATCAGTCTTGGCCTATCCCGAAAACAAGACACGAAAGAGTGAGTGAGTTTAGTTTTACGCCGATTTTAGCAATATTCCAGCAATATCACGGCTCTGGTCACCAGAAATGGGCTTCAAACATTGCACCTATGTGGGGATTCGAACCCGGGTCTTCGGCGTGACGTGTGAACGCTTTAAGTACTGAGGCTACCCAACCACCCCGACACGAAAGACCTTTGGTGAATGGTATATATTGAATTCAACAGAAACCCGCAAAGTCCAACAGCATTACTCCAACGTATATTCAGGATCTACGACGCTAATACGGTTATTCCATTACCGTTATCTTGTAATGTCGTACTATTGCAGATTCAGAACAGCTGGGTGCCGTTGTACAAAACAACCTTACCGCTAAGACTTCCTTAAGTCAATGTTAAGGTATGGGAGTTACGGTCACCTTTGCGCTAAGATCACGTTGTACAACGGCACCCAGATGACTTTGCAGGCATCGCATTCAGTGAGTGAGTGAGTTTAGTTTACGCCGCACTCAGCAATATAATAATGCTAATAATGCTAATTGACAATATGACAGCTATATGGCGGCGGTCTGTAAATAATCGAGTCTGGACCAGACAATCCAGGGATCAACAGCATGACCATCGATCTGCGCAACTGGGATACGATGACATGTGTCAACGCAGTCAGCGAGCCTGAACACACGATCCCGTTAGTCGCCTCTTACGACAAGCATGAGTTACTGAAGATCAATTCTAACCCGGATCTTCACGGGTCCATTATCGCACTGAGATGCATTGAGAAGGTACAACGAACTACCCAATAAATTAAATAGAAACACAAGCACGTATACTGGTAATTTTGACACAGTAAGAATTACCAACTACTAAGACACAACTTTAAGCAAATACGCTCTGCACCGCGATCCTGTGTTGAACCCGCTCGTACGACGGACTTTCTGACTGTGCCACCGTCTCAGGATAGCGATTGCAGTACCGGAAGTACTAATTGCGCTTGAATCCCATAACTAATATACATGCTTGTGATTGGTTCCGTCATGCAGTCACAAAACCAGTTTAACCTGGCCCCCATCTCTCATATCGCTGACAACGCACAAAGGGACTCGGGAACCAGTTGAAAAACCAGCAATGTGGAAGATTGGTTGGTTGGTTGTTGTTGTTTAACGCCGCGCTCAGCAGTATTCCAGCTGTATGGCGGCGGTCTGTAAATAATCGAGTCTGGGCCAGACAATCTAGTGATCAACAGCATGAACATCGATCTACGCAATTGGGATACGATGACATGTGTCAACAAAGGCAGCGAGCCTGACCACCCGATCTGGTCTGTCGCCTTTTACGACAAGCATGTGTTGCTGAAGACCAATTCTATAACCCGGATCTTCACGGGTGCCATGTGAGCGAAATATTCTCAAGCACGACGTTAAACCCAATTTCACCTCACCTCACCTCACGGGTCCCATGTGGAGGAGGTACAACTCACCTTGAACCACAGGGGCCTTCAATCTGTTCACGAACTCGTTTGTCAAACCTTCACCGAGCGGAGCTGCTCCACTGACGACATACTTCAAGTTGGACAGGTCAAACTTTGAGACTACGGGATGTTTGGCAAGAAACAGGATTATAGGAGGCACCGCGTGGAGAATGTTAATCTGTGGAATAATTGACACGTCATAAATTTTACGCAAGATATTTGCACGTGTTAAGTTTCCCTTTAATGAAATCGGGAGACAGGACGCAAAGAATAAGTGCTAGTTCCGGAACTAAACTGGTTTCCGGCTCCCTTTGCGCGCGCCAACTTGAGATATGCGAGACGGGGCCCGGCTTACTTCCGGTACCAGATTTCAGGTTCCAAATTGCGCGACCGCCAAATATGACTTTACTAGACCGGACCAAGTGTACAACCATGCTTGGCTGTCACAGCTGTTGACAGTCGTAATAGTTGGCTAATTTGGGGATGGTTTGCAAGGATTATCGGTTCCTTGCTGTCAACTAACAACTATGAGACCATTCGAAAAGGTATGAAGCGTTCTTTGTGAACGGAAGTACTAAGGTCTCGCGAAGTGCCTTGACCTTCTTACGGACCCTATATCTAAAACCATTCGGAGATGGGTGCTTATAACTTAGGTCACAACATATCTTTTACAGACTATGACAGTATGTTTGTATGTTGTGTAACACCACATTCAACAATATTCGAGTTATATGGCTGCGGTCCGTAAATAATCGAGTCAACAGCATGAGTACTTATCTACACAACTGGAAATCGATGACATGTACCATCCGATCCCTTTCGACGCATTTTACGACAAGCATGGGTTGCTGAAGACCAATTCTAAGCAGGATCTTCACGGGTTATGAAGGTATGAGTGAATGAGCATCATTTACCGCCGCTTTCAGCAATTTACATCAATTTTCGAAATTGGGTGCCAATCTTTTCAGAGACATTGGCTTATCTAGTTTGAGCGTATTTCTCTCTCCTTGGATGTAATAATTTCATCCTCCGGTGGAATATGAGAGTTATACATTTAAGGGCATCACTTTTTTATGTGTTTCACGTAGCCACCAAATTCTGAACATGGGCCGGTCGGTCGGGGGAAGAAAACATAATAAAGACAAAATTATCCTAATAATGTTCTTGATTCTCAGTGATTGTAATTCTTAGTACAATTTATCGCGTTCTTTGGACTTGAGGCAGCAACTGATTAAATAAAACATCTTCAAAGATATACATTTTATATGACGAGGCGATACGTGTTAGGTTCGAGTCGGCGGTGTTGGATGAAGAGAAAATAATTGGGGGGGAGGGGCACATCAGTAACATTAGAATTGTCGGTCGGGCGATGAGAAACACAAAAAAATAAAAATGCTGCCCTAACTTTAAAAAGTCGACTTTACGTCGCAATCACAGACTGGACTGTAAAGGTTCACATCACGATGTCTGGGATATCATGGCACGCCGAGTTTGATCTATTCACATCACAAAATAAGGCTACTTGAGTCTGCCTGCTTGGAGGCCTTAAAATGCATGGTATAATTGGTATACAGGGATGATGACATTTCATACCTTGTGTTTGTGTAGTGTAGTCAGGAACATTTCTGGATCAAAACGAGGCATTGTGTAGAGAGTGGCGCCATCTTGCAAAGCGCCAAACTGTATAGGTATCATACCGTATATATGATAGAATGGCAGCACGCCTATAAACTTGTCCTCCCCTTGCTCTACCTTCAGAGGTTTTCTGTAAGAACATATAAATGACAAAATTCTGTATACACTAATACAGATTTTAAGCAGATATATGCTAGAAGTTGAATGCGTAAGGTTTTACGCCTCTTTAAGCAATATCCCAGCAATATCACGGCGGGGAACACCAGAGTGAGTGAGTTAGGTTTTAGATATTCCAGCAATATCACGGCGGGGAACACCAGAGTGAGTGAGTTAGGTTTTAGATATTCCAGCAATATCACGGCGGGAACACCAGGAATAGGCTTCTCACATTGTACCCATGTGGGGAATCGAACCCAGGCCTTCAGCGTGATGAGCGAACACTTTAACCAATAGGCTACCCCATCACCCCTATGCTAGAAAGAAATGATAACTTGTAAGATCCATACTATAATTAATATAGAGTAAACTATGGTTATAACGAACTCAAGGCCACAACTACTTTTAGTTCGACATAACCGTAGTTTGTTATATGCATTTCGAATATAATATACAGCAAATGGCTAGGATGATGAAGGTTCTTTATCGAACACAGAGACGATTGGGTAGCCTAGTGGTTTAATCGTTAGCCCACCATGTCAAACGTCCGGGTTCTATTTGCTACCTTGATGGCAATTTATCCAATCCTCTACTGGAATTTGTACATTGCAATATTACTACTCGAGCTATTAAATCAGTGCATACTGAAATTTTATTCTCAGCTCCCTGAGGAGGATATAGCCTGTACGGTGCTCGAATATTATGGTTTTACGCCGCCTTTAGCAATATACCAGTAATATCGCGTCGGGAACACCAGAAATTAGGCTTCACACATTGTACCCATGTGGGGAATCGAACCCGGGTCTTCCGCGTGACGAGCCAACGCTTTAACCACTAGGCTTCCCCATCGCCCCTAACATATATCGAGGTTAATTAATGTTTTAAACTAAATCTAACTTATACCGCGCACCGAATGGTCAAAATTCAATAAAATATTCCATATTTTGATCTTTAAACGACTAAACGCACGCACACACGTATGCATGCACAAAGACTACAGACGCACAGACGTACACACAGACACACAGCACACACCTGATCTGGTTGAGGTTAGCTACACAGTTGTGGTGCGTCAACATGACGCCTTTAGGAAGGCCGGTGGTGCCACTGGAAAACGGGAGTAAGAGCACGTCGTCTATCGGGTTGACGTTGACGTTTTGAGGCAACGCTGCCCCATCGTCCTTCATGAGTTCGGAAACAGGTCGACATCCCTCTGCTTCACCCAGACAAAACAGGTCCTGACAAACAAAGGAAGACGGAATAACAGTTATGAGATACTTAATTGAATAACGAACGTCTGAATATAATAATGACAATAATAATTAAAAACACATATGTACAGTACGCCAAATTCACACCCTAAAGCAGGCATATGTTTTCTCAGCTCAATGGGAAAATTAAAGGTTAAAAGTTACCTTACCACCTAGTTCTACAGTGTGCCAAGCCCCTACTGTGAATACAGGCATTTTTCGAACAAAGTCACTCTCCCAAGAAGGCAGCACGTGTAACATGTGCTTCTTTGAGACGCAGGAAAGCCGAGATACTCTCTTGAGTCAATACACGGAACAGTGGGGTGGACTAGAACTTAAAGCGTTCGCTCGTCACACCAAAATCCCGATTTAGATTCCCCACATGGTCTCCCCCGCCGTGGATTATTGCTAAACGCGGCATAAAGATCACACAGTCACTCTTGAGACTGACGCATAGGGTTACCAGTGACCAGGGTTTTCAGTGACTGTGCGTTAGTCTAAGATACGGTTAGACTGCACACAACACAGGCTACTGCACACACAACACAGGCTACTGCACACAACACAGGTAGTCTGTCTCACAGTCCCTAAACCACATTAATTCCCCTACTGCCAAGCCCTCTCTGCAGTGCTAAAGCCTTAAATGAAGCAAGTCTAGATTTCCTCTGAATCTCTGGTCTCCCTAGGGCTCCTTTTCAATATAAATGGGCTTGTTTGTTACTATCAAAATTATACATATTCAGAGACTAAGCCTTAGTCTAACAACACAGGCTACTGCACACAACACAGGCTACTGCACACAACACAGGATCTTGAACGAGCTGGCTGATATGAAGACGTTAGAAAGAATTTTATTTCTACGCAAGCATGTGTCTCGTGGTCAATTTCACAAACAGCTACTGTTTGTCCTGGGACGAATCTCCAGGATACAACTAAAAATAAGTAAACCTACGAAGCCCAAATTACCGGTTACGACAAATTCGTCTATGGCATGGGAACCCTCAACCATAATATTTTCTTTGAAAGGCATTTAGTAGTACGCATAAAGGGTACTCCCTCCCTTCATGATATATATTTTCTCCTCCGCCCATGGCTGTCAGCAATGCAAAACTCGGAATGAAGCAAGTCTAGATTTTCCTAAGGTTCGGGGTACTGAATCTCCTACCCCTCTTGGGCTTGTTTCTATCAAATTATATATGTTCAGAGACTCGGCGCTAGTCTACAAATGAACAACAGACTTACTGTATATTTTTCTTAGAAGAGATTTTGAAAACTATACATTAGAGCTGTGCAGTCTTTGTATGTGTGCAATCAAGAAGTATGGTCAATGAGACGTACCCGTGATGATATACTCATACACAATATATACATACCTTGACGGCCCTCTGTACAATAGGTGAGGATGACAAAGCTTCTTTGACTGTTGGGACGAGAGGTGGGATGGTGAACACAGCCTTGGCCTTTGACATCTCCAACTGGCGAGCTAACTCGCCTGCAGCACAGACATATATAAGTTATTTGCACATTAATTTGTCGGGTCGGGTATAGAAAGTGCCAGATGGAGCCGGCCGGGTATAGTAACTGCAAGATGGAGCCGGTTGGATATAGAAAGTGCAAGATGGAGCCAGGTGGATGTGGAAAGTGCCAGATGGAGCCGTTCAGGTATAGAAAGCGCCAGATGGAGCCGGTCGGGTATAGAAAGTGCCAGATGGAGCCGGTCGGGTATAGAAAGTGCAAGATGGAGCCGGTCGGGTATAGAAAGTGCCAGATGGAGCCGGTCGGGTATAGAAAGTGCAAGATGGAGCCGGTCGGGTATAGAAAGTGCCAGATGGAGCCGGTCGGGTATAGAAAGTGCAAGATGGAGCCGGTCGGGTATAGAAAGTGCCAGATGGAGCCGGTTGGGTATAGAAAGAGCCAGATGGAGCCGGTCGGGTATAGAAAGTGCAAGATGGAGCCGGTCGGGTATAGAAAGTGCAAGATGGAGCCGGTTGGATATAGAAAGTGCCAGATGGAGCCAGGTGGATGTGGAAAGTGCCAGATTGAGCCATTCAGGTATAGAAAGAGCCAGATGGAGCCGTTCAGGTATAGAAAGAGCAAGATGGAGCCGGTCGGGTATAGAAAGAGCCAGATGGAGCCGGTTGGGTATAGAAAGTGCAAGATGAAGCCGGTTGGGTATAGAAAGTGCAAGATGGAGCTGGTTGGGTATAGAAAGTGCAAGATGAAGCCAGGTGGATGTGGAAAGTGAAAGATGGAGCTGAGTGCATGTAGAAAATGCAAGATGGACCCGAGTTAAAGAGGGAAGTGCAACGTGCAGCCCTCGAACGTTGATGGCATGACTTACCTGCAGTATATGCCGGGTTTGCCGGAGTGACGACCATGCCGCACAACGCAGCTGCCAGGATCAGCATACAGTATTCCGGAACGTTGACGCTGAAGATGGCAATGACGTCGCCCTTAGTATAGCCAAGTCGAGTGAGGGCGCTTGCCACCTTGACGGCAGCCTCTTCTACTTCCGTGTACGTGTAACTGCGCCCCGTGGGTATATCGACCTGTATGAACAACACCAAAGTAGTGTTGGGAATTGGTTGAAATCTCACAATTGATGATTGCTTCATTACCAACGAACAATCATCGAAAAAAATTGGTTAGCGTCATTTTTCAGATTTTCCTATCCAGGTTGTTATTGCAGATATGTATAACATGATGCAACTTGCTACTTTAAAGTGATGACTAATATATCATGAACATAAACTTCCTGGAGTCTTAGAAAAATATTTTTAGATAGTGAAGTGAATTAAACACGTTTTCAGGCCCTGGCAACTTCTAAGATACGTTCCATTGTCAAGTATTTCAAAGACTAAAACAGTAGTTCCAAAATCGTTTATGTTCGATTATGAGAAAATGTGATCGATTGCTTGGTCGTTTGGTCACTGCGACCAATCTTCGATTATTTCAATTAATCGGAACACCACTACACCAAAGTGTGACAAAGTTACTGGTACTATTGCAGCTTTATGTCACAGGTTAACATGGATACCCCTGTGAGATACCCTATACTGACGCCGAACCGACCAGGTACGGTAACAACAAAAATCACAATCTATTTATAACGCCTTTTGTTAATACGCCGGCGGTAAATGAAACTACCGACCTCCCGCTCGCATGTAGGTAAGTGGGTGAGTATGGTTGTAGGTCATTTTTTAGCAATATTCCAGCAATGTCACGGCCTGGGACACCAGAAATGGCCTTCACACATTGTACCCATGTGGGGAATCGAACCCGGGTCTTCGACGTGACGAGCGAACGCTTTAACCACTAGGTTACCCCATAAAGTTAAGAGTTATATGTAAAAACATAAAATGGGTGAAAGTATGATCGACCTTTATCACCAGGTACGTATGTGTACGTGCATTGTCAAGGGGCAGACAAATGGAATGGGGCAATTATTCAGCTTTTGATTGCGCGCCGACGGCATGATAGGTTATTCACAATACCAACCACTGGTTTGACTGGTCCAGGCTCGAATAACTGATACGCCGCCGCGACACAGGAAGAATCATTCGTCACCACTCGCCCCTTTCCGTAATCTTCCGGAATAACACGAGTTGGTCACGAATGAACAAGAATATTTTAACAATAAAAGGGATCGTATAAATGAGAAAATAACAACCACTCACCGTTGCTGTGAGTTTGGCGTAGGGCTGCATCATCTCCAACACATATTGAGCGAAGTTCACATTGGGAATGTCCTCATCCGGAAAGGGACTGCTGGCGATGTTATCAGGGGAGATAAGTGAGCTGAACGGCCTGGCACCTAGAGTTATCCGCCCTGAAGCTCGGGACAGCCTGCTGCAAGACGGGCAGACGGATCCTTGGGGTGACTGGAGGACCCGAGCAGTGGTAGGGAGGGGAAGGCGAGATCCATCCCTCAGACAGCGGGAGATCACACGAGCGGTGCATGGTCTCATGTTGATGATTTATCTGAAATTAAGTATAATTTTATTTTCATGGCACTTCTTGAAGAATGTATATATTCTGTACCTCAAGTACAAGCTATTCATATGTTGGACGCTTGTGGTTGACCTTTGCCTATTTCGGCAAATAATATGATAAATTTAATTTTGAAAACGTTCCTGGAAACGTCAAGATACGTCATACTCCTAAAACACATTAAACATGCTGGTTAAGCATACCCCCTTTAAGCCAAATTGTAGGGGAAAAGATAGCAAATACATAATTGAAAAAAAGATCACATTCCGTTTTAAAGAGCAAAAACGTAAATCCTAACTCGTATACTGCCCAGGTGTGGATTTCATTTCTAGAACTGACGTCAAAGAGAAATTATAGAGCCCCAAACAGTTAATCATAAATGAGCACCTTTCTTTCTTTAACCCAATGGTGCCGTTTGTACCATGCAACCTTAGCGCTACCACTGTCGTAAGTCAATGTTAAGGTATCGGAGCTACCTGCTAAGCTAAGATTGCTTTGTGGAACGGGGCCCAGGTATGTCACATTCCTGTCGTAGGAATCGTAATGGCGAACTCGTAGTTACAGGGTCTGACCTCAACACTCGCCTATGACGTTGCAGGACTAGGTTATTTACAGAGTGCAGCCATGCATCTGAGAGTCATCCCTCTAATGACAATATAACTATTCTAAGAAACGTCAAATTCATTATAAGAAACCTTCAGCGTGCATGGCGTGGAACACGTATAAAATATATTAAGGACTGGCGAGTTCGCCCCACCGCAGAGCATACTGTATTTCCCCAAATAGACGTTGGTATCCCAAAACGGTGTCAGGTCAAAACCAAACTTTGTAGAAAAGAAGCCAGGTCTCTGACAGACAGAAGAACCCCATTCAGCAAACAGCAACTTTATCTAATGTGAAGGGGATATAGTAGTTCAGATTATCTTAGTACTAAGATTGATTTTTGTACATGGACCTTCTCTAATACACTGTGATACATTATCGTTAATGAAAGAGGGCGTACAATATCAATAATTCTTCTGGGGGAAATACGGTTTATGGCGACAAGACCCTTGAGACTTTGTTGTGAGTAGATTCATTATTTACACAAAACGTACATGTCAAAGAAACGGATGACAGATGTCGTGTAGGATGTAACTTGTAGAATAAGGTCAGTGGCACATACATGTAGGTCTGAAAACTGGATCAACTAAGTACCCTCTTATCATCGCCTAATAGGGTCAGTACGAGGAGAAAACATACTACGCCTTCCTCAGGACCAACGGGGACCTTTACCCTTGATAAGCCTTAGCCAAACAAAACCCTATGTATGTTGTTTGATTGGTATATTCCCATACTGCCCACAGTTCCAAACTGCCTACAGGTTAAAACAACATACGGTCCAGTGATCAGGAAGTGAATACACCGATCTGACCTGTTCTACCCCTGCTAAAATGAACTTGATTAGTTAGCTGGTTAATTCTATGGTGTCTTGATTTGACACTGATGTAGTGATTACAAGGTACAATAAACCACATGACTAAAAATACATTTGTACATTGTTGACTTTTTATGGTAAGTTAATCACGTTTTTTGTCTAATTTTCAATCATAATAAATACATCTAAAAGAAATCACAAAAACCTATTTTAAAACAAGAAAGTTTCTAGTGTAGCCTGAAGAACTAACACTGACATTATAACCATGTTTGTATACTCTGACATTACTATAAGAACACAATTATAAAATATAGTATCGGGATGAAAACAATACCAAAAACATTTAATCCAATTTCAAACACAAAATATGAGTTATATGGTATCAAGGATGAGCACTTTGCAACTTTGACATGTAATTCGTATCGTGAACAATCTCGACATCTTATTCTTAACGGATGGATTAGTCTGTCGTACAGACCCTGAAGCAAATATATCCAAGAAAGCCAACGCAAGTGTAGAAAATGTGGCAAGTCTAGATTTCCTCAGCTTCTGAAAATGAAGAAAGTCTCAGGGCTCCTTTTCATTATATTATATTTTTTTTACTACGAACTTTTTTTCAGTAAAATATGTTCATTTCAGAGACTAGTTGTTAGTCTACGGGTGGGTATGAAATTCCTCTTGATGATAGAGATCGCGGTGAAAGAACAAATCTTCAAGTGTTACCTTTTCGACCCAGGTTTGTGTTTTCATGCACATCAGGGCCAGTTGGGAGACCACGCCGCCCCCAGCGCCGCAATGTTTCACATGTCCAAGCCAATATGTTTACCTTACACACAAGACTAACTATTCATGAAGTGTATTGTCGAAACAATACTGTGACGTCATAGAAGGGGCGGCGTGACGATAAACTTCAAAATGCACATCGTAACTCGTAGGTTGTGAAATAGATTTACGATAGTCGTAACGTTAGGACCACTGTGATACTACAATGGAGTTAAGTCAGAGTGAGTGAGTTTAGTTTTACGCCGCACTCGGCAATATGGCGGCGGTCTGTAACCAGACAATCCAGTGATCAACAGCATGAGCATCGATCTACGCAACCTGGATAGGATGACACGTGTCAACCAAGTCAGCGAACCTGACCACCCGATCCCGTTAGTCGCCTCTTACGACAAGTATCGGTTGCTGAAGATCAATTCTAACCCGATCTTCATGGGTAGAGTTAAGTCAGATCGAAATATATATATGCATTGGTGGATGTATTAACGCAAAATGGTGTCGAGAGGGAAATTTTCACAAATGTGCAAACCGGGTTTACGTTTATACATCATAAAAACACAAAAATATTGAAGTCTATTCTCGCAAATGAACAATGCATCGACCAAAATTACTCCACAGATTGCTTATTTAATCATTGATGCAATACCTGCAAACAACAATACAAAACTGGTGACATACTTCACTGATACATCGTAACCCAAGCTCCGCCGAATCTGGAAAAAGAAGTCCTTTAGCGACTGTAGCCATTTTGTTTTTTCCCATTTATGAAAAAAACCCACCAAAAATCTCTTTGTCCGGAAATCAAATGTTATGGAATTACTTGCAATCAATTTATTATAACAAAAAGCTAGCTGTCGATTGGGAGACGAGAGGAAATACAAAACGGCGTTTCATGGCTATTCCTTTTTCATCATCTTTCTATATCACCTTTTTCGGGGCATGCAGTACTGTTAAGATCAGTAATAAAGTGCGTATCCATATGGATCGTTCCATGTCTTCAGGATAATCTCGTCCGCCTTCGTTTGGACTCAGCTGACCGACAGCTATTACCAGGGGCCGTGTGCCCAAATACTAACTCTGCCATTCGTCTGACATGAAAATCACCAGCCGCGCAGTCTGGTAGCGAGAACACTTCAATGCAGGTTGGGTATTAGACTAACGCTTAGTTTCCGAAATATATATTTGCTTTTGAAACAAATAACTCCATTTAAACTGGAAAAAGATAGGAGATTCGGAACCTTAGGGAAATCTAGACTTGCTTCATTTGGGGCTTTTGCAAGGCAAGGCTGGGCGGCAAGGACAATAGTACTGGCCACGTTAATCGATCGTTAATCGACCTGGGGAGGGATGCGTGTGCAGGCGAAACATGTCGGGATGGCACTAATCTAAATGGCGGGAGAATCGCGGCATGAAAACAAAAGAATTACATTTATGAATGAAAAGGCGAACCAACCCAAAACGAATACAAACAAACGATTGATGTAATCCTGCAGCTTATAAGGACAGTACTGAGAACCTTTTGAGATGCCCAGTTCTCAAGCTAAACAACAGCGGTTTATCTAATTACATCAAAACAACAACGGACAACAAATGCCAAGACGCGTGTTGTTTGATCCGCAAGATTGGCGAAGTAGCGTTGAAGGCTCTTACCAGTAGGTACGACGGGGGCGGCTATCACGCCTGCTGCAGCGACGTCGTCGGTATGACTGACTGAATTAGATACGAGACAAGTCACTATATGGGCTGAAGATGTTTGAACTTCGCACCATCGGCTGTCCAGCGAGTGTCCCTGTCCGTCTACGGTCAGGTATTGATTTGTGTATCTCAACAGTGACATATTTTCAAGTGTTCAGCTGAGTATCGTAGGCACGTGAAGAGGGGTATGGCTACATCACGCATAAATATGGAGGCACGCGTAGAGAGATATGGCTGTATTATGCATAGATATGTAGATATATGTAGTTTATCTATTGATGTACCCATGATGATCCAAGTTAGAATTGATCTTCAACAACCCATGCTTGTAAGAGGCGACTACCGGGATCGGGTGGTCAGGTTGACATGTTTCATCGTATCCCTATTGCGTAGATCGATGCTCATGCTGTTCATCATTTGATTGTCTAATCCAGACTCGATTATTTACACACCGCCGCCATATAGTTGGAATATTGCTAAGTGCGGCAAACCAACCATCTATTGGATGTGTAATCGGATCACGTGTAGAGTGCGTACTTAAACACGTGTAGAAGGTTTACTTATTTATGTGTAGACACGTGTAGAGGGTTACTTATTTATGTGTAGACACGTGTAGATGGTTTACTTATTTATGTGTAGACAGGTGTAGAGGGTTTACCTTTTTAAGTGTAGACTCATGTAGAGGGTTTACTTATAGATGTGTAGACACGTGTAGAGGGTTTACTTATAGATGTGTAGACACGTGTAGAAGGTTTACTTATTTATGTGTAGACACGTGTAGAGGGTTTACTTATAGATGTGTAGACACGTGTAGAAAGTTTACTTATTTATGTGTAGACACGTGTAGAGGGTTTACTTATTTATGTGTAGACACGTGTAGAAGGTTTACTTATTTAGATGTGTAGACACGTGTAGAGGGTTTTTATAGATGTTTAAGTGTAGACTCACGTGTAGAGGGTTTACTTATAGATGTGTAGTGTAGACACGTGTAGAGGGTTTACTTATAGATGTGACAGTGTACACACGTAGAAAGTTTACTTATAGATGTGTAGACACGTGTAGAGGGTTACTTATAGATGTGTAGACACGTGTAGAAGGT